TGCCAAGTTCTTGTAACTTTGAATTGTAGCCCCCCTTAAATCACAGACTGTATAGGTACATATTTGCCATTTATAGTGGTTGTTACTTAAACACAAATAATGCTGATGCCAATTGCTTGATAATAGCCCATGCTTTTGTGCTATAAATCAGCAGTGGTAGGAGTAGTATTTTCTGATTCTGCAGTTTAGAAGATCTATTTCTGTGAGACCTTACACACACTAACTTTTAAAAAGATGGTTTTGAATAGGGGTTGGACACAATTTGTGATTGGGTTCACCAGAATTAGACAAAATCAGACCATCAAGATATTTTTTTTCTGCATATGTGCACAATCATGTGGCAATTTTATCTCACAAGATCTTTGGCACAAGATCTTGTCCCATCCTTACAACTGAATGTATGACAGCAGGTGCAGACTAAGTTTAATGCACAGGAGCTGAAACTGGACTGTGGGTGGTAGATCCTCCTGATTGAGAGGGATCATTATGCAGTGATGTGTTAAGAGTTACTAGTCTTTTTTCTTCTATGTCACCTCCAGTACATCAGCTGACATGCAGCTCTCAGGCCTGGGGGCTTTGATGTAGTGATCACACAGAGCATCTCTGTGTGCAGCTCACTGACCACCATTGACACAGCAGTAAGAACAAACCACACTCCCTCCCAAAAGCCTGGCTCTGGAGCCAGGGTCCCTGCATCTGTGCCATCCTCAGACACCTGCAGAGGACTTATAATGTCTCCATGATGGGACTGAATGATAGCCACAGCTTTGGGCCCATTCAGTGAGATACGCACAAGGGACAAAAGCCCAGCTGCCCAGGAAGATTGACAACAACTGCAACATGTCTTTCAGGAAACACTCAAGTCTCTATACATGCACAAGTTCCATGTTAATTAAGTGTTTTTAAAGCAAGACTTGTGTTTAAGATGTACCAATCTAAATACTACTACTATACTGGATTATGGCTGTTGACTGTATATTGAATTTTAGGCTATAATGTCAACATGAGAGTTTATATAGCAACTCTTTAAAAGTGCAGCAGGGTGTAACTTTTCAGGTGGAGTTCACTACCTGTTTTTCTCCAGGGAGATGTTACTGGTTTAGCTAAAATGTTCCACAGTGCGGCATTAAAATAATCTGAAGACATGGTGGAAACTCCACTCAGCACAGTAAGAACTCAAGTTTTCAATGTATTTTTACACTAACCCCTGTACGTGCAATATATTTAAGCCTAAGTATGCCAATGACAAAAAGTGCTAAAGCAGATATGGCAACACAAACCACTGATAAACAACCTCCCTGCAGTAACATAATGAACATTTGATGATTTAATGCATTCTTATATTAACCCGCTCTACAGTATAGCTCTGGCTGTGCTGAAGTTGTCTTGATGACTGCTGCTCTGTGGATGTAGGAGGACGGCACAGAGCTGAACAAACCAATTACACCCTGTCAGAGCTGCTGTACAGAGGATGATCCCTGCAGACAGTGTCACTTTGCATGGCTGTGCACAGACCCAGGACCGATGAGCCATGGGTCCTGGCATTTGTGCGCTACTACAAGCACTACAAAGCCCACACACAATGAGGGAAATAGTGTTACATAGTATTAAGTGCTGATTCTACTCATTACAGCTTATTAAGGAAGCAACATGCTCATTGTCAGGGAAGCACAGGCCGCCCCAAACGTGGATGCACTGAACTGCTGATGACATCACTACATTTTATAGGCCAGTAATATTTAATACACATGGAGGCCAACTAAAATAAATACAGTAAGAAAGTATTTTTTTCTTGTAACATAGCAAGTTAATGGGTCTAGTCACCAATAGAAAAGATTGGTGACTAGACCAGTCTTTAGTGAAGAAACTTTTTGGATATTTTATGTACAATGTTATTAATAGGGAAATCTGTCCCTTGCCCCCCTTCTGGGAGTATGACATCATCATGCTCTGTGAAAACCACCAATAGTTTGAGAATGTGACTCATATGTGACTGCAGGGCTGGTTCGCTTATAGGCCATGACTTTCCTTCAGCGCTGGGTCAGCCTTTAGCTCTGCCTCAGTATTTACACATTCTTCAGGGAGCGGAAACACAGCCCATTAGCATCACATGCTAACATGGCAGTGGACAGAGCAGCACACACAGAGCTTTACACTGCTGACACGTGCTCAAGTGGCACCAGCTCAGGCATGCACTCAGCAGCTGCCACAGTTTATATACTGTAGGCCTATTATTACAGGAAAATACTGATAATTTATAGACTTGAGTAAATGCCAGACTTAAATAAATATGACTTGTTACAACACAACAATACTTTCAGCAATGACAGCCTGAAAGTAGGAATGCTCAGTTGGCAAGACAAAACTAGAAAGCACACAACCTCCAATTATAACAGGGATGCATAGTGGCTATTGCACAATGGGTACCACAGCATTAGCTAACTACTTTCTGTCAGCCTCAATAAACTCTCAGTGCTTTCTCACAAAAGCCTCTGTGCTGTCCCAGAGCGCTGAAGAGGCACACTTTCTCAATTAAAGGGGTGACAATAAGGCCTGCCCTCTCAGCAAAAGAGCAGCCTCGTTTCTATGTTTAACTCTGAGGCCACTGGGCCCCTGTGCACACAAAATATTTTAGAGCTTTCACTCATTTACTAAGCACATCTATTAACTATAACTATTTTCTCACTGTCCACATGTTGGATACAGATGTTTATTGATGTGTCACACAAAGGTCTGGTCAAATTAACAACTCTCTTTTCATAACTCATTTATACCTGTATATAATCTCCATTTCAATTTTCCAAAATGTACAAACAGTCTGTTTTAAGGATACAAACAGTTGGTTTGGTCCTGGTTCTAGTCCAGGTCTAGTCCCAGTTTAGCCCAAATTTGGATGTGGACATTGTGCAAGTGAGAAAGCACCCTTAAATGCATAGCTTATATTTCTTATGAATAACAATTGTTGTGGAAGAACAAAGAGGTTGAGTCTATTACATGAAGTAGGTCATAAATTAAGTATTGGACACTGTAGACTGTTTTGCATTAAGCTCTTGCCTGTAATTGTTGCCATTGTTGAGGATAGTACCTTATTGTAGTAAACCCCCTGACCCTGATGACAGTGCAGAGGGAGAAACAATACGACTTTGTGACTACGAGCCTTCAGACAGACTTCAGCAGCTCTGAGCTGATTAGGAGGTGAGCTGAGAGATGACCTCTGGGAGAAAGGTCCCTTGGTGCCCCTCACTGCCCCTCACTCTGAGTCAAATGAATGAATCTTGTCTAATCCAGGACCTGAGGCAGCGGTCCCCTCTGAAGTGCCCCGGACACACACATCCTTTGACCCATCAATAAGAGAGGGCACCTCAGGGCAAAAACACAGACAGCACAGAGCACCCTGTCTAATGCCACTAAATAAGAAATGGAAGCACAGGCCTAAGAATAATATTCTGGGAAGATATGTTAAGATGTTCTTCGGTGTTTTCAGATCATTTGAAATCTACATTCTAAATCTACATTTGAAAACAAAGTTACTACTACTGTGATATTTGGCTATGCAAAATCATCAGACTTGACTGTGTAATAAACATGTGATAAGAATAACAGCAAAGCATGTCTCCTATAGCACAAGCCTGCTCAGTTGTGTTTTCATGTTGACACAGCGACTCACGTGTATAACCCTTCACGTGCAGAGGAGACAGAATTAAATGAATATCTCGAGATGTTTACATTATGTCTCACACAATATTCAGATGACAGCAAAGTAAAATGACTAAAACCCTGTTAATCCAAAGCCCTGGGTGGAAAGGTGAGGAGGACACACCTACACCATTATTTATCATGCTTACAGAGAAACTGCACGAGCCTATCGCGTGCACAAAGCTGTCACTAAAGCCTAGTACATGTTGTTTACCTCAAGAATTCTTGCAGACAGGTGTCACAGAAGCGGTGTCCACAGGTAGACACTTGGACCGGTTCCCGCATCGCCTTGCTGCAGAGCGGACACTGAAAGCGTCTCTTTGGCTTTTCCAGAAACTTGTAATCAAACCCAGGCATGTTTACGCTGTGTCGCCGTGCTCCTCGGCCTGCCAGCTGGAGGTTACGGTTACAATGTCCTCTCGGGTCCTCTGCTGTGCTCTCCCCGTAAACGGGGCTATTTATCTGAGTTGTTGCGCCGTGTTTCAAGCCGATCAGGATGAGGGTTGCATATCACGTCCTGTCCGCTGCCGACAGATGGGGCTTTGCGCAGCTCTCGTCCCCTCGTCTGCCGCCTGCAACCGCACGGCTGATGGCAACACAAGCTCCGGCTGCTGAGTATCGGCCCGGGTCGTGCTGTTGTGTCTGAATCGGGAGAACCTCCGTGTGGCCTTGTCCAGGTCAGAGTAGCTGTAGCACTTTCAACAGACTGAGCACAATGCGTTGGCCCTCTGTCTGTTTAGGTGCAGAGAGCCCCGCCTCCTCCTCCACGCAGGAGGAGTCAAGAAGCTCAAATACCATCTTCACGCTGTTTTGTCCTGCTTATTGTCACTATAGTCCTGAAATAAGGCTGTTTTCTGGCAGCAGAGGACAGTGGTCAATGCATTTGTTGGTTTCTTTAGTGGAGGGATGTAGCAGGAGAGAAAATTTGTTTTGCATATCCCATTTACCCTATTCCACAAAATGTGTGTGTGAAAGATGATGAGATCTGCATTATACCTTTAATTTCATCGTAGAGATAAAGTGAACAAAGTGTTCAATAGTAGGGCTATAATAAGCCACAATAGAGAGCCCCAGACAGTAGTGATGCCAACACTAATGGACCTATGCCCTCTAGTGGCCACTCATGCATTACGACGCACGCAATTATTGATGTTGAAATGTTTCATATTTGTCAAAGGTTTTACAGCAAATCAATCCAGGCAAGAAATGCGACTGAATAAAACAACTAGAAAAAGGTCTACTTATATTATGAAATTTAATAAGTGATTTGAAAATGTAAATATTTCTCCAACACAAAGGACCAGTTTCACTTAATGCATTGCCTCTGGATTACATCATCATTACATCATCCACAAACAAAACAATGGGCTATCTTTTATTTATTTATTTATCCATTTATTCATAAATAAATAAATAAAGATTAGATTAAAGATTTTATGTTTTTACTTAAAAACACAAAGTTAGTTTCACTAACATGTTGTTGGAAAGGTGTTACAAAATTATCATTCTTATGTAAACAAACAATATTTGAATACAGTGTAATGTACCATTAATACTGCGGAGAATGAATACTGCACATTTTCCACTTTCCACACAATTGATATTGTTGTTGTTTTTTTCTCCCACTTTTTACATTTTTAAGACTTTCTGTTAAAACTGTAAAACTTTATAAATATGAATAATACAAAATATAAAGAATAATAAAACATACTGTAGTGTATCATTAATGTAGATAAAAAGGGAATATGAAGCCGTGTAAATACTGTTGCATTAGATCGTATGATGGGGTTAGACAGCCCTCGACACATCGTTACCTTAACTAAAACTGCTAGTGGGCTAAAATGGACTAACAAGATAATCCAGTAAGACACAAGTGACCAATGACAATGTTATCAAGATTTATGTTAAGTTAATTTGACAGGTCTGTAACCAAACACAGAAGTGGCATTCATCCTTTTGATTTGTCTGTTTTGTCACAGTCTCATTTGCCAGAGGCTTAGGAGCTCAAACCAGTTTGTCTTTTATAGCCTTTGGTTTATCATGCTCAGTGCATGCAAAAGAGGACAATACCTCACCACATAAAAGCTCCAAAACGACTTCCTGTTCCTTAAGTGTCACACCAGTCCCTCACCTTGTGCGTGACACCTGCTCTAACAAACAGGTTCTGACCTCCTGTGAACCTTTGACTCAAAGCTCACTCTCTCTTTCTGAAGATGAAATAGAGCTGAATAATGATCAAGTGAAACTCAAGGGCCCGGCAGGAATAAGAAAGTCTGTGGTGCAAAGGTTTTCATAGGAGCTGGCTCATTTCTTTGGGAAACAGAAGCTGAAGAAGCTCTTTGGTGGGAGGTCATCTTGGAACAGGTTCTTCAAGCAAAGCTGAAACAATAAAGAAAAAATGTCACAAATTACACCTCTTTTTATAGTCCAATAAACCAACGATTGACTACATTTCTGAAGTTAACACGACAACTATTCATTATTGGGTTTTCATGCAGTTGGAGCATGATTTCATCTCAAATCCCTAATATAGTCATGGCACTTCATGTCCTTGTCACATGATGTGGATCAAAAAAGAAATTGACAGCAGCCTCACAGTCTGTACTAAGGATTACCTACATGACTGTGCTTTATTAAACTTAGATGCAGTTTAATCAGTTTGAAATCTGCCCTGTTTTTTGGTTTGATTTGTGAATGATATATAATAATAACATATAATCTCACTTTTATTATTGTTGTTTGATTGTTTTTCACATAATGTCATCCTTTTGTATATGTATTAATTATAATATATATTTGTCATCTCTGACTGAAAGCTTCTTTTGAGTTTGTTCAGTCTCACATCTGGGTACTGCACCACTAAAAATTGCTGTGTGTTTGTTAACAAAGAGTAATAATGAAAATATTACGTTTCACAGCCAGAAGAGTGTTTCCATGACAACAAGCCACTGATGTCACCGTGAAGGGGTGAGCCTCGTCGAGCTGCACTGCCTTCGGTATCCCAGAATCCTCTTCTTTCCTTCCCAGGCGTCCACGGGCTCCTTTACCCCAGGTGTACACTTCCCCATCTGTAGAAAACAGGAGAGGGACAAAAAATGGTTTTAATTTTCCAGAGCACTCCTTGATGCATTTATCTACTGAAATATTTTACTGACAGCCCAGCGTCTTGTCTCACAGGTTGTCAAAGCTGAACAAAGCTTTCTACAGACAATAAAAAGCTACAGACATGGCTGACACCCCTGGATTTCTTCCCAGGGGAGGCAATCATTGGCTCACACAACATTTTACCCTTTCAATCCCAGATGATAAGATATTCAAATTGTTTTCTTCTGCGTGGACAAACAACATTTTTTTTCGGTGCGATTTTAAATAATAAGTCTTATTTTGGTAATGATTTGGTCCAAATTTATCCTTGTCTCTAATTTGAATACATAGTGGTTTGAGGGTAGCATATTACAACATGCATGTCCTGGTACTCACCTGATCCAATAGCTAAAGTGAAAGCATCTCCACATGCCGCCATAGTTATACCCTGCAGATTTGGCACAAGGTATGGCACACGGCGGGTACGGCGTGAACTACAGCCCATCTGACCATGTTGGTTACTGCCAAATGTATAACACTGACCATTTTCTGTTGTAAAGAAGATAAAAATGTAGTATCACAATACTAAAAATGTGAAACAGTGATAATAGTTTACCTGTGACTGCAACAGAATGGGCCGTCCCAATATCAATGTAAACAATTTTCTCCCTGTCCAGAGGTGCTGATTGGACCGGTGTATAAGAATGAACCTCTTCCACCTGACTGGAGGACCCTGGTTCCTCTCCTTCCATGATCTTATCCAGGCCAAGTTTGTTGAACCTTATAACACAACAAGCAGCATTAATGCAGTGAAACATTAGAAAGCAATTATGGAACTCAATCCGTGCCTCTTTCTCAACTGTGATGAAATAAGAAAAAGTAGGTTTGTGTAACTTGAATTATAGTGTAATTGTTTCATCCATGTTTAAGTGATGTAGGACAAGATTTTTTTTTAGAAGAAGACAACACAAACCCATCATATGAACTTAACCACAATAGTTTGAGTCATTCAGTACAAATATTTGATAGCATAAAAATGCACAAACAGTTGTCAAAGATTTGTATGAGTCATTTGTATGTTTTGCTTATTGTAAAAGCAGAAACCAGCTCTTAAGTATCTAACCTTTGTACAGAATGACAGGCAAAGGTATGTGTTCATCAGAATGTTGTCATACTGGTAGGAAAAAGAAATATGGTATTCACTAAATCTACCATCTAAAGCAAAAACATCCCTTGGACTGGGGAGTGGTTTGTTTGAATAAAGGAGAAAAAGATGCTCATTAAATATATTTGAAAACAGTACTTTTTGAGAACACAGTACCTGTTGCTTCCACATGCCACTATGCTGTATTGGGTGCTGATAATCATAGAGCAATCAACTCCGCACACCACTTTTTGGGCCTCAAAGTCCACTGGTAAACACACCTGCTGGGGAGAATTATGGGTATCCTGGGTGCCTAAGCCTAGGCGGCCTAAAACAGGGGGAAAATAGCCTTAGAGTATAGCCTAGTCAATCTTCATAAAAACTGTGATTTCTGTTAGTTCAATCTATCATGCAAAAAATGTATACTATCTCTATTAACCTATAGTACAACATTTGTTATTTTAAAACTGGATCATATTTTACCATTGTCTCCTCGACCCCAGGCAAATACTTCTCTTTCATTTGTCACAGCGAGCACATGGGAAGCACCACATGAAACCTGAACCAGCTCATAGCCAAGGAGCGCTTCTACAATCTTAGGCTGGAAGAACGAAAACAAGAGAGTTGTTAATTATTACAAAGATCTCAATATGAATATCAATATAATGGTATTATAATATAATGTTCAATTGATACCTGTGTTACATCATTGAAGTTACCATGTCCTAAACAACCATTACTTCCACTACCAAAAGTCATGATGATGCCCCTGTCTGCAAAATGAAAACAAACAAAAAGGTCAGAAGTGATTCCAACTCAGACAAGTGAACAAAAAACATGATAGTCTTTAACTCAAAGGTATTGAAACTGTACACTTTAAGACCCAAAATAAGCTTTACATTATAACGTTTTCATTTGCCCGTAATAACTCTATGCATTTTTAAATATTGACTTCCTTCAGCTTTTTGGCAGACTGTGTTTGGACCAGAAAGGGATGGGTCACAAACCTGTCATGCAGGTGGTGAAGAGATCACCACAGGCCACAGATTTGATGGTGACTCCAGACTGACCCTCCAGAAACCGGGAGACGAACTGAGGCTGCATCTGCTCCACTGCCCCGGGAAGACAGCCCTCACCTGAGGCCACAGAGGGAGCCTGAAGAAAGGAAAGGTTAAAACACTGATGCTTATGAAACAGTTTGGGTCAAGCACAGATAACATACCTCCCATGTAATTAAACGGCCTGATTTGGTGACCCCCATTTTCTGAGTGCGTCCCAATGACACTTGCAGCACTTCAGTGTTCAGCATTGGCAGCCGAAGTGGCATTGAGATCCCACTACCCCAGGTATACACTGAGGATAATGGGAGGGAATGCACTTTACCCGTGCCAATGCCAGTCACGCCATCTGTGCCAAACATTTTCACTTTTAGCAATTGTCTCAATTGATTTGTTGGAAACAAACTGAACACTCTGCCTCACCTCTTGACCTGCTGGTGGGCACCCTGCCTCCTGGCCTTCCTTGTGGACCAGTCTGTACTGCAGATAAGGGCTTTTCAATCCTAAAAAAGGCCAAACCAACGTACATACTTAGTAAATTATAACACAACGGAAATGTATAATAGTAGTTTAGTACCTTCGCATTTTGACGTTGCCTATGTCAGTATACAGATTAAGAAGTGGTCGGATACAGATGGGCAAAGCCATAATTTCATTGAGTTGTGGTCGTTTGGATGGGTCCAGATTTAGCATGTTGAGAATAAGCTGCCGAAGTTCTGGGCTGTATCGATCTGAAATAGGTGCAAATGTGCCACTCATGATCTTCAGGACAAGTGCAGGCAGATTCTGAAAGAAGAAATTGTGTCACTATTTTCTAATGAAGGCAAATGTTGTAATTTTGCTCAAATATTTTTCTTTTTCACCCATGAGATAGTACTTCTTTTGCTCTGTTATATATGAAAAATCTATATAGAAATGTTGCATCTTGAAAAAATTGCATAGCATAAAACAGATCAAATAAACATTGTCCATACAGCTGCCTCAAAGGCTCTCTTGAGACTGGCGAGCTCATAGAGCACACAGCCTAAGGCCCAGATGTCACTCTTTTGGTTGTATGGCTTTCCTTCACATAATTCTGGAGAGATATAACATGGTGTCCCAACCACCTGTAGAAAAAACAGGTAAACAGCAAAATATGTGGTTTATGCTTTGCACAAAGACAAAAACATTTTATTACAAAAGAAAACTCACTGTGTATGCCTTACTCTTGCTGACAAGGATTTTTGAAATCCCAAAGTCACCTATTTTGACAATCATCTGATGCTTGTCAAGGAGGATATTTTGTGTTTTAAGATCTCTATGCAGAATTAATTTGTTGTGCACATGATAAAGTGCCAGTAAGATCTGAACAAAGAAATGCAGAATAGTGTCCTCATCCAGCAAGGAGTTGCACCGCTTCTGAATGTAATCTGCCAATGTCCCACCTGCATAAAATAATTTTCAAGTCAATGAAAAGATTAAATAAAATGTAAATTTAATCCAAGTAAAAGAATAAGAAAAAGCGTTACTGTTTTTTCAAGTAAAATAAATCACAATCTAGGACTGTGTAATTAGACATTAATAACAATAATACTACCTGGTGCATACTCCATGGCGATCATAAGAGCTTTGTCCTCGAGAAAGTTCTCATAATACTCAATGATATTTGGGTGGTTGAGCAGCTTCAGCACTTGGCACTCGTTCTGTGCTGCAAGACGCTCATCTCGGGACATTTGCTCCACTGGGATCTCTTTGAGGATGACAAAGGCTCCATCACTGCGCCTGCGGCACAGGTGGACAATCCTGAGGAAAAAGTGTCATTATTATGCAGCATCCTCAATGCAGTCAGGAGCGTCGTTTAAATACAGTCTATAGCTGGGACTGTCTGGGAGTAAATCCATGTTTAACTAAGACTAAGTACTGTTATTTGTTTTAGAAAGGATGTTCAGTCAAAAATATTGTTAAATCTTTAGACTTGCCTGCAGCACTTTCAAACGGTATATAATCAAAACTTCGATTGCTGTAGACCGTTCAGATAAGTTCAGATAACAAACCCAGGCCATATTTATGCTATTACTTTATAACTTCAACATCATTTTACAAAGCTAACGTAGATAAATAACAAACTAACTACTGATGCCAGTGTCAGCCAGTATTCCCATAGTTTCCATCTTTAGTTCCTGAGGGCAGAGCAAACTCCAGCACAGCCCTTGAAGCCCAAATGCTACGAGCCATAAAGAATACACGGTATAAGTAAATCTATTTGACAAAACGTAAACTTTACCCAAAAGCGCCTCTCCCCACAACTTTGATTTTTTCATACTTCTCCATTACAGCTTCCCCTGTGCCGCGGTCTCTAAGCAACCGTCCAGCTGTACTACGGGCTCCAATGAAGGACAAAAGTGTGAGCCAAGCGCGTTGTCTAAAACATTATGGACACAGTAAACTGACTGGTGAGTATTAATTAACTATTCCTGTCCAATCACACTAGCCGTATTATTCAATAATAACTCTGAGGTGAGACTTGAAATTCTCATGAATATAGTATGTCACTGCAGTAGTGACCTCACACTTTGCAACAAAAGACGCTCCTCAGTCACATCAGCAGACATAGATTGCCTTCTATCATCGGCTTCTAACATTGTCAGACACATTTGCCCTCAGGCACCACAGTCAATCTCTAAGAATTTAATAAGTGAATCTAGTGAAACTGTTTCCAAACCCAAAGGTGCGGGGCACTGCCTGAGGAGCAAAGGGTCCTCCACCAGTATTCTTTTTCACAAGACAATAAGAAGAGCATGGCAGTCCACCAACTATTACCCCCCCCCCCCCCCCATCATCAAACTGTCTAACTCTGATAAGGCACTTATGCAAGGATATGCAGAGGTATTTTCGAACATTTTCAACAATAGCTAGCACATTTGCATTGTTTTGGGAGAGAAGAAAGACCTTTATCTTCAAAACTTGTACAGGGAGGATGGCACTACACTTCACCACACCCGCCTTCCCTGAAACAGTTGGTGCAGATTGGCTTCTGGCAGCTATAAGTTTGTGTCAGTCAGCCGCATGGCAGCTGTGGCTACTGAAGTGGTTACCACACGAGAGATGTGGGTTAATAATGGCCAACTAAAGTTTAAGTTGGATCCTTCCATTAAAGCTACTGAATAACATATGTATCTATTTCGGTATGATCACACAGGTGGCAATAGTGTTGGCCTAGTTGTTAAATGTTTACATATGGCATACTTAAGCCTATTGATGGGTCCTTCTGGGGTCACAAGAAGGGACCGCTGCTGCTGTGGTAATTAATGTTATACTGCTGCCATCTAGAGGTCAAGTTGATTCACTGCTTTTCAAAATTAATTTCTAGTCTATCACTAGCCTGGAGTAGGCTGAAGTAATTGTGATGATTGGTGATTAGGCCATTATGATAATGATATTTTGAACCATATGTTACAGCCTGGGTTTTGTGTCGCAGAGGCTATTTTTCATAACAAAGAGGCAAGCAGCCGTAGCAGTAGGCTAGATCAGTGCAATGAGTGATTGAATGATATGTTTGAACTTGGCCAAGGTATGGCAAGTAGGTTAATATGTGCATATTAAATGCTTAAGCCTAAATGTCTTTTAAGATCAGCCTATTAAAGCAAATATTAGGCCTATAACTCAACTTTTGGGAACTTTCTATCATGTTAACATTGTTTCCTCATCAAAATCAAGCTTGAAGTGGTTTTATATCTCATCCCTGCATGTTTAAGTAATCTTTTGATCTCTCCTGGGCACTATACAAACATTCCTTACAGTTAGGAGTACAAGCCCACGCCTCTTGTACAAGGCTGTGCTGTGTTCCCACCCATGCTCCCTCACAGCCATTTTTCATAAACATACAAATGGAGGATTCAAAACAATAGGCTATACTACAACTTCACAAACTCGATGAGATGTCCAATAGTTTCACTGGGTGCTGCTTGTTGTGATGGAACTCTGAAGGGGGAGTGACGTAGTGCAGGGAGCAAGGAGTGGGGGGACTCAGAGCTCAAAAATTAGATTAGTTCAAAACATTTTAACACGTTATTTTTATTTTACAACAATAACAGGTAAAATGGAGATCTAAATATGTGTCGTAATAATGACAATAATTGCCATATAGGCTAGGTGTAATACGCCTTTTTTTTTAAATTACATTTGGCCAACAAGAATTTTTTTTTACAGCTACGCTATAGTACAAGTTTTCAAATAGTTTTATTTCAAATCATATCACACTTGTTGAGCGTAGAACCTACATCAATGATTGCGTGACTCGATCTCAGCATCTGCCCCACCTTGTTTCTGTGTTTGTGGTTAGGGTAGCAGCAGCGCCTACTCTGTCGTCTGAACACCACACCCCCTGCTACTTGCGCACACAGCGGAGCGCGCCACCAGTGACCAGATTTACAGATCGCCCAATGGACACGCTTTAAAAAAAAATCACGAAAGTTTTGATTGGGACGAAGGACGCTTCACAAACGGAAACAGTTTGACACTCAACTTTGTAGGAAGAGACTGTGGAGAATAACATTATCTTGTTATCTTGTCCTTTTTCACTTCTGGATTTAGGAAACACTCCGATCACATACCGACCGTGCATATCAGTCCGTCATCGCGCTGACAAAGGAGTACTCGGGCATACGGAGCTGAAGTAAGGGACATTACGAGCACCAAGAACTTGTAAAAAGGGAGAGAAAAGGGGGGCTGGTGGCAGAGGATGGAGGCCCTGCTTCCTGTTCTGAGGGGGTACCCAATCCCCTCAGTACTGGTGTGCGCGCTCCTCTTCAGGGTTGTCGACCAGCTCCTCCAAAAGCTGCCCGTGCCCAAAGTGGTCCAACAGGACAAGTTTCATTCTTGGAGGTGGAGGAACCTTTCTGTGTCCATGGTACATTCACTGATCACTGGCACATGGGCCGTGACCTGGTAAGTGTCCAGCTAAATGCTTAGTATAACAGATGCCATTGTCTATTCACAGCGCGCATGATGCGTCTCTGGCAGCGTGTGGGCAGTGACAGTCAGTGGCAGTCAGGACAAACAGCCGAGGAAGAAAGCATGTTCAGACAGGACAGAGCAGGGACACAATGGCATTTGGAGCTCAGAGTGGAAATGCCAATGTACAGTATAAGTGAGCAAATCTTAGGCTGTAGCACATGTCTTCTGTTTTCCTGATTGGTAACTGTAATGTACTGGTAATGAGCTCTCAAATAAAAAGGAGAGTTAACTGGAAAAACCTGCTGTAAACGGGTCTTGAGAGAAAACAATTTCTTAGGGCGGGAACTATGATTCATCCTCACATATTCCCACATAAGACAGTTCGGGCTTTTCATGCTATGTGCATCTTTGAAACTTTATTCCAATTTAACTGCACTGTTTGTTCTTAACACATACTAACTACTAATCCTAAGTTAAGTCCTGTAATGTAGGTGGGGGGGACCACCCATAGAAGAACACTTAGAATTGTGTGTAGCACTGGCTTGCCTGGCTGAAAAGTGTTGTGTGAGTCTAAGTGTTGTGAATGACCAGTAGCCTATAAAACTGAAAATTATAAATTGGGCAATCAACAAAAAAATATGTAAAAAAGATATTCTGTATGAAGTCTCATGTTCCCTAAGATAATGTTTCAGTGTAGTTACTTTCTCTAAAAAAGTGAGCCCAATAAATGTGAGCCATCTCCCATAACCTGTGTCCTTCCTCAGTGCGGTGGTGTGGCCTGAGACGCTGCAGGACCTCCATCTGTACCAAACTCCACTGTCCTACCTGCTCGTCTGTGTGTCAACAGGTTTGTGTTTCCCTACTTTGAATGAATATGAATGTAATCCTTTGTAAGAAAAACAAATGCCTGGCTCTTCTTAAAAATCTCAAATAGCCGTATCCCCTGGAAACCCAGATCCCCCATAGACTGGCTCGTCTGGTTGAGCTGTGTGCACTGTGGGTCTTCTGTGCATCTGTGTGTAACCATGAGGACTCAAATCTGTGTAGGTCTGCCTTGACAACAGCCAGCAGCTTCCAGTCCCTCTGAGCCTATCCCCATTATAGGCTATTACTCAGACACTTGCTGCATCTCTCTGGCCACTGCCATCCAGCCAACAGTCTCAATCATTTGGATATTTAAAGTCAGATGAGATCATCAGGGTTTCATTGTCATGACTATGTCCACATTCTTAATGGACTTGGTGTGAATTTGTGTGCAATATTTGTACAATATTTATATATAAGCTATAAATTCTGATATAAATATCAGAATTTATAGCTTTTTTATCACTGTTATTTGATTCATATAATACAAATATTGTTATGGCTGAAAACACACCTTGTGACATCTTCTATCAGATACATTAGCACTTTATATTGGGAACAGTCAATTCCAATTATGATTTAGTGATACATTTCTGATACCTTAGTTGGCATGTTATGTAGTTAATAGAATCACTTTGTGGCTCTCCTTGTTCCCAGGATACTTTATGCAAGATGCATGTGACATCATTTACAGGGGACATGCCCGGGGTTCATGGGAATTCCTCTTGCACCATGTACTGGTAAGAAAACACACAATATAGGACCTTTAGGTTTGTTTAAATGTGTCCATATTATCTGGCACTGTGGTTTGTGTTTTCCAAACAACTGGTGAGTTGCTGGTTAAAATGAAGTTAGAATTTTAATTATAGTTCTCTGTATCCCTACTGACCAGCAGAGGGCAGTGCTGAAAGCACTGAATCATTCCTTGAGAAAGACAAACACTGTCCACTCCTACTACCTAACGATGAATACCTAAAATGCATGCTTGTCTAGTGGAGGGTTCACTACCTGTTTGTCTCCGTTGCTTTGCGTAAAATACCTAGAATGGCTTTAACTCATTATCTCCATGTAGACAAGCAGGTACAGCACTAGGCCAAGTTACATGTCAGATCAGTGGAAATGCTACCCCGCTCATAGAAATGCATGGTTTTCAAGATATTGTTGAGCATTAAAATCACCTATCATAGAATAAACCATAGTGAGATATTTTACTGCAATAATGTGGAAAATTTCAGGCGCACCAAAACTATCTCCATGGAGACAAGCCGAGGCAGACCCTCCACCAGAAAACGTTACATAGTGGACTTGTGTTCATACGTAAGTACAGTATGTGATGATGTCATAATAAAACTCAAGTCTTCCTGTGTGTGCAGGTGCTGAGCTGTTTCTTGTATGCGCTGTGCACTCAGAAGTATGTAAATGGGGCAGTTGTGGCTCTTTTTGTGGAGGTCAACAGTGTCACACTACATCTGCGTCTGTTGTTGAAGCTGGCCGGAGCTCAGTCCACTCCCCTCTATCACATCAACAAAGTGGTCAATATTGTCACATATGTGATTTTCCGACTGTTTACCCAGTTCTACCTCACTTGGTTCATTCTCCACAACTACGCCAAGTTAGACCATGCCGGGTTTTTTTTCTTTTGTATGATGCTCATGAATATTATGATAGGCATATACTTGTACCGCCTGATCCGCTCTGACTTCTTTATTCGAAGAAAGAGTAACATCACAGAAAATGGGACTCACAACAACAATTCTAGAAAGTTTCTTACAGATTAAATATCCAGGATACAAATTACTGGAAAAATCTTTTTTTATATGAACTCTTTTTTTATAGGAACTTTCATGTTAATGATCATGTCACCCTTCTTAGAGCTCGCACTTGATGGATTGATCCTTTTAAGATGTATTACAGCAGCTTGTTAGTGTGTGCATACTGTTTTTATGGCTTTAAAATTATTTTTCACATTTTCCAAAAACCGTTGAGCCAAACATTTTCAAAGCTAATGCCAAAGCCATTGCCAATTCTTTACAGACCAACAACCATATTCTAATAGAAAACTAAGCCCCAAACATTAAAATGTTCTGATCTAATATTTGTATTCACATGCGTGTGTCTGTGTCTCTATAATGCCATGTGTGGTGGAGGAGATTTTCTGCATGGTTATACAAATATCAGTGCAGGTGGCCACAGACCTCAAAATGGGTTTGCATTGGGCAACATCCAGGGTTGAAGGTGCTAAACATTAAAAACCAGGCTGCACAGTCATTATGGTATTGATACCCTATTCTAAAAATTGATAAGTAAATTTTGCCATAGTTTTTAAACTATCTGCTTCAATAAAGTGAAAACATGTGCCTGTACCATATTGCCTCATTATTTTAAAACCATGAATGTAACAAACATCATGTTTACAAAACATCCACAAGAATAAAATGGACTTGACTTTGTGTCTTGTTTGAGGATGCTAAAACTGTAATTTAATATCTATATGTCCGTAGAAAACATGGCAATATTTCTTCTTGCAAATAGAATAAACTCTTTTTGATCTTGTAGGCTGTAATGGGTGATAAAAAGTCAAAAGCATGGAACTGCAGTTTAAATAATCTTAAATTTCTCTAAAGAGAAACAAATTCTCCCTCCCTTTTTTGGCTGAGCTGAAAAGGACTATAACGCCTAAATGATTACTGATCACTACTACCAAGGCAGTAGAGGACTTTCTGCTGTGGCTGTTGACAGGTTTAGGCCAACTTTACTTGGTGTGGGCGGTCCTTATCCCAACAGCGACTGATGCTTCCTCATTTTCTCCACAAGGGGGCGTGCACACAACCCAAAATCTCAGCAGCAGCAAAGCACAAATGTTCCCAAACTGAATCAGCCCCATATCAGCCCCCCACTGTTCTGGCCGCTTCTCCCGTGGGTTGTTTTCTGTTCATTCAGTGTAAACGAGGGCAAGTAGCTGGAAGTAACATTTTCAAGAACAAGAATCTGGGAAAGCGTCCCAAACCTGAAGGGCTTATTCCGTCGGTGAGTAACGCATCTCCCGCTGTAGCATGAGGCTAAACGGAACAGTGTCTACAAAGTTGCTGTGGGGAGTTTCAATGTGGCACTGTCTTTTAACTTACTAACACATTACGATAGATTTGGCTCGCTAGTGATTGGTAAAGTTACGAGTTTTCAAAACTCTGGAAACTACCATCTTCCTAAGTCATTTTAAACAAAAGGATTACATAGCACAGTTACTATTTGTAATCACTGGCTATAGTTGTCTGGTCTGGTCGTTGCTAGCTCTGCGTGAGGTCTAAAGCTGCCCTGTGTAACTTATTTTCTGGTTGGGTCAGCCATCTGCTTGTCTCCATGAAGATGTACTTGTTTGCCTACCCAGGAATGTTCCACAGTATATTATTAAACATCAATCTAGGCGTTATAGACTTGGCTAAGTGGTCGAGGTTATTCATTTCTCTACCAGTTCTTCTGTAGCTGAATAAATAAACCCTGTTAAATAAAGAAAAACACAAACAAACAGATATTCAGCCCTTGGGAACAATATTTCTCTTAACTCTTTTATGATCCTAAATTTTCATTGAGTTTATAAATTAGTAGCTTGGTTGGAAAATAATTAGGTAAATTTCCTCCTGGATCAATTTGTATTTCTATTTGGAAAAAGTCTCACAGTAGCCTATGATGAAATTATTTCTCCAACACTGTCCTGGGCAATGGGCTACTGTGAATTGGTAACACTAATGAAATATGTCAAGTGTAAGAAGTATTGATGTTGTGTTTAACCTCTTCTCCTCTTTTACAGTGTGATACATTCATGACCTTATGTCTGTCCGTGCATCAGCCATGAGTGTCCTTCCTCCAATCAGACGAGACCGCATCATTGCTCAGCTCCCACAGGTATCACTCTTCCTCCTCCTGTTTCTTTTAACACAAATGTCTCGTGTGTGGACCAGAGCCAGAGCTTACTGTTTATGTTCTTGTGCCAGTGTTTCAGGAAAGAGGCTGCACTGCACACCAAAGAGGAATTCAACAACAAAGTTAAAACTGCCTGTCAGGAACAGCGCACTGGTACTGTAGGGTAAGTAAAATCTGGGTATCTCTCAGGTCTTTAATGTAATCTGTACGCCAAGCCTATATATGGTCTACTTTAAGCATATGTTGCAACTATGCTATTTTAAAGATCAAATTGGTTACAATTGCTGCAGCCAATAGAGCAATTAGTAAATGGCTAAGTTATTCCAATATATCATCAAACTAACTTAACAAAAACCAAAGTACACACTAGTTTAAAATATTACTTAATTTTAGACAAATAATCAACCACACACTTACATTATCCTTTATGTGTATTTTTCTTTCTTTTACCTCTCAGCAGATTTAAAATTTCAAAGGTCATTGTTGTGGGAGATCTCGCTGTGGGTAAAACCTGTCTGATCAATAGGTAAGCAGGATTGTGAAACAATAACCATATAGTAAATTTGGCTAAAGATATTTTGGTGATGCACCCTTTTAATCTCCTTTCACTTTGGAGGTGGCATCATTTTTCTTTTATTATCCTAAGTTCATTTATTTTCCTATTTATTTCCTATCATTTATTATCCTATTGCAATTATTTTAACTTGTGTGTTGTTTTTTTCTTAAATGCAGATTTTGTAAAGATACTTTTGATAAGAACTATAAAGCAACAATTGGTGTTGACTTTGAGATGGAGCGGTTCGAGGTGCTGGGTGTACCGTTTAGCCTACAACTGTAAGTAACAAACTTAATTTAATCTAGTTTATTGAACAATTAGAGTCAGTTTTTTCTTCACAGATGGGACACTGCAGGCCAAGAGAGGTTCAAGTGCATTGCTTCTACATATTACAGAGGTGCCCAAAGTAAGGATTACACTTGGAAACACAAAATGCATTTTATACACCACCACACATTAACAAGATTAAACAAGAATAATGAATAGGTTTATTGATTGGTTATTGTGCTTTGCAAGTAGGCATGTCACAATAATTACTATATCAACTTATCTTTCAATATATAAAAGCTGAAACAATATCTTTCAGGGCTCAGAATTTATCGTGTTTGCAATTTCTTTGTGAAAGTGGTGGGACTTTGAGTATTTTTGTTGTAATACAGTAAGATTTGAGCTGTAGAAGGTTGAGTGACTTTTATGGCTAATTATTGGTTTATTCTGTTATGTATATGTTGCAGCTCATGATTCTTAATGATACTATCTATTTAAGAATGGATTGCTGAGATTATTTTGCTTTATTGTTATTGCATAAGTTTCAATATTATCAATTGTTGCTCTATAGGTCTGTAGCAATTTATTGTTCTTCAAAATTTATATTGTGACAGACATGTGCAAGTTAATGAAAGCAATACCCAAGTAAGGTGTTCACCTGCTTTAGAGCAAACTTTGATGATTTGCAGTTGTTTCTAAATTCTAGAGATATTTTCCAAAAAACTATCATCATTTGGCTATTTTTAAAACATATTTTTAACTGAAAATATTTTGTTGCAGTTGTGATAATCGTGTTTGACTTAACTGATGTAGCCTCATTGGGTCATACAAGGTAAGTGTGCTTTTTATCCCATATTTCCTCTTGTACCATGACATAGTATTTATTTATTTGAACACCATTACTAATATACAGAAGAATAAACCATTACATTACAGTGTTTACAGGTGTCCCATATGTTCACAGACAATGGTTAGAAGACGCCTTAAAGGAGAATGACCCCACTAGTGTCCAACTCTTCATTGTTGGGACAAAGAAAGACCTGAGTGTACGTCTTTACACAAGAGCACATGCTGGGGACTATATATGGGTTTCAGATGAACAATTCCTTCCTGATTTGAAGGACTTTTTGAGGACCTTTTCCTCTTTCATTTGAATTGCTTAATTGCTATGACCACGGACGATGGTTGCCATAGCTTGAAACCCATGGACCCAAGAAGTCAGATGGGAACTATTCTGGGTTGATGCCAGTTAACACAAAGCCTTTATGTCCTGGCTCACCCCTCAGGAATGTGCTGCTTCCTCTGGCTGTAAACCCCAAAGTATTCGTAAAACTGGGTCACTAGATGGGCATGACGAGTTGGGGTCATTTTATTGTTTCTTTCTCATAGTAAACTTCTCTTTACAGTCACCAGCTCAGTACACCCAGATTGAACAAGATGCCCTTAAAATTGCACAGGAGATGAGCGCTGAATATTGGGCAGTTTCTTCACTTACAGGTAGGTCAGAAAAATATGTTTCAAGAACATATTGTGCAAATAAAGCCCTGTTTATTCATATGGGTTTACAATGTACACATTTTCCTGTTTTCATTTTGCATTCTACTATGTAGTTGAATACATTTTAAATAATGTTTTATGTATAACCCATCCTTCAGAAACACCTTTATAGTCGTGTATTTGATATTTTAGTAATTCCCATTTTCTGTTTCTACACTGTGCATTTTAGCCCGGATTGCCATCGGTCTTTTTCCATTTATTCTGAGATTCATTGACAATATCAGATTATCACATGATTTCTAGTATTAGTAAAAAGAATGACACGTTTATTTTTCTTTAAAGGGGAGAATGTAAAAGCGTTTTTCTTTCGAGTGGCATCTTTGGCATTTGAGATGAACGTTCTTGCAGAGCTGGAGAAAAGTGGAAAAAAGCAAATTGGAGATGTTGTCAGTATGTATCTATGCAAACTATGTCCAGTTTTTATATTGAAATTTGGTATAAACCTAACTGTGTCACATAAACTTTTAGGGATAACCAGCAACTCCAGTAATCTCTACAGTATGTCAAAAAAGAAACAGTCGGGCTGCTGTCAGTGAGGCTGGGAGGAGGAGGAGGAGGAGATTGGTACGAGTGTATTTGTGTCTGTGGAAAGGAAAAGCTCTGAGCGCATGGGCCGGAGGCTGACTCAAATTCACTTTTTCCTTTGGCCTTGGATTCTTCCATGAGCTGTGCATTTTTGTGGCCTTTCCCTTTTTTTTTTACTCTATTTAAATGACCCTTCATGCAATTACAGAGTATATACGATTATTAAAAATAGCATATTTTGCTTAAGACTGACAGGAGCTGCTAGTATTATGGATTAGATCTCTAATGTTTACTACAGGATAATATGCTGCTAAGGTTAAAGGTACCATTGCATTCCTGTTCTATTTTATAAAGTTTTAAGAATAGTAGTTCATCCCATTACATTTCAATAATGATGACATTATCAAATTGTAGATATTTTAAAAGGGAAGATTCTCCCATGTTATTTAAAAAATATTGAAGCCAGCGACAGTGTTGTTTTTAAATACATTTATGCATTTTGTGTCAAAGTATGTGTTAAAAAATAAAATATTTCTATACAAAAACTATAATTTTACTTCACAAAATTCTGTTGTTTCTCATAAAATTACTATTTTGAACTTTTCCATTTATAATTATTTATTTATACGCCTGAGAGTGAGAAACACAGTTTCGATTCTTCATATGTTTCGTATGAAGGATTGACAAACTTTTTTGAATTTGAATTTTGAATTTGAGTTTTTTTCAGTTGTTCATTCTTGAAGGAGTTAAGATATTTTTGGTCAATTTGGCTTTGGAGCTCCTCAGGAATACAGTGAGAGAACTTGTAATTTTTCTTAATCCACTTTCCACCTTCAGTATTTTCAATAGCCACAGCTGCGACACCTATAGCAGAAATAAAATTACAACTCACTAAAATGACATAGTTATAATAGAGAATGTTACTGTGCAGTACACTGACCCACTACAGTGGCACCTAGTCTTTCCGCCAGCTCAATCGCAGCTTTCATGGTTCCTCCGGTTTCTATCCATTGATCCACTAACAACACTCTGACACCTAAAACAATACAGGTGCAGGGTCAACCAGTTGGTTCAGTTGAGTTCCAAATGCACTAGAGGGCACTGTAGCAGAAGAAATGAGAGGCAAGGGAATAATCTTTTCATGGTTAATGTACCATGCATACAATATTTCATTAAGTGTCCTTTCATTTAATCATTTGTGGACTTAAAGTTGCGCTGTGTAACTTTTCTGATGGAGGGTCTACCATCTGCTTGTCTTCACAGAGATGTACCACAATATGGCATTAAATTTATCCACCTTGGTAAACACTAATAATAAAAGTATGTGACATCACCGGGCCAAATTACAGGTTCGATTTGTGGAGAGGCAAGCCCACTCAAAGTTAAAATGGCTGCTATTCAATGGATTGGAATGGATGGACACTGATTTAAATCAAAGCAGGACTTTAATGCAAAGTGACACTGTGGGCAAAACAAAAAACATCTCCATGAGACAAGCAGGTGAACAACCCTCCACCAGAAAAGTTACACATTGCACCTGTTATGTGTTATGTTGTGTGTCACAGTTATATGACTTTTAATTCTAAACAAAGTTACTCAGACAGGTTACACATACTAATCTCTTTGTCTTTGTAGCCATGAAGTGTGTGTCCATCTAAACAATAGCAGCTAAGTAAATTTTTTGACAGCTGTCCAACATTTGTAAAGGGTAAAATCTTAAAAAGTGAAAAAAAGTTTAAAAGTTTAACCTGGTTTGAGTACATCCAGCCGCACTTCCATGGTCTTCTCTCTGCCAGAGTAGTCAGTGTAGTTCTGAGTTTGGGTCTCCACACACAAGTGCCCAACTTTGCGAATTGCCAGAAAGCCTTTTCCCAGTGTTGTAGCCACACATGCCCCTAAAACAAGTACACTTGTTTTTCCTGCACTTTGTAATAGTTTTACACTAAACAGTACATGTGACTAGAGTGCAATGGGGGTAGCAGTAAGACTCTAAATTTAGAGGGTGGACTAAGTTTTCCGAGTCCTAAACATAGTGTTGCTGCCCCTTTTAAAATATAACCAGGAGATAAAGTTTTCTTACCAAGAATGAAGCCCATTGCATCAATCCCTGCAACAATATCAATGCTGTCATTGTGGAATGGGCCAAGTAGGTCTTTGACACAGTCTGCAAGAGCCTGAAGAGAAGTGACAGGACATAAGACAGTGTAGAGGGACATATAGTTTAGATCAGGGCTATATTTTACCTGTGAGTTACAGTAGAGTCTGGAGGGGTCGAGCCAGGCAAAAGCAGGTCCTTTTGTGTTGGGCGCCATGAGAGAAAGATACCATCCTTTAGGCCTGTCTGCAGGAACAGCCAAAATGTCCATTTGAAACAGTGCGAAGGGTAGTTAAGGAGACAGCTGAGGAGATTTGAACTAACTGTGAGCAGCTGTAAATGTGCACATGGCTTGAGTTGCAGGTCTACAGAGTGGGAGGGGGCTCTGTGTAGTTACTGTCAATCTTGCTGCAGGGTGTTAACAGAAAATTATATAGAAGTTAACATTCCCAACTAAATTATGACTTGATTAAAAAAATGTGTAATGTAAAGGCAGTCAAATGGATATATTTAGTGTAAATGTCATTAGACTATACTTAATTAAAAGTGCAATACTATAAGTATAAAGTACTAAGTGTCTTTGTGTTGTTACTGAGCTGTAATCTTACGATGATATTACATTACATGTGTTTTGACTCAGCAGAGGGCCACTGTCTAAATGTTGTTATCATATTCACAATTGTACTAGATAAATCCACAATATAAACATCTCCATGGATCAAATCTCACTTTCAAACAAAACAATGTGGGAAAATTCCAAGTTTGTGCAGCTTCAAGCTGAGCCTTCACCTCATTCCAGAAACAATTGGCACTTTCTCACAATCTGTGATGAAGCAGTAAACCCAGTGAACTTGGTTTCATACCTTATGGAATGAGGAGCCTGTTGACATTCATTTGAATATTAATTTATGAGTCAGTGTTGGTCTGTTGAAATCTGTGGATGTGTGTAGCCTATATAAAAACAAGCTTTTTGTTGACTGAAACACCCCTTGGAAAAATCTATTCCATTCTACTTTTCATCTAATTAAACTAAAACTTCTCATTGTAAATGTCACTTTTGTTATATAATTTTTCAATTAGTCAAGTCAAGTCAGTTATAGGCCTATTAAATCTTGTAGCCTCTGCATAACAATGACATATCCTCAAGGGTCTAAGTTGGGATAAGTGGGTTCATTGATCACTGGGATGCAAACATAAGCAATACATTCATAACGTGTAGAATGCTTCGTATGTGACAGCAGGGGGCGCCAATATGAACTTTTGCAAAGATCTTTTTAGCTTTACAGCAATCTAGATTTCGCTAGACGATTATTAATTTAGCCTGTATCCAGACACAAAACAAAAAGTGATAGATAGGCATTTTTTTTTTTTTTTTTTTTTATCCCCAAGAGTTTTTTCCCCCTCCCTCCACATCGTACGGGCCATCGGGTGATTTTGCATCATTTTTGCCCGCCTCCAACAATCGGATTTCAGCGCCTTGAGTAGGCTGTGCCCCCGCCTCTCGAACTCACAGTAAAGTCCAACCATGTGACTAAACTTTTGGCTGATTAGAGGGCCCACCTGACCCGTGCCTTTGTACTTTTAACACTTGCTATGGGATACAGGCGCAGCATCACCGTGCTTCCTCAACTGTGCCAACGTGTTTTAGGCGTAATAAATCTTAATTACCACTTTTGCAGTCCAATATAGGAGATATTTATTCAAATACGAGTTCTCCCATCTTCAAAAAGTATATATGCAATAATGCGGTAACATAACCTACAATTGTTTGTAGCCACATGCAACTGGATGCTGCCAAGTTATTTGATCCTCCCCGAATAGTGTCACAATTTGACCGAGTTCCTTTCATCTGAGCGCCTCTCTCTTGTGCCTTCCCATTCGTGGGCTCGCCTCTCTTCCCGTGCCGTCAGTGGCTGTTGTTGCGTGCGATAGGCTTGGCCAACCTTTTTCCACATTCCACAATGAAAGAGTTTTGTTCCCGCATTGTAATTTAGGTCATCAGTGATTCTGCGTCTGTTTTGTGGCACTTGAAACTTTTCCAATGTCCTGGTTTGGCACAATCACCCCATGCCTGTTGCTATGGAAAACGGCCCCAAGTTTGAACCTCCTCTTTGCGTGTTCCCAAAGTAAATCTCCGCTTTGAGGGGGGCGCAGGAAAAGGAGGAGAAGAAGTAGGGTAACTAACGGTCACCGGATCAGGCCCATGTTTTACACACGCACCCTACATTAACCCCGGCCTTTCTGCGGGTCTTTTGGCTCAGGGGCTTACCCCACGTGAGCAAAGCAGGTGCTGAGCAGTGGTTTCAAGGCGGGGTTGAAGTTAGAGGTTAATTCGCTGACTCCTCCCCGTGACACTCTGCCGTGTATTAATAATCGCACCGTCGCAGCTTCCACTTAAAAGTGGGAGGGTAGCGGAGTGTGCAGGACAAGAGAGGAGCTGTCTCCATCCAGTGGTGCTGAAAGTGCCACTGAAGGCATCATGTGGTCAGTCCTGCTCGTCTTCCTGTCCTCTCTGGACAGAAACCTGGTCAAAGGAGGATTAGTAAGCAGTGCACTTGACGCAATGAAACCGGACAAAGAAAGTTTTTGCTCCAAAGTCTCGTCAGTTCAAGGACTTTTTCTGTATGAAGTATCCGATGGAGCAGAAGTGGTGCGCTCGCTGGTGACCTCCGCGGGTGCGCTCGTGGACTGCTCTATCAATAAGAATCCAGAGCAGGTGATGCTTTTTACGCGCGAGTGCAAGGCGGGACACAGAGATGACACCGTAGAGCAGCAGGACCACGCAGCCTATCAGCGCATAGATGAATCCAGGCTGCTCTGCCAGCGCTTCCAGCAAAGCGAGAAACTCACCTCTACGGACCAAGCGCATAGACGAGCCAAGCGAGGCTTCACCTATCCCGGGACCCTGTGGTGTGGAGCGGGGAACATGGCGGATAATTACAATCAACTAGGTACAGTGAAATTCAAAATTTTATCAACATTCAATGTTTAGCGCACTGATCAACTGTGGACTGAATTTTGCAGGTGATTTTGCTGAAACTGACAGCTGCTGTCGAACCCACGACCACTGCCCTCACGTTATCCACGCCTTTTCCTCCAACTATGGCTATACAAATTTCAAATGGCACTCCATCAGTCACTGCGACTGCGATGAAACGTAATTATTTTTTAATGAAAACATATTTGACAGTACAATGTATTAGACTATAGCCTACAATGCATTTTCTCCACAAAAAAGCATTTAATAAAACATTCAATAGTCGTTGACCATGGAAGTATAGTTTGTCAATTGTTCTGTGAAATGACAAAATGCTCCATGTTTCTTATTTCTGAGCAGACTCAAAGCATGCCTGAGGAAAGTGAACGACACATCTTCCAGAGTGGTTGGGCAAGCTTTCTTCAATGTCATTGAGGCTCCCTGCTTTACATTTGCATATGAAGAGCAGTGTGTCGAGCGCCACTGGTATGGCCTGTAAGTATTACTGATTAAATCTCTCTTTAAGATGATTTGCAACATACTTTTGTGGGATAATGGGATTACATATGAACATTACACTGTGTGTCATAGGTGTAAACGATTTGAAAAGCGCCCCATTGCGGTGCTCACAGACGCCGTCCCATACGACTTTGGAGGAATTGACATCATTGATGAGCTGACGGTAGCTCCCTCCAGGAAAAAAGATTCCAATAAGAGTGGAGAGCAGGTGCAATCTGAGCCGACCTCACCGTCTCCAGTGTCAGGCTCCCAGAGCAGCAGTCCTGACGAGCCCTCCCTCAGAAACGTGATGACGGCTGCAGAAGACTTCATCAAAGTCCTGGCCACTGTGTCCACTTCACAGAGCTCCACAGCTGACTCTGACAAAGGCGACTCACCGAGTTCAGAGAAGAAGAAGAAAAAGCCCTCACAAAAGAAAAAGAAAACTAAAAAGACAAAAGGAAAGGGTAGAAAGAAGAAGAAGCAGGAAGCAGTGGTGAAAATTGAAGACGGTGGTGCAGTACCGCTGTCCAGTCCCAAAGAGGAGGGAGCCACTGGTCTGAGTAACTTTATCAGTGAGCCTCAGTCACCAGAGCAGATAGGTAGAGTATCCAACAAGGTGAGTGAGAATGAATATGAGCTGGGAGTTAGAGAGGAAACATCCAATGAAGTCATGAAAGATGAACCAGCTCTGGAGCAGGAGGCCATTTCTGTTACATCACCAAGACCCATCAAGAGGAAACCTACAAAAATGGGTTTTCTCTCCATAGTGTCCAGCACAAGGAGTTTACACAGAGCTAAAGCTAAGTGGTTACGAAATAGACAGAAGAAAGTTAAAACTGTTCCTACATTTCAATTAGAAACCACATCTGCATCATCAAAGCCACAGGACCAAAGCATTGTGAACACATCTGAAAGGCCACTCATTGTGAACACAAGTCCAATTGAAATCTCTGAAGTCAAAAAGAACAGGTCAAAGTTGAGAAAAGAGAGGGAGGAGAGGAATAAAAAACAAAAAGTAGTGAATGAAAATGTTGAGGACAATAAGAAAGAGGGCACTAGCCTTCTGACAACCACCCCAGGGCAATTTTCTCAGGACGTAGAGAGAGGCAGGGTCCATGTTACGCCTCTTAGCCCATCATTTAGTGTGCTAAAAAGACAAAGACACAGGTCAAAAGAGAAAGGGATCAGTAAGAAAAAGAGGAAAGGTCAGTCTCTTTTAAATGAACATTTGTTTGAAACCACGGAGGAAGAGGTTATTCTTCCAACTCCAAGTGGGGCCCAGATCAGTCCTGCTATCACCACAGAAATAAGTCGGTTAATGGACAGCACTCAACTAACCACCTCATGGCAGGTTTTTACTACAGCAAACATGCCTTCTGTCAACACTAAGAGACTTCCGAACAAAAAACGTGGAAAGTTGAAGAACAGATCCAACTTCACAACTTTAAGTGAGCCCAAACTATTCACAGTTACAAGACCCCCTTCTAAACCAGCAGTAGTTAAATATGTTTCAATGACAACTGATAACTTTTGGTCACCTCAATCCACAACCACCTCTGCTGTCAGCGCCCTCAGCCCTATGCAGTTAACTATTGAAAAAGTGAAAGAGCAATTTGAGAGAAAGAGAAAAAGGAAAGTAGCTTTGTTTTCAGCTTAGTAAGTAACAGCAGACAATGCATATTAAGTAAGTGATGCTGCTTGTGTTTAGGAGTCTTGTGATTTAACATTTCAAAAATTACAGCTTTTTCTGTCATTTTAGATTAACTTTCTCCCACAATCATGCTTTCAGAATTGTATTCTTGCATGCCTTCAATAAAACATTATGCAAATTCAATAAGTGGCTTCATTTTATGCATATACATTTTAAATTAACACATTTACACAAAATACTTTTTTTTTTTTTTTCAGTTTAGATTTTTTACAGAATAAAAAACAAAAATAAAAGACAAAAACAAGTTTAAGGTTGAGTTCTAGCACTAGCATAATTTTGTAATGACACGTTAATTCATGCTGTTTTACTGTTGGCCATTAGTGAGTAAGCTAATTTGAAGCATAGCCAATATTATTTAGCCAATAAAGGCTTGGGGGTAACTAAAGGTTTAGCGTATGCAATGCTATTGGCCTGGTAAGGTCACATTCTCTGCTCAGATTAAGAGCTCACTTCTTGCCCTCAGCCCTGACCACTGCACCACTCAGTCCCAAAGAGCCAACTGAAATCCCAACGCAAGGTCAGCTGATTTCCACATGATTATATAAGAAGACACTAATCAATACATGATAACATGCCTTTTATGCTATTAGCACAAGTTTGCAATGTAATAATTAAAATGAAAAGTGGTTCCTAATTTATTGTGCCACATCATGGGAACAGGGCAACAATAGAAACTTTCAGTTCAAGATTTTTGGATAGAAATCAAGTTTTCAAAAGAGCTCAGTATTCACACACATTTAAGCCATAACAACAGAGCCACTCAGACAGTTGGGTGTGTGAACAAATCTCTTTTCACAGAGAATCGAGAAAGTGGGAATTTTCCATTTGATCCACATCCACCTCTGTTTGAGTAGTTAATATCTAGACCCAGTAAGTTAATAGGCTGGTTTATGTTAACAGGTTTAAATGAGATGACTGATAGTTTTCATGAGACATATACTATAAGTATACATTTGTAAATTATTTTACAAATACATTTATAAATACAAAAAATATTTTTCAGTGCAAAGTAGCTACACAGCATTCTTTGTTATTTGAATATGACCATTGTTCAAATAACTGTAATGCTCTGACACTCAATCTAACACTAATTATATGTGTATTTCACACCCAAATATCTGCAGTTGGTCTTTGAGAGAAACAGTGATACAGTATTGAGAAACTATCCCTTTGATTTTAAGAGAGTAACTGTATTCTGAATACCACCAAATTAAAGAGTAACTGAATACTGGTACTCAGAATTAGTATTCTATAAAGTATTTAGTTACTTCCCAACATTGGTACAAGATAATAATCTATAAAAAAAAAAAGATCTCTTGTAAGTTTTCTCAATCACAAACTTGAAATTGTCCATAGGGTTGTGAAGGGCAAGTTAATACAAGTTAAATTGAATCCAACAGTTCAAATGATGCTTGCAAACTGAAGACATAAGAACTGCTCCTTATGATTCCAAGCGTGTGGAGTGAAAGTCATGTCCTTGCTCTTAACAGGAAACAATGCACTTTTTACTACCACTACCAAGGACCACTGAGCATGAAAGGGCGCCACAGTCCTGCATACTACTGGAAAAATATTCAATAACTCATTTAAACTTAACTCACTGTATTGATTAAGGAAAACCAAACACACTAAAATCCAATAGACTCAAGCGACAGTGATGTATTATGGTGGTAATACTAATCGTTCTCTGTTCAAGATGAACGCTCCTTTGACCTTGGAACAGTTATTGAGGTTTATAATGAAAACGGAACAGATTTTACCATATTAAAACATGAACATAAAACCAAATACATTACCAACTAGTTCACTTTGTATATGGATATGGTGAACGAAATGCAAGTATAAATGTCCAGCTCTATGTGAACTGTTTATTACAGTATGGTTTGGCCCTCCAACTGAAAAATCTTTTCTGTGAATTAACTGCTGTTACCTTTTCATTAATCATTTTATTTTTGTATGAGGAAAGCCCTTCACACTTTCAAGATTTTGTGTTTCTGAAAGTGAGGAGTATTTTGAAGTGCTAAATGGTGGTTAATTTAAGTCAAGGCCAACATGTTAAGTATTATCATATTATAAATTACACTTTGTGATAAAAACGGTTAGACTGGCCTGTCTCATCCTCAAGGTGAAATAACGACATTAAACATACCCACATAAACCACTAGTTTTGTCTGTATGGTCTTTATCTGCTGTAGCTGAGCAAACATTTGTCACATGGGTTTTGTCTAAAGAATTCCTATTAAGAGTATTACATGGATATTTAGAATTCAAAGCTTGTACAATTATCACATTAAAAAATTGGAGTTTGAAAAATAAAACATAAGTAAACCCTGTAGCCCCCATAGCTGTACTGAATCAATTAATATTCCAAGCAGCCTCTATTGGATATCTTATTGACTACACAGAAGAATTTCCCTCTAGGCAAAAGGAAAGCATTATGTGAATAGCCATGTGAATAGCATTTATAGACTTCTTTGGTATGGGTATGCATAGAAAACTCATTAATTAATGGGCAACAGTAGCTCAGTTGGCTCAGAGTGTTTGTCCACCTCGCCCCAATGTCTACACTGGTGTATGAATGTGTGCATGAATAGGTGAGTAGTTCCTTGATGTAAAGCATTAAAAGTACCTTGAAAATGGAAAAGCGGAAAATTATAAAAGTGATCATTTACCATTATTTAACAGACAAAGACAGTGTAATGTCTGAGTGATGCATGTGTTAGACCAGGGCATAAAAGTGTTATAAACAGTTATTCCAAGACCAAAACATTAAATAAACTGTATTTGCTATCCTGTGTAGGTGAATTAGAAAAAAATACAATCCCAATATAAAAACAACAGTAGACGTTTTTAGATGATATGACTCTAAAATTAATAAAATAAGACAGTAGTAACTTTATTAGGAGGTAATACAATGTTTGCAAAGTTGCAAAACATTGGGAGGTGCTCTTAAGGGTTTAGACAACAGCGATTTTCTGATGTCCACATAACCTTAATACACTGCAAAGGAGGGGAGTAAGAAATTAAAAGCAAAATGAGGCTTACATTAATATATTGGCTAGAAAAGAATTGTTTTTTGTGTTCTTGCTGTGGTGAGATTATAGTTGCACTGAGATTTTCATGGTTGTTTTTAGGGTTCAAACTATAGAGCAAATTCAATACCACCAAGAAAAATAAACTTAAAATGTATTGATTGATAAAAAGTAAAACTGTACTGTAAATAGATGCTGTATTTTCATTGTTTGTTGTGTATATTTTTTGGATCATATTTGCAAATGTAAAGTAATAAATCTAAGACTATTTATCATTTTAAAATCTAATAAAACTTAAAGGTCCTATATTATGCAAAATGGACTCTTGTGACTCTTGTGAGCTCTAAGCCATGATATAATGTTGAATAATAATAATGAGAAGAAGCCAGCCTAAATATGCATGGTTTGTGTGTTAAACATGTGTGAATGAAACACAACACAACTCCAGGTATGTTTGCTTTGTGTGTGATGTACAAAACAATACTATAACATACTGTAGGTCAGAAATAGTAATACATGGGCCCTTTAATACAAATACAATAAGCCCAAATAAAGATCATATTGTGGAGATAAAATATGTTTGCAGTTGATGATCAAACACAGCTATCTCTATTCAAAACTAGACAAACTGATCATTGTCACTTTTTATTTTGCACAAGCGTGAAAACTACAGCACTTCTAGCTGAAATTACAAGAGTCAGTGCAAAATAATGAAGAAATACATCTGTGTGGAAATATATTTTATTATGAATAGCAATTTAGGCTTGTATTGGGAAGGGATTTCAAAACCATTTAAAGTTAACACAACAGCATCATCTAGTGGATACGTTTATGTTACATTATTTGCTCCACAGGGCGCATCTGAATGTCTCCAATCTAAAAAAAGAAAAGTAAAAATGTCATCAAATTAGACTTAACCTGAACCAGATAAGACAGCAAGAAGAGTATATTTAACATGTAGAGGCCGACATTTAGATTAAAAAATACAGCTATTACCTGAACATGGGGAGGAGCACTTAGGGCATAGATCACAGCATCAGCAATGTCTACAGCCTCAATACACTGTAAAATAAATTCAATATCGATATATAAATGCAAGTTCAGTGTTCAGTCCTGCCATATGATAGACCTACCTTGAACTGTTTGTAGGCTGCTGCACGTTTTTCAGAATTCTCAGAGTAAAGCCGCAGCGTAAACTCAGTCTCCACCACACCTGGGGATATAGACTGAAGAGAAAGACAAATTAAAATAAGCATTACCATTACTATTACTACTACTACTCATAGACTGTATAAAAAAGTGGATTAAGGGAGGGTGATGTCACCCATAGCATTTGGCACCAATCAAATGAAGCTCACAATACTCGTGGTTATAGAAGTGAATTTGAAGCCAGGTCCACATTTGGAATTTATTAACGGACAAAATGGCGAAAAAAAACCAAACAAACACCAGGATCATGTGGAGCTGGTTTTCACCTTGATTGTTAAGATGCATCATATGTTAAATACACATAGAAATAAATAAATAAAATAAATAAATGGAGAGCAGGTTAATACGAAAATTTTAAGACAAAATTGATGCTCACTGCAGCAGTTATAGAGAGAAGGGTGACTCAATGTGAAGTCAATTGGAAACGAGCTGGAAGCGCCTCCATGAACACTTCCTATTTGGAATGCGGCGGATAGTGAGATAGCTCTGTCCATTTATATATACAGTCTATGCTACTACTACTACATATACAACAATTCACACAGTGGCTCTGATGTGGGTTTTGGCCTCTCGTAGCTCCTGTCTCAGGCCTTCAGTGAGGGCGGTCACAGCAAACTTAGTGGCACTGTAGAAATGGATATCTGGATTGCTCACCACTCGATGCCCACTCATGCTGCAACAATATAAGGATGTCATAAAAACGTAGGACTGACGATGTTAAAAATTAGTCGACTTTAAATCTACCTGTTAATGTTTATAATGTGTCCATCATCTACATTTCTCTCCTTCATTGACTGATAGGCCTCACGGGTGCAAACACTTAATCCAATGACATTCACCTAAAACACAGGTAAGTGTATTCATATAAGGTGGCCACTTTAAAGGTTCTACATTACGCAAAATAGTCTTGCAAGCTTTAAGTCACATTATAATGTTACCTCATCAAAAACATACTTGGAGTTGTTTTGCTTCATAAGCATGCTGACTAATGCTTTATTATGATTCTGTCTACGTCTTCAAAGCTCAAAATGCTCTGCTACACCTTGTGATGTGATGATTTAGTGGTAGTTTTCTAGTTAACAGCTAACATTTTCCTTTTGTTCAGTGGAGATGGCAATTCCAGGAGTGAAATCATTCAAATGATTCTAGTGAAAGTGTATGGAGTTTAAAAACACAGTAAAGTACTTCCTGGATTACCACGTGACATCACAAGGTGGAACAGAGTGTCTTCTGTATAATAGAAGAACTCAGCCAAAATATGCAGGGTTTGTGTGAATAAAACAAAATAACTCCAGGTAACTTTGGGATGAGAAAACAACATTATAACATAAATCAGGAAATAGCATAATATGGGCCCTTTAAACAATACTCTGAAATTCCAAATTAAATTGTCTGTAACAATATTTACATCTAACATGCTCTTCCAGGCACTGGTTTTGCCATTTAAAAGTGACTCTGGAAGAGCCAAACCCGCATTGTTGATGCACACATCCACTCCCTGATGCTGAGATTTAATGTAAGAGAACATTGACAAGATTTCCTCTTCGTTTGTCAGGTCACACTTGTAAGGCACCAGCAACCCACTATGGCCAGCGGCCTGGCACTCCTCTGAAAGTTTCTGTTAATGATATACAAAAAGAATCAGTTACTGTTGTGCACCACTGTAGGCTTCAGTATTATTCAGTATTTCAGAATAATCTCTGAAATACTGTATTGTATAAGTCATAAGTGTAATTATGAATAGACTGGCATATATAACAGAATGGCAACACATTTGGCCCATTATACTTTTTAAATACAAGTACTAAAACTAAGTATTAGTAGTAAGGCATATCTAGCTTTGGTACCTGTATTTTCTCCACGTCCCTGGCACAACCCATCACCTTCATGCCATGCCGCACCAGCTCCTTGACAACCACAGCTCCAATCCCAACTGAGGCCCCAGTCACGAGGGCCACTCTGCCCCTCCAGCGCTCCATGTCCCGACACAACCTACTATGGAGTGAAGAATCATTTCAGAACACTTTTCAAACCCAAGAAGGCCCAAGTTATACAGCTCCTGCACCCATGCGACTAAATCTGACAAGGTCGTCAAATTAGCAATGTAGATTAATTTAATGAATGACAGTCGTGGAAATCGCAGACAATAATTCATCTCAAAACTAACCTGAAAGTAACAGAAATATAACTATGTAAACTCCACAATTTGGCAAGAGTTGAGGACAGCTGAACCCAGTTTAGAATTTGACAGGACAGTGGCTATAATTTGCATAAAAGATTTTCTTAGGCCTAGTAAACGGCGTAGATGTTTCTGCCAAACAAAAAAAAAGTGAACCTGCTACTTGATAGATTGTGGATCCGGCGGAGACTGGTCAAAAGAAAGTGCAAGTAGTAGTTTAGGCTACAGCAGCCCTGTGTTGAATTTACCAGCACTTTTAATAGGCTACTAGGTTAATAACAGGCTATAGAAAAAACAATGTGCATCATGGCACCACAAAACTTACTTAGGATTTGATCGATGTTTGTGGAGCGATATAAACGAAAACACAACTCCACACTGTAGTGCAGAGTTACGGAGTAGCGCCAACGTGGCCCCGTCTCATTTCTCTTTCCTCACTTCCTTCTCTTTGATTTCTCTTCGATCCTCAAATTTTAAGCTGTCAAACAAATGTGTCATATTACGTGGTGTCCCAAAGAAAACCACGGAAGGAAGGAGGTAACATGAGGGAAGCTTCGGGAGGCAAACTTCTTATACAATAATCAAACTTTATTGGTCTCAGTGAGGAGTTTATATCCTCTCTCCTAGCTTTGTCTCCTCTTGAGGGTGGGACTTCCTCACCCATTTCCTGCAGAATCAAGGAGAGGAATCAAGGAGAAGGAAGCGAGGAAAGAAAAATGAGACGCGGCCCGTGGATAAACTTGATCAACCAGCAGAGCGTGTGACCTTTGTTCTTTATCATGAGGCATTCATGCTCAAAATGAAAATAACAATAAGGTTTTAGAATAGACAATAACCACTTAAAGAACATAATAAAAGAAAAATTAATTAAAGAGTATAGAACATAGTCTGCACTGTATCAATCGCTGAAAGCAATAACTTCTAATTTAAACGCATACGCGTAGTAAGCCTATTTGCTGTGCCTGTCGTCTGGTGAGTGGATGTCACTTGTGACAGCTTCCACTAGGTGGCAGCACCATGCAGATGATCACTGGTCTCAGTAGGCCCAAAAGTTGAACTCTCTCTCATAAATACTTAACTAGGCTGCGTGGTGATGATGTGTGAACAGGTTCCTCAAAATGCGAACAATAGGTCTAGGCTAGGTCTATGTAGCCAAATTCTACTCATGTAAGAGTGGGATTTAGAAACAAAAAAAACAAAAACAAAAAAAACAAAAACAAACAAACTTTAGAATAATCAAGTGAGGCTACAAAACTGTTTAGAAATAATTACTCAAGTGAGAGTAGATGTCTTCATGTAATATTTGATTTATTTGAAATTGATGTAATTGACATGACAAAGCAATAGGTTAATTAGTCAAATAATGCACATAATAGCTAGGCTATAGGCTATAAGGACAGCACAGTAATTTAGTTTTAAAATAAAATAACATTTGAAGTTGTACAAAAAAAAAAAAAAATCACATTTGTCACTCACTTGTAGGGTTACAGTGGAAAGAGTAACCGTTAGTCCGTTACACAGTAAAAAAATAAAAAATAAATAAATAAATAAATACGCTATGGTGTCTGAAAACTACTCATCTTTTAATAAAAAGGATTCTAAATGTGAGTACATGTAACTCTTCACCTCTTCCTTGATATTTTAGTTTGGGGTCACATGTGACTCAAAGTTTTTGGCGGGATATGCCGTAGACTTTGAGTAACTGTCAGTTTACATTGCACCAGGGGTGTTGAACAGGGACACCCCTGTTTACCTAGGGCCAGTGCCAGGAGGGGCCCTTTACAAAGTCTGTAATGTGCATTTTTCATTAGACAACATGTAATACAAGCTCACCAAGATGATTTATACCCAGGGCCCAGAATCTGGTGGCACACATCTGGGTTAAAGAATGGTAAGAGATAATTGAATTAGGTCTGAGCTCACACTGTTAAAGGTAAAGATGAAATGTCATTAGACCTGGCTCTTGTTTTGGCCATGTAATGCTATCTATACCCCTCTAAGCACTACAGGGATCCCTTTAGGTATAATCCCATGTTCCACAGGAATAAGTGTCTGAGGTTAGAGCAACTGTTCTGTGCTAATCTGCAGGGTGCAAAGTCATGCTCGCCTACGGTACAGCCCGTCTGCTTCCATGTGCCAAGAACTTTGAGAATGTCTAGTGAAAACTTTTAGTGTCTGAAAATTTGAACCTATAGAGTTCAGCTCCATTTTGGATTTTATATGATTAACTGTTGTAGAGAACCATTCTCAAGAATACATTCTAGACATATTGAGTACATTGAGCATTTTATTTACATTTAAATAAAACAGACTAAAACATCAATAGTCTTTGCTACCCAACTGTCTTGTATGGTTGGTTTGTCTTTCACTGAACCATATATATTTACTTAAAATTTGTACTTTTCATATTTGTTTGCAGCCCATCCCCCATTTCCTCTTGTGTTTAGGTGTGACTCTGAGGTTTGGGTCTTACATTATAATGTTGAATTGTGAGCTGTTTTCTGTTTCACGCCTTGCACACTTGCTGCTGCAGGATGGGGAACTGCTTTTGCACCCCACCCCCCACCCACACCTCAGCTCGAGCTCAGACGGGAAGCACTTCTCAGAAACATCAACCTCACTCCAGTTTATTAACAGAGACATATTGTAATGAAAAAGAACTTCAATTTAAACTGTGTTCCCTCATTATTAGTTAACTCAGAGTTGTATTACAATTGATTCATGCATGTAGTAGTAATTTTGCATTATCCTACATTTGAGGCGCAAGAGCTTAAAAAATCTTAAATTGTTGTTTTCACCTATTCCCTGTGACAAATTGCAGTTATTGTTATTATTAACATGTTTAGTTAAAAAAACTCCCATAGCCACTTTTCAAAAATAAAAAACACATATTTTACATCAAAACTAAAATTGTATGGACACAAATGTATTACTCAAATTAGGCCTATTATTTTGAATCAAAAGTTGATAAGTATTTGCAGACATTTTAATTCACATTAGTTATTTTCTGTTATTACTGCTTGTTGGATTACTCCAATGAATTTAATGGACTACTCCTGCATTACATAGCATCATTATGTTATTTAGTCTTCTTATATTTAATATGCAAAGCTAGTGCTACATATTTCTCTTATATAGTAGGCCTATAGTAAAATCTATAGGTCTATACGTGTGCATTTGATATCCTTTGTTGCTAAAGGCCTCGTTGTGTGTGGGAGTTCACATCTCCGTAAATTTTGCATGTGCATTTTTTTTAAGCTTCCTGTCTGAGGCTGAGCTAATATAAGATCACGCTCACTTCTGGGTTTTTCTTTTTCTGCCTCTGTTCAAACAGGTAAGACCAAAAAACATGCTGCTCATATATTCATTTTGCTATTTGTGTGGTTAACTTATAATATCTCTACCATGCTTGAAATATTGATGCAAGGTTGAATATTAAGGATGTAATCAGAAACAATGTACTTTGTCTAAATGTGCACGTGGAGCATCCAGAAGCTACAGATGTACAGTGTTGTCACCCATAAAGTAGAAAGCACTACTAAACTCCTCTGCAATGTGTAGTGTTTCCTACTTTATGGATGAGTGGACTGTTGGCGGCAGTGGACTGAAGACCTAAGTGAATTTATTTATAATAAGTAACTGACATGTATGGTATTTTTAAAGAATGTTGTCAAATTCCTGTTTTTGCTTATGTTATAATTTCAGCAATAGAAAAATACATGCAATTTATACTCTGAAATGATGTAGCCTATGCTTTACTCCAGCAATTAAAAATGGTACAATACAATGTTTCTCTTTATTGTGTTTTGTAATTTTTAAAGTTTTATATAAAAACAGTCCAAACAGAGCATAAGGCAAACATGAGAGTACTAAATATATACACTCTGGTTTGAGTGTACATTTAAGGCCAATGTCCATTACATCAGTTGTACAAAGTATTTTCCAACTAATCACTTTGCTTTATAGTTTATGTAAATGTCTCTATGAATTACATTGATAAGATGCTCTGTATTTGGCATTCACCTATCTCTTAAGTACAAATATAAAAAAAGACTTGGCCCAAATAGCACTTCACCTAAAATGAGGATCTCTAATCCCATGGCAGTGGCTGTAGGTAGTTGGATGGGACCAAACCTCTTCTTCCATGTAGATCACCCTGAGATTTTGACATTTGTTTTATGTTAAATTGTGGCCTGTATTAAACTAATGTAAAAATGTCATAAACACTTACATAGTAGAAACCATCTTGATCCATTTCCCCCAACACATAAATGATGTCCCCTGATCGAAAGCCTAGTTCTTCCTGAAATAAAATAATATATTTAAAATACATTTTTTATTTTTGTCAAGACAAATTCAAGATTTGAGATTTTGAAATGGGCAGCATAAATCAGACTTACTTCACTGTCAATATTCGGCGAACTTTCCCAAGGATCATAGTCAAATAAGGCCACCATTCTGCGCACCACCAAGTCTTCAGGAACACTCACCACACTACTGCTAAGGTCAGGAGTCAATGCCATACCTGTCACAAGACCCACACTTTAGAACAATACAGCACATCAGAACCATGGACTCTTTTATCTCAAAATAAATCAGTGAGTCAAATGTTTTAAATAATCTGGCATTTGAAATGTTCAGCACTTGTAGACACTAATGGTGGAGTACGGCCTTCCAAAACCATAATGCAATGAAACAATAAAAAATATATAAATTTATGTGTTTTTTTATGTGTATTTTTAGTTGTAACTGAGCAGCTTCCTGTCTCTGCATGTCATGGTTTCGAGTTGACTTCACATTGACAGTTTCTCGTGTACAGAGTGTTTCTGTGGTTTCCTTACCTGCATGGTCGACAGGAATGAACCCCTGCTGCAGGAGGAGGTGCTTCAGGTAGTCATCATCTACTGGCACTTCAGCCACCATGTTACTGGGCACAAATCCAGAGAGGCCCCCAGACTCACCACGATAGAAACCATCAGAGTCTTTATCACCAAAAACCTATCAAGCAATTTTTAGTTCAGTGAACAAGTGAAGCACATTACATTCAAATAAACTAATTTATGGCACCATACCTTGATGATCTGCCCTGGGACAAATGGTAGCTCCTCTGCAGCAGCCTCATGGTTTGGGGACATTGCCGCAGGGTTGTATGGGTATAGTGCCACAAACAGACGAACAGTTGGGATCGAGACCTGGCTGGCCGTCTCCAGCTCCCATTCTCGCAGGTCCTCTGGTGTAGCAACTCTCACCTCATCTGGAAATATTAAAACATCCAGCTCTAACTGACTGTCCATGGACACCTACGTGAGTCCACCTCTTCACTCAGACAGATGGCTGCAGGAGACAGCACAGCTCTTTAGCCTCATCCTTATTTCAGGTAACAAAGCTAAGCAGCTGATTCACTAATCCTCTTTGAAGGAAGTGGATAGATCTGGAGCTGTTGCACTGTATTACAATATAAAAATACAATATGAACCTAAGAAGAAAATTAAAGGATGTGAATCTGTTGTTAAGGCCTCCAGTAACTAAAGAGGGAAATAACACCCCTAAAAAAGGCTTAGTATAAAAGTAGAAAACTCTTGTTATCGTCACTGAATATATATTATATATATAATATAATATATGAATATACAGTATAGGCCTAAATGGTGTATAATTTATTGACTGAGCCATCTACAGTAGGCATTATATGAAAATATAGACCTCCTGTGACTGATGTTTCCTGTTTAGCCCTACTGCATGCGTTTACCCTAATCCACACTTTATACCAGTAATTACCAGCAACATGACATTTATATTGACAAATTTATATTGACAACAGTCAGCTCTTTCACTTGACTCCTCCTCTGATGACTTGACCTACTTTATGGCTCACTACACAACACTTCCTGTGTGACCTATGACCAGGTCAGCAGCTGATAATCTCTGACATAAAAGAGGGCCGAGCCGGTGTACATTCACAAACACGTTTACACAGACAGTTATATTTATCTGGCATTAATAGAGCTGTGGTATGTACATTCAAGCAAACAGTAATATAACAAGCTGTATATTTAAATAAATAAAAATGAAAATAACATAAAAATAATTCTGTGTGCTTCAGCACTTATTATAGGCTACCTCATTTGACACTTGGCTTTGAACCAAAAGAGGGTGCTGTTATCAAGAATACATTAAAGGCTACTTTTATTTTTAAAACGAAAATGGGCATATACGTTGCAGGTACCGGCCTTTATAATATTACGTGAGTGTGCTGGCCTCGGGCGCACATCTCAATTCTATGGGCTACATCACAGACATCATGATCTCTGCTCAGGAGCATTTAGTCCTGAGGACAGGAAGCGCTCATATCTCACATTTCACTTCAGGGACACCACTGAGTGAGCTGCTGCTGTGCACTAAACATTACATCAAGATTTAAAGTATGAGGCCTGCAGCCTGTGCAGGGCCCACTACAGCTATAGGACTAAAGCGCTACATTTCAGCTGATGAGTGTACACTATACTGTGTAACCTATAAATCAGTGCAATAATGAAAATGATGCATAATACCAGTAAGCAACCACATACTACACTTAAGAATATCCACTAACTCAAACACATGCAGCTACTCTAACACTAGGCATTCTCCAAAGTTCTCACCTTTGAGCTACAGTTGTCAGTTCATCCATCCTTAAGATACACACATAGCCTAGAAGATGTAGCTTTTGTTGCCTTTTTAAAGCAAATTACTTGTCATGTTTAATACTGGGCCAGGCGGACACGCCCGGGCCTTACGTTAGTACTTTAAGAACTCAATATCCCACAAGCCCACGGTGCGCCACTAGTACTCTCGTGCGCGCATAGCCCACTGGCGCCTATGTACGGGGTGTTACATCATTGGCACCGACTCCCACCTTCCTGAGTGATGACGCAGCCGGGGAACAGCGTGTGAGGAAGGGGAGGGCGAGAGGAGCGAGGAGGAGAGAGGGTGTCCCGTCTGAGCCCAGCATAGAGACAGACAGCAGGGAACAGCTGCAGCGTGAGGTGCGCCTAGGATTTCACTGCATTGCGATTTAAATAACGGCCATTTCACTCCCATATCCCCGAATAGAGCAAGCTCGACCAAGCAACCAAATATCAACGCAAAAATGGTTGATCGCGAGCAGCTGGTTCAGAAAGCCAGGCTGGCGGAGCAGGCTGAGAGATATGATGACATGGCGGCTGCTATGAAATCGGTAAGTCCATTAGAAACCATTAGGTTACTGTGTGGCATGTATGAATGAGATTTCACTCTGAATGACCCGCCTGACACCAAGCCGTGCCTTGATTAGATTTATAGCTTTTAGATATTGTCATTTTATCAGTGTGTTACCATATTGTCTGTCTGTTACTTTGTCAGTCCAATTTTTGTGATTCATTCCTTCCCGAATACCCTTTGGGCGGTGCCTTGAAGCCCACAGTGTCGTTCATTGAAGCCATATTACAGCGTTACGCGCACAGGGCTCTACTGGACATCTCCCTTGTCGCCTCTAATGAGCTCGTTCGGTTGCATCCTTCGGGTCTCATCCTTTAGCATCCCACCTCCCCTTTTTTTCATTACGGTCAATTTCTAAAAGCTAACGGTACTGCTGCTGCTGTCGGGAGCCATGTGAGGTTGCTCGGAAAAAGCCTATCAACCACTGCTACTGCTGCGCCCTCCTCCGCCTCCTCCTTTCTCTCCTCCCCCTCTTTCTCTTTCTCATCCTTTCCTCTTTGTCATTTTCTTTTCAACAATTGCAATTACCCTATCATTTTAAAATATATAGGCCTGTACCAACGGTGTTTAGAAGCCTTGCTGTTAATGAGGCTTTAATTATGGCTTCACACACAGTAGTCTTTCCCCCAAACTAACGCAGGAGGCAGCACTATCTCTAGAATATTCTTTGTCATATTGCAGAGACACAATGAACAAATTAGCAGGTTACTCCCTTTCCCCAATTTCTGCTTTATCTTTACCTATTCCCAACCTATTGATTTGCACATAATATGAATTTAGGTTAATTAACAACATAGTATAGTTTTAAATAGGGGTTGGCATGGGTGGCCTTCCTCTTACGAGCTTCCTCAGTCCTTATTGGTCAGTATTAGGATGGTTTTGTCTGCTTGCGTCCCTCCCTAAGGCCTCTAAGGAAAATCTGAGAACTTGATTCACCCTTGAGTTATAATCCGTGCGGGACAGGAAAATGCTGTGTCATACCAAGTAAAAGGAGAAATAACAGCATCATAGTGGACTCGTCTAGGCCTATGAACTCTCACACAAGATGATATCATTTTATATGTCAAATTGGAAGCTGCCGGTGGCCTTTTTAAGTACCAGTGGATCATTTGATATCAGGGCTTTTGGTCTGTGGGGATGGGGTGATGCCAGTGCAAGGATGGCATCTTTTCCCTTTAAACAATCTGCCATGTCAGGGCTGGGCTCTTTCTGCAGGGTGTGTACTCTCACTCAGTTATACCAGGGAATCCCTCACAAAGCACAGCCACATTTAGATTTTGAACTTTTTTATGTACATTTTCTGTAACAGAAATTAACTAAGCTTGCACGATAAAACAGTAAAGGCCATCTTCTCTGTGCATTTATGGTTACAAGTTGTTTTTATACGATTCTTCTTTAATTTCTTCTTTCAAAATCAGATCACTAGGTTTGTATGTCAAACCTGATTCAATCACTCAAAAGTCTATAGTCCTAAGGGTTTGGCCCTCCTCTTTATCTATCCACTGACGCTGATAATTGTCCGCCATGTTTGTGCTCCACTGCCGGGCAACGAATGTCAAAACATCAAGTAGAAACATGTCAATTGAAGATACAGTTTTTTGGGCCTGACTCTTTTAACATAATCAATAAAAATAGGGCATGTGAATTTAGATTAGTTTATTAGTTTTGTTTTCAGTATTGCTGCATATTTAAAAAGCTGACATAATCCTGAGTCATATGTCCTGATTGCATCATGTTGTAACTTGACTTCCGTATTGTCCGAATCTGTTCAGTCTAAACATACATGTGTAAACGGGAGGGATGCAGAGGTGCAGTGGCTCTGGTAGGTAAAAAGGTCAGTGGGTGCTGCAGAGAAGGTCAGTAGGACACGTGAACCACTGAGCAGTGATGGTTCTCATTTACAGTGCAGCTGGCTTCAAGTGCTCGTGGGAACATTTTAGCCATCTCAGGCCTTCCCGTGCTCCCAACCCCCACTGCTGTCCATCCTAAATATCATTTTTACCTAGCATTAGTAGTCCACGTGGCAGCCGGAGCTTGAGGGCCTCTAAATGAATGTATTACCATGGAAACAAGGACTTGCTCATGTCAAATATTGCTCATCTTTCATCTCCCATGCCGACTGTTTTTCAAATGTAAAACCATGAATAACGAGTTAGTTACTCCTACGTGTAAAGGTCTGTTGCGTGTGATTAAACCCCCCTTTGCCTTGTTTTGTAGGTCACAGAGCTGAACGAGGCACTGTCTAATGAGGAGAGGAACCTGTTGTCTGTGGCGTACAAGAACGTAGTGGGTGCACGCCGCTCGTCCTGGAGGGTCATCTCCAGCATCGAGCAGAAGACTTCCACTGATGGCAATGAGAAGAAGATCGAGATGGTGCGTGCCTACAGAGAGAAGATAGAGAAGGAGCTGGAGGCTGTGTGCCAAGATGTCCTCAACCTACTGGACAACTTCCTGATCAAGAACTGCAGCGAGACGCAGCATGAGAGCAAAGTCTTTTACCTGAAGATGAAGGGCGACTACTACCGGTACCTGGCTGAGGTGGCCACAGGTGAAAAGAGGGCTACAGTGGTGGAGTCCTCGGAGAAAGCCTACAATGAGGCCCATGAGATCAGCAAAGAGCACATGCAGCCCACCCACCCCATCCGCCTGGGCCTGGCCCTCAACTACTCTGTGTTTTACTACGAGATCCAGAACGCGCCGGAGCAGGCCTGCCATCTGGCCAAGACCGCCTTCGACGACGCCATTGCCGAGCTAGACACCCTCAATGAGGACTCCTACAAAGACTCCACTCTGATCATGCAGCTGCTTCGAGACAACTTGACACTGTGGACAAGTGACCAGCAGGACGACGAGGGCGGGGAGGGCAACAATTAAAGAGAAGACACACTTCGAAAAAATGTTGAAAGGCCGGTGGACTTTGGCAGCCGCTTTTGCCAATGATACTACCGCTGACGCAGTTCTTTATTTTTCCATGAGTTAAAAGAAAAGAATCAAAAGAAAGGTGGGAGTGGAGGTTAAATCTTAGTTTAAATATATATAGAAATATATATACAGTTGAAGGGGGCCTCCGTCTTCTTGATTTTCTCTTTGACATTTGCCAAACCACTGATATGTCAGTCAATCAGTCTGAAGTGGTTGTTGTTGGATTGAAATGGCAGCCTCACACTGGCATAGGAACTGATCTTGATCTATCAAGATAAGCTGCTTAGTTAGGTTTTTGCGCAATAGAGATGCATTTGAGTCACTTGAGAGAGAAAATGCTTGAATGGGAATGCCTCACAAATAGTTTGCATTGGTTCCAGTAGTAGTAAAGGGCCCCTATGAAAGCCATTTTTTCACTCTAGCTACAAGGTATACCTGTCCTCTAGTCCCAAGTTTGAAAAATTATTACCTACAGTTTTTAATTATATTAGAAATTAGAACAAATGTATTCCCCTTTTTTATGTCTGAAGTGTATTTGGCATCTCACAGAATAGTCTTCAATTGTCACTGGAACCATACTGTTGGACGTGAAGATTACTAAAGGCAGAGACTTAATACAACAAAAAGACAAAAAATAATTAAAAAAGCAGCATCAGAGTTTGTGGTTTACTTCTGTGTTTGTTTTATTAAATGCACTTGCCTACTATACTGTTTCTTCAGTGTAAAATGATGACAATAATATCGATTATTCAATATTGTGCATGCTGGTGATGTATTTATATACAGTAGCTTGACTTTATTAACTTATACTGTGGGTGTTAAGTATTCATATGATTGAAAAACAGGCTTTGTCTAATGTTTATTTCTAATTTATTTTGTTTTGCTATTGTTTTGATTTGCTATACCAAAATGGTGATCGTAAAAATTGATCTGTAATGGGCGTTGCTATAGTGACATGCAATATGTGTTTTTAATTTGTTGAAAGAAAAAAGGAAGATAAAATCCACCAGTGATCACTTAACCTTAGCTGCTGGTGTTTGTCACATTAAAGTATGATTCTGATATATTTTGTTTGAACAGTATTTAAGTACTTTTTTGTCATGCTATTATCCAGTTTGAATAATGGTGACTTTTCCAGCCTCAATGTTTCTGTTATGAATTCACAACATGGACCATATATTTTATTTCTAACAGTATACATTTTTGTTTTTATACCTTTTAGCTGTTCCTGAGTGACAAAATATCTTGAATGTGAGTCATTATGTAGCAGTTGCACAAGAATCAAAATAATAGCTATGATAATAAAAAATATAATGACAAAATTATCAACACACCATGTCCATGGTGGTCTAGTGTATTATATTATCATCCATAACACGGGGAGAGCCATTTCATAGAGGTTTCACCTTGTTTGGTGCCCTCAGTACAGTCTGTGCTACCTATCTGTGCCTGTATCTTGTTTGAATAGGCCTCATTTACAAGTCAACCTTTACCAAAAAGGAGTTGTTTTTAAGTATTTTGTTTGATCGCATGTATGTAACAAAAATTCCCCTTATGTGTCTTAATGTCCTACATATTTTACTATATATTATTATTCAATGATGCACAAATAGAAAGATTAATGTCAAATGGGAGTGAACAAACTTGCTGCAAAGCACAGAAAACTGCTGAAATCATTTAAATGCTGCTAAACCTATATGTTATATTAAAGCAAATGGCAGTTTTAGGACTTTATTTTCATACTACACAAAAAGGTGGTTTTCATTCAGATGTAGTAACTTAGACGACAAACCCAAAGCCTTAAGGTCGGTCACACAACCTTGTTCATGTATGCCAACTATGCCACCACCATGAGTCAGCCTGCATGAGCTCACACTATGTCCCAGCTGCCTCTTTTATTTTTAACTTGGTATAAAGTTGATAGCTTGCCAGACAAATAGCATGGATCTTTTGCCTAATTCTGTGCAGCTGCTCACACATACACAATAGTATTTTAGATACATATTACCATTACAGTTCAGCATGAGCTTTGATGTTCTCATTGTGGCCAATGAAAGGTATAGGTGACACCTGTCCAAAGCCATGTCAGGATACTTTCACCCATTGCCATAGAAACTGCATTATTTTTTGTTTAAGGTATTTGTGTTTTCACTTCTATGTTTTTTTTATGTTAAAATTATTTTATAATTTGAATTTTAACCCCAGCTTTGTGACATGGAAACTTAAACGATATCAACCAGACATTAGCAATTTAGACCTATATCAATAAAGACGATAGCTAAGATTTTAAATGTATAATTTGAAATCTTTGGTTCCCATCTGTTGTCCATTAAAGTTATTTGTTTATCTGTATTCTTAATTTTCTCTTCTCTATATTCTACCCAAAGTACCCTAGGACAACATGTCAACCTATGAATTCACACCACACTATTTAACCTCAGGTAAACTCTAGCTGGTAGTACATTTAAGCTTATATATTATGCATGTATTTGTAGGCAAAGGTATTGCAGCCTGCAGTAGGCCTATTAGCTGCAGTGCAGACATGTGCACACACATTAGTGAACTCTGCATCCAAACAGGGCGAGTCACCAATCATTAACTAAATTAGGCCAGAGATCAAAGAGTATTACTTCAGTAGACAGTTTACGGCCAAGCCAAAGGGGAACACTATCTTGTGGATCTAGTAATACAGAGATAGAGTACATGTTTTTGTGTTGGTGTACTGCTTTATGAAACTCGTAAAAGACTCGTGTATTTGATGGAGGCCTACAGAAGTACCTGAACTGCTGAAGCAGTTGGATCCACCGCCCACCATCACACTGCAGCCTTGCGCTGCAGCCTGCTGCACTCAACCTTTCATGAGATGAAATTCTGCGCTTTGAACGGTCCTGGTCACCAGCCAATCACAGCTCGGCTCTCTCTCCTCACCCACCAATCCTGCTGCTGTTGCTAGGGCTATAATAAGGATCTCACTGGTAGCCCAGCTTCTTGCTGCACTGTTCTGCAGACACCTATTGCATCCTGTAAATGAAAGCTTAAAGCACATAGGACATAGTTGGAGCTCCATGCAAACCAACAGCCTGCACGTTATTGCATCAGATCACTTCCGTTAATGTCACATACACACATATGTCAGAGAACACTGGACCCAGTGATGCTCATGTATCTACAGCATTTTACTTTAACCTTGAAACACAGTTTACAAAAACACCGCATGGCTGTGTGTTTACACCACAATCTGCTGTCACCTCATCTACTAAACTGTACAAATCACCATAACCCTCCATAAGAGATGCAGAGATCAGGTATCAGAAATGTTGGTAATTTAAAAAAGCAAATACATAACTGGTCCAAGCAGGCCTGTTTTACTGTGTGCGCAATCTCGTCTATTCTCTTTGATCAGTAATAATAGAAATGGCAGTCAAAGACAAGCCTGATATCACACAAAGGTGACGCTCTTTAAACATCTGGGTGAAATCTGTTGATCTGCGTGAGATTCATGTCACATTACAATCAACAGAGCAGTGATTTCTTATGTTACTGTGTATCATTAACATAAGATCATTCTATTGGACTAAAACAAGTGTGACAAAAAAATTACATTCTGGAGTATTTTGTGGCTCTACCTTTTTAAAGTCATTGCACTTGGGGCCCGAAGCAGGTTTCTTGGAAAAACTAAGGTCAGAGGATATTTTCAAAGGTCATCAAAAGTGTGGTCTTTGTTTGAGTTCATTGATTTCCTTTGTTAACTCTACACATGAGGCACCATTTCCCCCTCACTGGGTTTGTGTGCTGCTTAACCCCAAGGGCATCAGGAGGGTGTCTGACAAAGGAAATAGCAAAAACAGTTAATTCATGACTTGTGTGATATGTTATGAAATATATTTAAAATTCTATTACACTGTACAAGTCCTAAAGGATAAACAAGTCAGTTTTAGTTTCTTATTAAACCAAATAACATTATTTTCAATACCATTTTGATGTACTATTAACAAAACTTTTAAAATAGTCAAATTGATTCTGCTATAGTCTGAATTCTGCTCCAAAGAACATGTTTTTACTGTGCCATAGGTCCCTCCACACACCAAATTCACATGACAAGTCTTGCTTAAGGGCACAACAACAGAAATTGTTTGAGTGGGAATCAATCCTTTGACCTTCGGGTTGCCCACTGAAATCAATATGTATTACTAAACACAAGAAGGGAAAAGCCAAAAAGAATTATGCACAATGTAAAAAATAGTACCACAAATACATATATAAAAAATTGCTTGCATCTACATTTAACAGCAAAGTTTTTTAAAGATGATAAGCAAAATTTCAAAGTTTATGATGTGTCATGATGCAATCCACCCTTTAACAATTCAAAGAAGATATTATGTGCTCAGTTCCAGAAATATCCAACTGAGAGGCCGAGAAAACAAAAGATGAAGAAGCGATGGATAGAAGAACGAGGGGACCGATCTACAAATCTAAAAATAGTGCTCCCTGCAGCCTGTGAGTAGACAGTGAATAGACCGTAGACATCAATGTGACAGGCTCTCCACTACAGAGGCCAAAGTAAAGCGTCCATACTTTGGCCGACTTCATCTTTTCAGTCATGCAGTCTGATTTATGACCAAACAAAACAAATAAATTAATCCCAAAGAGGTAAAAATCAGGACGTGTATCATTGTAACAGGACACAGAGGCTCTTTTCTGCACAAAGACAGTAGTTGTGTGTGCATGAGTGCTGCAAAATGAATAATTTACAATAACATTTAGACTTTGTATTATTTATCAAACCATGACACAGTATTCCACTAAAAGGTTTTAAGGGGCTATTTCAGGAAGCACTTGTCCTAAAACATTCTCATATACATTGCCTGATGAAATACGTTGTGTTATAACATTATGTTACTGTTTCTGTTATTTTATGTGAATATACTGCTGTATATTCACAGAAAAATGTTCTTTTCTGTTAAATAACAATAGAATCATAAAATTGTGCACCGATTTGCTTGGGTGTCCTTTTTAGTGCTGTCTTTTTCTGAGTGCTTGTGGCCCTCTCTAGGGTATGTATTATTACAGCCAGCTAACTGCATATGCTACACAGATATTGTTTGAGTCATCTATTTCTAATTTTTATGTCTGTTGCAGGGTGCTCCTTAGGGAAGCCAAACTTCATTCACCAGGCCCTGATCTGTTGAGTTGTTTAGATTGTAAAGTGACTTTAATGTCATCAGATTTGACCACATCTGAGCAAACAGATGAGTAAGCTAAAAATAAATATTATGGGAAATGTGCTAAACTGGCCTACATTGTGATAAAAACCTGTCAGTGATGAAAACCAAACTAGTTATTTTGAGCTTTCAGCAGCAATCACATAAGTTGGCCTAAAACAGTAGCAGTTATTGTATTACGTGCTGCTTTCCCCAGTGCTCTCCAGGGCATCACAGATGCCACCCTCAGCATTTGTGAAGCTGCCTGACGTGAACAGGTGAATCATGAGCTGGGTGTGGGCAGGGAATTCCCTCAAGTGTAAAAATGGAGGCACAGATCCTTTGTACAGTGTGGTTAACAGTGTGGTGGTGCTAACCAGTGAACTTAGAAACAGACTAAGAGGTTAGACTAGAGATAGGAGAGAGGATGAGAGAGGCTAAGGATAAACTGAAAGAAAGGCCTTTGCTCTAGTCTTTGGAGCAGACGGCAGGAGCAGAGCTAATTTTGCCTGTGGAAAAACAGTGCTGTCTGAGTGTGGGACCAGACAGAGAGCAGTACCCTTGAGCGTGTATTGGAATGACACAAACACACTAAAGATTTGAAAGGTAGTGATTGTAGAGATGAATAAGAAGCAGGCCATGCTGAGCAGCTGCTCAGAAAAGTGCAGCATACAGTGAAGATACTCCTCTGTATGAGAGCAGCATTGTGCTGTTGCATGGCAACAGTTTCCACAGAAATCCTCCTCAGAAACACTCCTCTTTGGTCTCACAAAACTGCAATGGCATAAAACACCGACTGCAGGAATACAAATGCTACAAACATGCAACGTATTATGGGTTAAGGCATTTTAACACATTTAGTAATATCTATCAATATCAAATATGCACCTGACCTGTTTTACAACAGAATAATTATTGTGAAATATGTGAATGGCTGCTGGTTGTGGTCTATGAATTCATGCAGCCTCAATTCAGGGTCTGAACACCTTTACTCTTTATCATAACTTGATTATTATAAACTATGAAAGTCTGTCTAAATAAAACCTTGAAAAAAAAAAAATCTAATAGTCTTAATGTGATGACACCACTGACGTGACTGGCAGCAGCTCCTTGCATTTTGCAGCATCATGCTTCCCTTTTATTGTCAGCGCTAACCATCTATTTTTATATCACTTTCAAAGCATATGAATAAGCAGAGAACGATGCAGCGTCAACACCAGGTTTTAGCCAACATGTTAACCTGAATTAAAGATTAGCTTGTAATTAGTAGAAACATATGTCACAGCTATTGGAAATATAATTTCAACTAACCACACATTTGTTAAGTAGTATGTAAATAATGTGTGGTTTTCATTTGAGAATTGTTCCACGTCAATTGATCACCTGTTATTGATCACTGTCATGAGAGCGCTGCCCTCTTCTGGTAATAGTCTGTAATGTTGTGACGTGCACTACTGGGTTGCCAGGTTATTTTAAACTCTACTACACAATACTAATGAGAACCTTATCCTATAAATACCAGTAAAAAACAAACAAACAAACAAACAAATAAAAAAACAAGACTGAACATACAGAACAATAGAACAACATAGTGCCCTCTAGTGGGACACTAGTGGTTTTACTACATTATTGAAATAAATTGCATTTAGAAGCAAAATATTTATTGTCTTTCAATGGGTAGGAAAATGTAAAAATAAATGTAGAAGTATATTTACATAAACAGCAGTATAATGCTAATAACTACATTCTTGGTCATCTAAAGTTACACAGAGGTGATCTGACCATCACTGTTATCTTTAAACAGTATCTCGATAAGAAAAACACATAAATGTCTTCTACTGAAGCAGACTCACTGAAGCCTGTTCTATGTCCTTATTCAGCGCTTTCTGCAAAGGCTTCATCTTCGTACAAGTCCTCCAGCTCTCCCTCCCGGCTGCCCTCACGGCTCACTTTCCTGTGGGGGAGAGAGTCCATCAAGCCACTGAAAGCACTAAGTGAGATTGCAGATGAGAGGGAGTGAGGGAGGGGGAGAAGGGAGCTAGGCTGAAATGTCAAGCAATGCACATCCTCCACTGTACAGCTCAACACTTTTCATTCATTCTAGCCCTAAAGAGAAATGAGCTCGAGGACGGCTGACCAAATAACCTCAACATGAGTGTGTGTCCGTTTATCTTAAGTAATTGCTCTATTGTTATGTCATCATTCATGAGACAAAGAAACAAGTCTATGAAGTCATTGAAATATTTACCTCAAGGATGAGTGTATGTGAAGAGAAGACCGCAGTGAGGCCAAGTCACTGCAACAAAGAGCAAACATTATAAAGTATCACAAACCTACAAATTAATATAACTTCACACATACATTCTTTCTTTCTTAGTTAAGTCACAATCTTGTTTTCAGTACAGTTCATATATGCAAAGTAGATTTATATTGTTTTTAATGGATAGAAAAATGTTTCTGCTACTTCTTTAATTGATATAATGGACACATTATGCAGCAGGCCTGCAACTGTAAGTAAACCAAATAGTGATCCACATCAAAGAGATAACACTGACAGAAACATGCAAATATAAAACAGAAAAAAACCAACACATTATTTGGTTTAGATTGTGAAAATAATAAAAGTAATAAGCAATAGTTTTAATTTTATTAAATATATAAAACCGCTGATTAATCTTTTGCAGGGTTCCACATAATCATCAGCAGCCCCTGTATTCCTGAAGAAAGCTCAGATGGGACTAGCGTGATAATAATTATATTGACATACTGTTCAATATAAGTTAGATGAAACAATAATTTTTTGGTTATCAGTATTTATCATGTGTACATTTTCTTTGCACTACCGGGAAATTGTTGGTTATTTTGTGACTATATGATATGATATGAGCTGTAAAAGGTTTAATTAATAACTTGACTATGACTCATTACATTTACAAACTAACTACTAAAGTGTTTCATTCTGCTGTTTATGTTTTTGCAGCTCCTGGAACAGTCTTCCTAATTATATGAGACAGGCCTCTTCTTTGACAATGTTTATATGCCTGAGGTTTTAACCTACTCTCTTCCCTTTTAATGTTAATTTTATGATGATTATTTATGTTTAGATTTGTTTGTAATATGATTTTAATGCCTTTCTTTCCTGTAAAGTACTTTGAATTACTTTGTGTATGAACTGTGCTATACAAATAAACTTGCCTTGCAAGTCTTTGTGGTATAAATCTGCTATTGGGTTATTGTGTCAGTAGCATGAATTAGTTTCAATATTATCTTTTATTTCAATATTTCTCTGTAGCAATGTATCATGCTTCAAAATTTGTTATCATGTCAGGCTTAAGCTCAGTTATGTGCAGTGCTGAGGTGAGAGAAGCAGCAGAAGCTCATCACATTTGGATGTGTAATTATCAGCACCAGTGGGTCCTTACAAACATCAGGGTCTTGTTAATGGAAAACAAAAGCACCAAAGCCATTACTGGTGCAATAAGAGCTCCATTTAGCTCATCAGGGGACGACTAATGCCTGTATCTGTGCCTCTATCTGCCTGAACAGTGCTTAATTGTACCATTGAACCAAACCCATACTGCTGATCAATATTCACAGATGTAATGATAACTAGGCCTTGTATGTAGAGTTGTATGGATAGCTGTATGAATGCAGGCATGTGCTAGCTGTTTTATTTTGTTGAAAGGCTAATCGCAGAGTTAGCAGTTTGACGGAGCAGAAGAAGCAGGATTTGCAGACTAGGGCACTTACGTAAGAAGACCTCCAGGGGCAGACATGGACCTCTCTGCGCGTCTGGCTTGACACTCAAAGGGATTACTGAAAGAGCGCTTCCTCAGCATGGACTTCACCAGGATCTGCAGCAGCAACAAAGCACAATTCATGTTAAGAAAAAGACAATGTCAAAAGATATGAGAATGACTATAGAGCTTAATAGAGTTAATAAATTATTTTTTTTTTTTTATTCTATTACACAGAGAAAATATAAAGATAACACTTAAAAGTTTATTAAAACAATCAAAATCCACAAAATAAAAAACAAACAAACAAGCAAACAAAAAAAAAAACTAAGCACTGTATTGCGCAATACCTCTGAGTATGTTAAACTTTACATAATCAGTCACATTAATATCTACATTATATCTATAGCCGTCTTTAGAAGCTGTTAGCTTTGACTCACCACAGTAGAAAGGCTGGGGATGAGTTTGATGCTGTTCTTGACTTCCTCCTCAGTGAGCTCCAGCACCGTACAATGCTCCTCCTCTAGGGGGAGTGGGTCTGTGCCATTTTCTGTCACCCATGGGTGCACCTGTAACACATATCTGCATGAAAAAGGAGCAAATACAAAATACAAAAAGGAGCTAATACAAAAAGTTGTATTTCTCACCTTAACTTCTGGGAGTGTGATTCTTGTTTCAGGGTTTTTATCCAACATCCTTTGAATAAGATCTTTTAAATCATCACTAATGGCAGGTCTGCAAAAGAGTAAAATTTTTTTGTGATTCAACAAGAAAAGGGGAAATAAAGCACTTTTGTATCTAAAAGTTTTCTTACATTTCAGGAAATACCACAGGGTCTTTCTTGATCTTGTTGTGCAGTGCTACAATGTATTCATCATAAAAAGGACACTGAAACAAAAATAAACTGAATATTTGATAATAAAATAATAAAAATATTAGAGTTTTTAAAGTGCAACACCACCTTACCTTTCCAAAGACAAAACAGTAAAGAGTGACTCCCATTGCCCACAGATCTGAAGCCTAGCCAAAAGACAACATACAGTGTGAACATAAATATATATTTTTATGATTTTAGAGTTAATATTGTACTTCACAAGCTTGAGAGCCTTCTCACTTTGCCACTAAAGGTCTGCTCGTGCTCAGTCATGGTTTCAGGGGCCATAAAGGCGGGGGTCCCAGCCGTGCCTGACAGCAGAGCATCTGCGCCCTTGAACTCTCGACTCACTCCAAAATCTGCAATTTTCACATGACCATCGTCCCCCAGCAGCAGGTTTGATGGTTTAATGTCTCTGTGGATGATCTTGTGGAAGTGCACTGTGAATAGATACAATATCAATTGATCAAAGGTAATTTAGGGAAATATCACACTATAATTTATTTTAAACATACAATATTCTATTCCTAGGACCACATCCCTGAAGTAAAAGAGAGCCTGCTCCTCTGAGGGGGTTATCTGTAGGCACCTCCATCACAGGCCTGCCAAAAAACCCAAAATATTTTAATTGATGAAAATATTTGTCTTTGTTTATTAGCTTAGCTTGTATGTATAAAACATACCCCCTTTTTCATTAGTTCGAAGGCTTTAGTTAAAAAAAAACAAAAAACAATTATGCCATATAAATGAATGAATGTACAAACTATCAAAGAGGTTTATACCCTACCCATGTGAAGTCCATCCTCATTTGGATCATCAAGCACCTAACACACGCACATGTCAGCCTCACAAACATTTAGATCTGTCTAAACATCAACAGTTTAACTGTATTATTTGTTCTTCTCTTACCTCCACTAGTTTTACCACATTATGATGATTCAGTTTCTTTAGGATGGCAATCTCCTTGTAGACTTTGTCAAGAGGCAGCACAGCGTTAGGATATGGATCCTGCTGTGAGCCTTGAGACGGCCACCGACCTGAGAGGGCACTCACTCAAACACCAAACGCCAAACCAAATTTAATCAAACGATTGTCACTGGAACAGTACTCACGGATAAATCCACACTGCTTCATCATCCTCTTCTTAGAAACAACTTTCATGGCCTAGACATGGTGCAGACAGTATCAATAAAAACACACAACAAAAACACACCATAAAAACACTGTATGGAGGAAATTATGACTCATTATTAAAAAATCACTTGCATAATACTCTTCTGAGTCTTCATTATATGCCAGTTTCACAACTCCATATGAACCCTGGTAAAAAAAAAAAAATCAATTTGGGGCAGAGTGACATGACCACGTTTAATTTTATTATATTTTTGGCTGATGCAGAGTTATTAAAACCTATTTTTATTTATCACTTCATACTCCTGTTTATTAATTATTTTTTATGTAGCCCCACAGCCCCAAACTTAACCATATTTAGCTTTATAATCACCTTTCCAATTTCATTCTGCAGCTTGTATTGGTTGAGCTGGACAAAGTCCTATAGAAAAAGAAACAATTCTATGAAATGATGTACTCTTTTAAAATGTGTCTTATTTTCTGCCACTTACCTCCCCGTCTGTAATGGACACCCGTTTGGTCTCGATGGTGGGCTGGCGGGCAATGCGGCGCTCCTGCAGGGACATCTTCCTGTAGGATTTGGCGAGGGGGGGGCGGTGTGTCCTGTAACCGTTTGGGGGGGTCAGGCGGTTGGCTGTGATGTTCATGGCTGCTACCAAGTCCTCTAGCTCAGCAGGGTTCTCTGGGTTTTCAGAGTCCATATCTGCCTCACAGCCCGGGTCTGTGTCTGCACTCATGGTTCACACTCAAGAGGAGGTCTCTATGTCACCACAGGGAGTTTGGTAAGGATGCCCAAACACTGGTAACAACATGGCTCTAAATACAAATGATACATATTGGTTACACAATGTCAGACAATAGCAATACACAAATGGCCTATTAAAATAGCTTCTTTTTCTGCTGTAAAGTAGTGAATGTCAATCTGCTTGGCTTTGAATGACTAAAGACCGTTTCATTGTTTGAATTTCTCTTGGTTCATACAATATTTTGTAGGAGGCGACTGCTGTTATGATTTTGGCCTACAAACATTTTATTGGATTGAAACTGAATGTAAAATGGGTACATGTCACCAAGCATTTCTCTGATGCTCTGTTCAACATATATCTAGGCCTATGCTCAAGCCTACTAACTTAAGACAAAAATATAGCCTAAGGACACAAGAAAGCCTGTTATGTAACTACTACAAGGCTACAAAACAAAACGATTTCAGCTCTCAGTTGCAACATTTGTAAATATAATTCTAGTATTGCAGTGAATTGTAGGCTGCATTTCTTAATTGTATATTTGCCGAAATGCAGTAGGCTATTCACTAAAATTCAACTAAATACAACAGCTAAGCTAGTCAAAATAAACAAATAACATGCATGCAAGTGCTATGCCATACTATTTATGTTTTTCCAGGGCATCCCGGTTTTACTTACTGAGGGTGAGGGTGTGTGAATGCGAGAGAAAAAGTCCTCATGTCTTTGTGGGGTCCGGGTCTGCGCTCAGACCATGTCCCCGCAGGACTTTCTCTGCTGATCAGGCGGGACAGGCTCACTGCTCACCTCAAGGATTAACCAGAGCTACATTTAGCAGAGGCGATGTTAACGAGCTCAGAGCATGGTGGCACTGGCCTGTTTGTGTAACTACTATCAACACGTTACAGTAACTAGTATACTTGAAACAGCCGAGTAGACCTATTAAAGTTATAATCAAACATATGATTAAAGTACGTGTTTGGTTAAAAACAAACAAACAAACAAACAAAAAAATACTGGGATATGTTCCCACAACTCACAATTTCCTTGACTGGAGGAATGCTGTTATCTGCATGTATGCATAATTTTCACAGTGTAAACTAACATAAACATAACCAGGAGAGGGCGATATTTTACACTTTGTTATCGCCACGTAGGAATCCGTGTAGTGAGCGCCATCCAGCGGACAGAAACGGAGACACGGCTTAGTTGATCTGAAGTCTAAAGTCAAAACCAATCCTCTAAACCAGTGGAGGAAGTATCATGGGAAGAAGTACTCAGTATTGTTGTTTAAGGAAAAAGTAAAGATACAGATGCAAAAAATCTGCTTAAGTAAAAGTATTTAAGTACCCATTTAAAAATGTACTTTAAGAGTAAATGTATATATATATATATAAAGTATTATGTGCAGAGTTTGAGATCTAATAAGATCTAATAAGCTTCAAATGTAGTGATTTTGATAAAGATTTCTGCTGAATCAACAGAGACAACTGAATTTATTTTTTTTCCTAGCTGTTTTTATTTGTAAATTTTTTTGCTCAAACTATGACCTTTATAAAAAAAAATAACCCTGCAGAGTTTTCAGCAGGTCTCAGTCAATAATAAAAAAATACTACTTTTCAGTCCTGTTTGAAAGTGTAGTGAAGTAGAAAAGACAGATACCTGGTCTCAAATGTAGTAAAGAAAAATGTACTTAAGTACAGATACTTAAATAAAAAATAATTAACACTGCTCTAAACATGTATCAATCAATGAAGAGTAATGATGTGCAATAAAATCAAATATTTTTTGGTTAAAGTGGTCCTCAAAAGTCACATATAACAGGAAGCTGAAATTCATAGGGGTATTGTGCTAAGCATGGATAATTCAAACGTATGAATGCTTTATGCATTTTAATTTGAGTTTCAGGAGCTGCAAAGAGCACCACCTTAGTCCTCCTTTCAAATCATAAATTCATCACTTCAGTCTCTAAGGTCAACATTAGTGATGCAGTCACTAATGTTGCATTTAAAATGGAGAAAAGCTTCCTATTTATGGTGTCAATATGTAAGTTCTATTAAGTCAACTTCATCTTTACAACTGTGTTTTTATTCATGAAAAGTGATATTAAGTAATTTTGCCCAGATGTATTTTTCTTTAAACTTAAATAAAATTCAACATTCAGCAGCATTGCACTTGAGGAGAGTAAACTTGGACATGATAGGTAGTTACATTAGCTCATAACTTAAACTAAACTTTAACACTCTCAAACACTCAAATCAAAACAGCAAAGCGAGTGACTCTGCTGTGACACTCCACAAAATAGTATAAATTATGGATTACCCATTTGGCCCCTTTAAGAAATGACTTGCACCGTCATCCATGAAATAAAACATGCCTAGTCCAGTAAGCAGTTTGAAGAGTCCTCAGGTTGAAAAATATCATTTTGGAGAATTCCAGTACTGCATGAGTCTGGTAATACCTTTCTTAATTTGCTCATAGCTTACAAACATAACTATATTCCAGGATCCCAGTCGAAGAAATGCAGGCACAAATCTGGAAGATATAGCATTAGTTAGGTTGTTTAATCATGTATTATTAACAGTAAAAGTGGCGCATACCCCTTGTAGAAGGCTGTGGGCCCTTCCTTTAGTAACATGGTCAGGGCACAGTTAATGGCCCCAGTGTACTGGCCTAGCACTGAGTTCATGTAGCGTGTCTTCACCACATCCACAGGTGACGCCACGATGGTTGTGCAGAATCCTGCTGCAAAAGCTGCTGTGAAGTGGCACGGCATGTTGTCTGACAAACATTTACACACAGTACAATATACTGAAAAACAGACAAACCAATTCAGCAGTTAATGTGAGTGCATCTTGAACTAACCTGCCATAAGCTTATACTTCAAAATGAGTTCTTTAATAATGTCATAGGTAACCAGTTCCGAGCAATTCACTATGGAATTTCGGGCTATATTTGGCAAGCAACCTGTGTGGGCAAATGTAAAAAAAAACAACAACAACAACGAAAACTACAAAGAAGTTGATTTTAGGAATTATATATTATTATCTGCAGTTTAAGAGGGTTTCCCCAAATATCGCTATTGGTCCAGCCAATGTAATTACAGATGGTAGCTTTAAAAGTTTAATATTGGTTTGGGTAATTATCTGTTATCAGCCACAATAGCAAGAAAAATATTGGATTTGTTATCTCAAAAGAGACCATGCCAAGTTAATTTAGTCAAAAATAAAAACCTTTCCACAGGCCCCTGATGCCCTCATCTCTGGCGATGGTCTTGTAGGCGCTGATGGTGCTGTCATATCTCTTCACAGCTCCGTTCTCAGGGAGCCTCATCTGAGCCTGAAATCGCACCTTCACCACGTCGGTGGGCTGAGCGAAGGCTACAGCCATCGCTCCTGTGGTGGAGCCTGCTAGAATCCGAGTGCCAATCCCAACATCTGCACAGTGTAGTAGTCATCAGCAAACAATACCAGTCGCCAACGTAAAGTACTGTTGGGACTGTGAGCAATATCGAGTAAATGAGTTGTCTGTGATTTGTACAATATGTCATAAACACAACAATACACACAGTATTGAACAGTTTAAACTTGAGGATTCCTCTTCCTCAGTTTTAAACCAGCTGAACTTGTTTTAACAGCTTCAGAGAAAAGTGGGCGGCTCAGGCTTAACTGTGTCAGAGATGTGTGAGGGACAGGTCTGTGCCTCCAGCATTTTATGTTCCTTGAGAGAATCTAACCTTTGACCTAAAGGGAGTCGCTTTTAAATAAACAACAGTACCTCTGTGGCTCTACTAGACGTGTGACGTTAAGAGTTAGGACAAATTTGAGCCATACCTCCTGATCCTCTGGTGTAAAATTGCTTCATTGAGTCATAGAGGCCGATGCGCACAGAAGCAAAAGTCATCTGTCTGTGAAGTCCTGCCACCAGTCCACTGTACAGGCTGCGGGGCCCCTCTGTCTTCACCATGGTGTAGATGGTGCCAAAAACTCCTCTGTACTTCTTTTGCAAATCTCTGGATTTAGATTCACCTTGAATCTGGAAGGAATAAGAACCACAATGTAAATATTTTATTTCACTTATTTCAACCAGAGCAGTAGAACCACTGTGACATTTTGTTCTTTTAATTTATGTGAAAAATGTGCATACAATTTAACATACATATTTAAAGGAACATGTTAAGGGTCTCACCTGTAGTCGGACTTTAGCTGTGTCCAGTGGAAAAGTGACTAAATCAGCCACACACGCAGCTGTCCCAGCAGAGAAAATTTTGACAGCCACAGTCGGGGCAAGCTCAGGTGCTATAGTTGCAGCCATCCCCAGAGAAACAAGTTTTAAAAGTTTAGGCAAAGACAAACAGTCGTCCGAAATATCAGGTCAATAAGTCTCTTAGTCACTCTTGAAGAAACTGTCATGTTTCAGGTAACAAAATTGTAGTATTCTGAAAAATATAAAAATGCATTTTTGTTGATGGATTCTCCATACAATACTTGAATTTCCCTCAGGATCAATAAAGTATCACTCTCCCTCTCTCTTTTAACTAAATCCAATGTCATTCAGTTGCACAGGTCTAAGAGGATGTAGAGCAGTGCAAACACCTAGACTATAGAGACGGACAGAAAAACAGTCCGCCTCTGTCACCGCCCCTTTAAAAAAAACTGCACCACCTTAAACCCAAGCTGCTCCTCTCAAAACACAGGAATTCCTATGGGCTCTCTAATTAGAAAAGGCTTCTCCATAACTACAGATCAGTGTAAACAAAATCCACTCCTTCTATCTAAATAATAACACTATTTATTTTGTGGCAAGATTTGCTACAGGACAATTAAATAGTTCTAGTAAAGATTTAAACAGTAAAATCAATATACAACAACAGGTAATAATCATGTAGAAAATATTTATTTATAAATACAAAAATTAAACTTTAAATTATACATACATGATTTGTATTGACTACAATTATGGTATAATACACAATTTCGTCAATTTCTTTGAGCCTCGTCAAAATGAGCTGCAAATATCTTGGCTATTCTGTCCGTCTCTTTCCTTAAAGATGAAGGCGACATATTGGGGCGCAGCCTAGGGCCTCTTGCCGGTACAGCACTGGGTCCCTGTAAAGGTATAAAAACTAAATTAATCTTTGAAAGCATTTCAAATTTTTCTTGTAACTGAAGTAATCTTACTCAGAACTGTAAACAACAGACAAACAACTTTAATGTCAACTCAAAGAATACTATGTCAATATTTACACTGTGCAAACGAGGCAGTTATTATATAGAAATAATAAAGGCACTTCATTTGTTGCGTAATTGGCACTGAGCAATAACCTGAAGAACTGCATACCATTCACATTCTAGATCCACATCAACAATTCAATGAAACAACAATGACAATACAGTACAATTATACGGAGTTACATAAAATATGATTATTTGAGATGTATATAATGCATTTCCATAAAAAGTACATAATTCCATCACCACCGGTTTGATTTGATTGTTACCATCATTACAGCTCAGTTATGAAACTAGAGAAATGTGCCTATGCCAAAATAATGAATGAACCTTTAATTATGCCTGTATAAAATATGTTTATGATACTACATTTACTTACAAGGTCGACAGGAGATTGGGAAAAAGATGGAGCCAAACGTATGACTTTCATAGATGCCTCCATCTGGTGAGGAGAGAGGAAGAAATTTGGCACCTCCGGAAAAACAGGTCTTACAGAAGAATGTTAAGAAACGTCACTGTTCAACTGTGTTAAAACAGTTTCACTGTTTTTGTTTTAAAGGTCCTAAGTAAGATTTACTTATGTGAGCTTTTAGCTATGCTAGATTGTTGTTACCTCATTAAAAACATACCTGGACTGGAGTTGTGTTTTGTTTTGTTCATAAATGTTAGAGAAACCCTTTGTTATTAGTCTGTCTACATCTCTAATGCTCTGTTCCACTTGTGATGTCATGTAGTGGTAGTTTTCAATTTAACAGCTACTTTTTACTTTTGTTGACATAGGTATTTCCAGGAATGAAATTATCCAAATGATTCTAGTGAAAGTGTACGGAGTCTAAAAACACAGTGGAGCACCTCCTGTATTAACCTATGACATCACAAGGTGGAAGTGTTTTCTGTTTGAGAGAAGTACACAGCCTAAACATGCAAGATTTTTGTGTTAACACATGTAAATGAAACAAAAAATTTACTCTATACTATGAGATTAAACACTATGTGCTTTCATCTTCAAAATAAAAATAATAATAATGAGGATTTGAAGGATACAGTTTTGGCTGTGGGTCATTGATCTTCTCTGCACTGATAGGATTGTGGATTTTCGTTGAGAAATCTCCATCTGGCTCATCCTCTGACTCACTGTTAAACTCTGGCTCCTTGTCTTCTATCTTCAAATGTAAACTTTCACATGTCCTGGGACTTTCGTCATCTGTATCTGATTCCTCTTTTTCTGAAATATTATCACCTTTACTGTTCTCTTCAGACTCATAATTGGTATTATCACTGGCGTCCTTTATGGGCAGCTCTGAGGTCAGTTGTTCGTCTTTCTCACCATGACTTATTTCAGTGTCAATACTTTCAAGAGAAACTAACTCGGGGTCTGATAAAATGCTAGTCCAGGGGCTGGTTTTATCTGTTAAAGACGTCAGTTCATTCAGATGTCGAGGTTTGACAACAGTTTCCTCATAATCTTCAGCATCATCATCCTCTGCATCTTGGTCGATTTTGCATCCTGTTCCCTCTTCATCATCAGTCTCTTTTCTTTGGTCCTCCTCTGACAGAGCATTCACATCACTTTGAAAGTCTTCTTCGTGACTAGAATGTATTATCTCTTCGTTTGTCAAAAGTGGTTGTTGTGAAGTTGTAAATGTATTATGAGAAGACTCTGGGGTCCCGTGTGGAGTCTGAGGGGCGGGGTCTTCGACAGGAGAATTTAGGTTACTCTGTGGGATGGACGGTATGGTTTCCAAATGTTGTCCTTGGAGACCTGGTACACAGATATCAGCATAAGTCACTGTAATATTGACCGATAATTCTGGATTAGACGTACACAAATGTGTACATATGGTTTAAGGGTTAAGACGGGGTTAGGGTAAGATAAAGCATACACTATCAGTCAAAATTTGCCTTCTCCTTAAATTTTTTTTCATCTTTACTACTTTCTACCTTGTACATACATATTGCAGACACAAAATATATAAAGCTAGATGTATGGATTGTGTTTTAATATTAATATTACAGTTATATTTTATAGTTGTTTTGCACTCTTTACACACATTCCATGTGGGTGCATTCATATGATTTTGATGATTTCACAGAGAATAACGAAAGAAAAAACATAAAATGAAGAAGTGTGACCAAGATTTTGACTGTTAAAAGTATAAGCAAAATATTAAGACTTGCCTCTTACTAAAACAAGTTTCGACCTGCACCGACTGATAGTGAAGTGATAAATTTTAAGTGCTGGCAATTAATTTAGAAAGATCAAAAGTAGCTTACCACTAATTATATTGCTGACTTGTCCGATTAACATATTAGACTTGAGGAGAAGGTGGGGAGTGTCCATCTCAGAAGTTTTCTGTGCTTCTTGTTTATGGATAACATCTTCATCAGTTGTTGGAAAAGTGGGTGTTGAGAGTTTGCGACTGAAGTGTCTTTGAATATTGTCGAGCTCGCCTAGTTTTTTTCTAAAATCCAGAATAAATAAAGTAAGTATCATTAATCATGTTTATTTGATTGGTAGCAATTGTTAAGTATTAGTAGTTGTAGTATTACCTCAGAGCTGAAAACAGGATTGAGCTGGATGGATTTAGGTCTCCTGTACCACTGGCACAGGGAGCGGTTATTTGCTCGTGGATGCTCTGATGGTAAAGGCGCACTTTGTCCATGTGCTCAAAATGGCGGTCACTCACACTAGATCTAAAACAGTTTTAGATATTTTAACATTACATTTTGACAAAGCAAAATTGTTGCAGCAAGTTACAAGTTTATGTTAAATATTTCACCTTTCAGAAAACAGTATCTCTGTGTGGTCTGGAGAGGAGATTTTCTGTTCAGGATAGCGGCTGATGTGTGAGGGGAAACTGCTGTAGGTGGCTGTTGTGTGGTAAGTGATCGAGTGACCCTTTAAATAAAAACATATCTTTATAAAGTTGTTTATTAAAATATTTACTATAATTAGGACTGCAGCTACTGATTATTTTAGTAATTAATTTGTCAGCGATTATTTTTTGGATTAGATGTGTTTAGTTAAATTTCTATGGCATGTTTGAGATTTTTGTGAGGAATATATTTTTAACGAAAAAGAGGTGGTGACTGAAGGCTTCTAAAGACATTTACAAATAAAGTGTGTTACTGATCGAAATCAGGGATTTTATTGTTAGTTTAATAATGTTGCTCTTTTGGCATGCGTTTTAAGTCTGTATAGTCTAGTTAATTGTTTACGACTATGAAAATACAAAAACTATTATTTTATTAGCTGACTACTCAGGATGATCCTGAATAATAGTTCTATTCCTAAAACATACCGATGAGTTAGTTAACTTTTCTTCACACGCTGACTTTCTTTGTAGCCTGAGGTCGTGGATTCTTTGGACTGGTGTGATGGACACTTTCAGTTGGCCGTGACAATGGCCACTGAAGTCTGTGATGTTGTACCAGCCACAGACAGAAGGCAGGCCGCAGAGCAAAGGCATTAGGTCGACTGAAGCAAATCCAATCACCCTCTCAATCTCTGTAAACAAAAGCAGAGCTTTTCTTTTACTCATTCTAATAAATAATAGCAATTTGTATTTTTCAATAAATCTATGATTTACCTCCTTTGTACCACACTTTAAAGACAAGAGATTGTTGAGGATCCACAAGTAGGTCCTTTGGTAGTCTGTAATTGAATAAGGTATACTATTACTAATTCTGACCATTGCAAAGGAGAAATTTAATTCTGTCAATTGGACAAAAGTTTTTTTTTGATTAAGTACAATTCAGTATAAGGCTGTAGATCTGATCAGACATAAGGCAGTGTCCACCAGCAATCTGACCAGAATTGAAGAAGCCACTTGGATGAGCTATGAAACGTATTCAATCCAAAAAACATTTGTCCAGTCGACAGAATAGAATTTCTCTTTTACTATGAAATCTACCTGGACGACTGAGGAATTTTACAAAGTTCTGACCATTCTAAAACTATGAAGGTAATGTATGTTTTCTTTTATCTTTTCCAGTATCACTTCTTGTTCACATATTTTAGTATCAATAGGTGTCTGCGTATCAATTTACTGACAACCCTAAATAGTTAACGCTCTACCTGCACTCATGTTGGTGGTCCCACACTGGGTTGTCATTGTTAGAAATAACAGCTGTGAAGACAGGTTCAGATGAGTCTGCACTAACATAAGAAACACAGCAACATGGGGTCCCTTCACTCTGATCTGTGAGAGGACAACCTTTAAACAAACAATTAAAGTTATTACCACAAAATAGAATAAATATAAAAATTAATAAACACTCATCTACAGACTAACCTGTCAGATTTAAATGCATGGCTTTATCCACTGTAATGGTCACAGGGAAAGACTCATTCTTGTCTATCTCTATATGCTGCACAGTTTTTTGCGTTCTTTCAATAGAGTTTAGTACTGTATCATGCACTTCATCAGATAAGAGCACTTCTTCATCAGTGTCTGTATGAGCTGCCATCCTTGGTCCAGAACCTAGTGCCAGCGTAATGTGGACCCTGAGAGCAGCCCCTTGTAAATCAGCAGCGGAACGTCTGAACAATGGGTAAACTCCTGTGTAATACAAACAGTTTAAAGAAAATAAATAATACATTTTAAGAATATAAAACCTGAATTAAGAGAATGTATTTACCACTTAGTGTAAGTTTCTGTTTGGATATTTTCGCAAGTGCAGACAGATCCAGAAATGCTGAACCCACCAGTCGGTCTGTATCACAGGGTCTTTGAGTTTTGTCCTTTGTGAAAGCTACCCACATTTGAATCTCCAACATTTCTTCACGCAGGTACCAAATTAGGGGTTGAGTCCTTTTTAGCTCCACTGTTGCACTTCCTTCAAAACTGACTGTGGCGATGTTCTCCTCCTCAACAACCGGATGCTTCATGTGAGAACAGAAAGCTTCTTGGTCGTAGAACTTGTATCTAAAGTAGCAGTAGGTTGAGCGCTGCATCTCTCTGAGGCCAGGCAGGAGCAGACAGTGCACAGGTATCCAAGCTCGAGGTACAGAGATAATCAATGAGATTTTACTAAGGTTTTCCTCCCAGGACTCCTCATCCTCCTCTCTTAAATAAACTCTATGGGCCATTTCCCAGCCCAGACACTGCGCAGCTTTGAGCACTCTTTCTCTGTCAGAGTGATGGGAAAACCTGATGGAAATTTCAACACCCCCAACCAAGATCGGCTGCTCCTCAGAAGAAGCCTGTTTAAATGCATGTACTCCAAACCAGCCTGAAATGCCTACAAATCATGGGAAAGCAAAATGACTTGAAAGAAATCATTGTATGAGAGAAACCAACAATACTAGGTCTAGCAGGAAAGACACTGTATATTATTTACCTGTTCTTTTATAGATCAGATTAGAGAGAGGAACTTTAACTGTACCCAACTGTACATCTTTTGGTTGGGAAGCTTCAACTCCTTTTGAAGTAGACAAAAGTGACATATGAGAAATCCAAATACTTGTTGTATTAAATGTGGTCTTTTATAGTATATTTCATTTGAACCTTTTCGACTCTCTCTGTTCCACACAGTGAATATGGCAGAAGCCTGCTCCAGCTGCTCTGCCAGACTGATAGATTCCCCTATGCTTCTTTGAAGCAACAGGTCACATGACATCTCCATATAGTGGTCAAACTCTGGACTGAAGGACCGTGCCACTATTCGAGTGCATCTCGTTTCACGCTCAGGCAAAAAGGAGAGCTGAGCTGTGATGTAGCTGTTCACACCCACAGACGTGTAGTAACAGAAGCGTTCATTTGTCTCTGCAACAGCCCTGCAAGGACCAAGAGATAAAACTGCCCTTACTTACAGCCAAATGAATACGTCATAGCAAGAGTGATCATGGCGTACCTGGCAGCCGATTTGAGTCCAGACGCTCTGTGGATTTGTATCACCAGTGTCACAACACGAGATGCAGCTCCTCTTCCCATCTGTCCCTCTGGCCTCACAGGCCGGTGTTTGTATTCAACACACACATCCAGCAAACCTACAACAGTGGCTTATTTATTTCTTATATCCTATACCAGTTAAGTGTAGGTTTCACATTGTTACATAGTACATGGTTACCTGAAGGTTGAAGCTGCTGATCTGTATCAGTCCATGGAATCAGTGGCAGTGAAAACCTTTGCACCTCGTTGTTCAGTCTCTGCATGGTTACCATAGCACACAGCTTTGACAGTGGAAGCGTTCCTTTAGCCACAAGCTGATCTCGCACATTTGGATAGTAATATCTGCAGACACATGCACATTATCACACTCAAATCCTGATCAGTAGTGTAAACCATGAAAAACATGTGACAAACCGGCACCACACTTCAAACTGCATTCCGCCCCTGCCGCTCAGGCCTTGGCAGGACAGTGAGCTGAGCAGAACCTTCTGGATGGGGACTCCTTCAGGAGCCAAAAGCACATGTCTCTCAGTGTGGCCAAATAAAGGGTCAGGGACACAAAGGGTAGTAGTGGTACGAAATGACTTCAAGTTGATGGCTACAAATGCATAAAAACGTTATTATCTCAGTGACACAATGTAGTAGGTTTACTGAAATGCTTAAATGCTTACTGCTTTCTATGAGGTCTGTATTTGCAGTGAGATCTCCTTCTTGACAGAGGAAAGTGTACTGAATGTAGCAATCAGCCTCACCCCACACAGTGGACTGCAGAGGTGTCAGTCCAACAACCTTTTCCACTTTTACCACAAACACATGCTCCTTCATTATTTCTTTACAAGTTCTAGTCACCTGCTACAACACATATACAGATAATAAGCACATAATAAACAAATTAATATAATCCAGTCTCAAATAGAAGCCAATATCTGTGGTATTCACACACTGACTTAATTGTATAACTCTCTCTGAAACTTACCTTATGCTGTTTTGAATGTTGATGATGATCCAACAGATAGACTGGCCTCACCACAGGGGCAGGAGAATGATATTCTTCACCTCTTGCTGATTGGAGGGCAGAAATCTGTTCTGTTTGCCCCATAGCTAAAATAACTCTAAGGTTTCCTTTACAGTTGCCTGAGAAAACATCTATAACAGGCATATAGCAATCCACTCCTAATACTGGGTATTGAGCTTGGAGAAGGAGATGTGCAATCTTAACATCTCTGAAAAGAGGTAAAAGGAGAAAAAAGAAGAGAGGGTAAAAAAAAACAAAACAAAACAAAAAAACAGTAAAAGACTTCACAGTTCTTACCTGAATGACATGTAGAACTGGTGAAGAGGTAGTTTAACAAGGCCAAGAAGGTGATCCTGCTTTGGACTTCCGATCTTTTGCCAAACCTCAATCACCATGACATTGTTCTTCATGCGCTCCAGCAGTTTAGATGTCAAAGTGACTGGGGTCACCTGAAGAAGCAGTCACATGTTAAAAATGCCAATTAATTAAAAAAAAATATGTGTGTGTATGTGTGTATATATATATATATATATATATATATTTTTTTTTTTGTTTTGTTTAGGAATATAGTACCTGTACAAAATTAAACGTAGGGGATGTCTGCCCCCAAGCAACATGGGATCTTACGGTCTCATCACACCAGAAGAATTTACAGTTCAAGTAGAGATTTAGAGATTGTAACGGTGAACACTGAAAGTCTCTTCCATCAGGAACCATGAGTAAAGCATGCAATAAGATGTTTGTGCTTTCCTCTGTCAGAGGATCTCTGTTCTGAGATGGAGAAGTGTGAAAGCTCTCCGGGCACACAGCTTCTCCCATGAGTCTGGGAGAACTCACGGAAACCTCTACAACTGGAACCTCAGCAGAAACTTTCTTATGCCCAGATGGTGCATTAACTGGAATGGCTGTTGTATCCCAAGGTGTTGTATCTCTTTGTGCCGGTGTCTTTATAGGGACTTGTGAGTCGTTTTTTCCTGTGACAAGCTCAAGAGTCACCTTAACAAAAACAAACAAACAAAGTTAAAATAGAAATCTGCATAAAGCAAACTGAAATAACTAAATAAACTATGAAAAAAACACTTTACCTTTAGGGGTCCTATATATTTTGTTTCTCTCTCTTCTTCCATACTCACAGGCAGCAAAAGGGACTGAGATAATGACTCACTAAGCAGCAAACGACTCAGTGGATGAACTGCTCTACCAAATAAAATAGGCTAAAAACATTCAAAACAGCATTATAAACTGTATTATAATAGTTTATGTATCAGTTTAATAACACATGTACTAGGAGCTTGTGGTGCATAGCTTACCTTTTTTTGGTCACTTCTTCTCAAATATATCCTAAAAATAAGATCAGTTTCCCACCAAAGTTTGACAAATGCTGTGCTGAAGTGGACAGGAAATAAAGAGCGCTGACAGAACCTCACAACTGCAACAGTAACATGCAAATATTCACGCTTTTTAAACATTTAAAAAATGTTGTTTTAGTTTTGTCTCTTAGGAAAGTCTTACCTTCTCCTGTAATCCTACTGGAAACTACTCGAGTCACTTCTTCGGCATTCTTATGGTGTATGGCAGACACTCGTGGCAAAACATACTCAACAAAATATGTGCTAGTTGAAAAAGAAAATTTGTGAGAATTTTAACAACATAAAGCCAAAATCAAATTATTTTCCTACCATTTTTTAGTAGATAGGGGTCGTGGAGGTTTGCCTTTGCTGTTATTTCTAGATGAAGTGGACGGTTTTTCAGAGGGAACAGTCAGAGAATCTACACAGACCCTCATCAGCTGAATGGAGCTGAGCCTGTTTAACTGTTCTGCAGAAAGGCTGTGAGGAACCATGTCTTTGCTGGAGGTGACAGAGAGGTAAATTAAGTAATTGTTTTAGTTCCTTATGATTACCACACAACTAATTTGAAGCCTACACTCCATTTGTGGTTTCAGGCTGTGTCAGAGGTTGTTCAATCGCTCCTGATGTACTGTGTTTTTGTTGTTGAGTTTGTACACCCAACTCTGTATTGGCAGCTTGTTCATCAATGGCCTGAGGAAACAAAACACTTTTAACACACAAACTGTTAATCAATCCCAAGATACCATGATACGGATCCAATATACTTGCAGGAGATTTGTAGAAGAGATTTTCCAATAAGCTCTGATCATACTGTGGGTCATTCAGTTCACTGTCTCCACCCAGGCTGCTTGGGATGGACAGAACTGATAAGTCATCCCAAAGAGGAAGGGGAGATGTACTGTAAAATTAATAACCATAATGAGTATTAAAGCTCAAATAATGCATAAGAATGTGAATGAAGTTTTAATGCAAGTAATTAATACCTGCCAAGAAGCAGATCCACAGCCTTTTGGTCTATGTCTGAGGTGTCTAAGCCATGGTCACAGACAGCCGTTACACCACAAGAAGGCTCCCTGTTTGTATTTGCAAGCAATATGTTTTGAAGTAATGTACCCGGAGGTGGAGAGGGAGATCTGTCAAGAGAAATCACAAAAATGAAGTATGGGAAATACAATAAGCTTAAATAAATGATTCAGTTTAAATCCATCACTAACTTGGTGTGAAAATGGGTATTATCATGTGAAAGGAGAACGGGCCCATCCATGACAGTTGGGGCAGAGTTTATGTCTGTGTCAACAGCTGACACTACCATAGCATTTCGCAGTTTGTTTCCTCGCTCCAAAATCACTGTTACAGAAAATGTTACTTTAATTGGGTACTGTTTAGAAATACAGGCCTCCAACATGTCTATAAAACTATATGGTTACCTGAAAGTAAATCATTAGTTGGATCAGTACCACTGTCTGCAGGATTTGCTAAACTGGGGTGAATGTCAAGTGTCTGGTTTTCAGGTAATGCCTTGTTTTGTTCAATTCTTTGAAAATATAGGTGATCTTTCCCTCTAAAATTATACAGAATTACATATAAATAACATATAATATTTAATTTGAAGCTTGAGAAAACCTTGTGTAAACCTTGGTGTGTTTGCGCTGGTGCTTTCAGATGACTCCTTTCCACTGCCAGCAGAGACCTTGGGTTCAGAAGACATTTCTTGTGGTGCTTTGTCAATGCTGATATCTGTGGGAGGGCAAGAACTGCTGCTGTCATAGGCTTCAGTCAGAGGCTCCAAACAAAGTGAAACCTACATAAAAATGTCATATATACATATGTCTGTAAACACAAAGGTTACAAAATTATATAAAATTTAATTCTGAGTGCAAAATACAGTCCAACCTGCAACTCTCCCATTTTTTCAGATGTTGGAGAAACAAGTGTGTAGAAACCACTTATGGGGTGAGACAAAGAAAGACGGGGGATGCCAGCCACTTGAGCTCGTGCAATTGGTAAATGGTCAGGTTTTGTGAGGACTTCGAGCACAATGTAACCCATGTCTGTTTGTAAATAATAAAATAAAGTATTTATCAAAAACATATAAAGTTTAATGGCAAAACATATGGGATTCTGCTTCTGGTGTGGTAAACCTAAAATTGGACCTGTGAGGTATGAGGTGAACTGCTTTGGTCCACAGCGAATGGGGAAACGTGTTGTTGTCTTGACTGATTTCTGTGATGCCTGTGATCCGTCTCTGGGAAAGAAGTGAGTCCCACTGGAGGTCTCCCCCCACCAGCGCAGCCTGACGAAAGTGTTTGAAGGAGGCTTGTGCATTGTCCATAACACACGGCTGACTGTCACCCGTAGGAAGCATCTGAGCTGTCCCTCCACTAAAGGCGGCAGACTGGTGGATGGTGAAATATCGCTGGAAACTGTAACATAATTTTATAACCAAGTTTTAATCATTGGCACTAACTCCAGTATAAAGATAAGAAAATGAATTTGACGATATTATGCGTGAAGCCAGCCATCCAGCAGCCCCTAAAATATACCAGTATTGCAACTGTTCTGTTTCATCAGTGTACATTTGCTACTATTAAGTTATAACTTCTTGTTAGCATAACAGCTAATGCTAACAGATTACCTTTCCTCTTGCTGGTTCCAGCTTTAGCGAGCCTCGGTTTCCTGCTCTTCATGTTTCAGCTCAGTAAAAATGGGCCAAACGTAGCGGCGGATAAACACTTGGTGGACATAGTCATTTCACGTTATGGTCAGAAAGTAAAAACAAAAAACACAGATAATCTCCATGCTTCTTTCATATTATTCCACTGTCAGCCATTCACTTCAGCGCGCAAACTGTCTCCAAGCAACAAAGTTAGCTGGTCCCGCCTCCACTGCCGCGGTCTCTCACAAATGCATCATGGGAACTGGAGTCCTAGACAAGGTGTTCTGGGAATTTCTGTTTTATTATAAACACAAGAGACTTTAGTTTTTTTATGTTTGTTGTTTGTGTGTTTGTTTGTTTGTTTGTTTTTTTGCAAATAAATTTAATCAGAAAAAAAAAAAAAAACAACTAAAAAACTGTTTTGTACCATTTTTTGGGCTGAACATAGTTTGGGCTTGGCAGCCCATAGACTGGGCATAAAGGCCTATAAAAAGATTGATAAAATAAGCTAGATCATCTAGAATGTTATAACAGAGTAGTAAAATGTAAACTAAATTGTACTGTGTATAAATGAAAACTTATAGGCCTATACGTTTTTTATTTTACCACAAGAGGGAGCCAGTGGTGAGCCATGGCCTTTTGTGGGACACGCTTGATGTGCAGCTGACAGCCCGAGACCTAAGGCAAATAAGTCCTTACAATATGTTTTCTTGTCGAGTGTTCGTTTAGTTTCGTCAATAGAATGTGACACTAAGAGGTTTAAGGTAGAGCTAAGGCCTTTGGGGAAATTGTGTGCAGGAAAAATATTTTTTGAGTTTCTATGTATATCTCAGTTTTACACTAGTCCTTCATAATGGATCAGATACCTGATAAACCGAGTGCTTATACATGAAATACTGTTTCCATAGCACTTTTGAATTCCCCTCTTTGAGATATGAACATTCTGTACTGGTTTCTGGTTACTGACCTCAGCTCCTTTTTGCTCAGTTTCATAAGGTGCTGAATGTTGTTTTGTCTGTCCACTAATTTCTAAAACATGTTGCCCATGGTGGGATCAATAAAGTCATTAAATTATTAAATGTGATTAAAATATAACAAATCACCACCCAAGGACCACTGACCAACTTGAAAAATATATTTATTTTTTAGTCACCACATTTTTGCAAAGCAAAAACGTAATTCACTTTCCTCAACTACATTTATATTTTATGACAGAGTGCTCTGCAGTACATATGGCCAGAATGGCAAGTTTTTCTTCAAACTTCTGCAAGAAGCAAACAGTGTTTCACAGTGAGCCCAAATCAGCGCAGTAAGAGGAGCAGAGGCCTCTCTCTACAGCATGAGTTTGAGAGAATGTGGCCTCCAGGGATTGATTTTCAACTTGGGCTGAAAACGCAGCTCAGTTTTACTTCATCCATGTCCACTGCGGTCTGCCTGCTCAAGGCTCTTTGGGCTTGAGGCTAGTTCGGCCTGCCCCTTTCCACAGCCCACACGCCCCCCTCCCTCTTCTTTCCGATGGGTTCGTGATTGTAAAGACACCAAACAGTGCAACCGGTTCTCTCCTTCACTTACTCATGAGGATTCAGGGTGCAGCGATGGTTAAATTCTTGACCATATTCATGAATCCACTTGTTTGCCACTAAAAAACAAAAACAATATTTTAGTGAAACATGTGCAACTGAAAACACGTCTTCCACAGCTGCTCCGTAATGACTAATGCCTCTGTTGGTTTAACTGACAAACCACACATGTCTTAGGGGAGCATGTGGAGCAAACTGATATATGTGCCAAGCAGGAGCTGAGATAAAGTTTCCAAGATGAGCAATTGGTGTCTGAAATCACCTAATCAAGCACAGATGTTGAATAATATAGGCTATTGTATTAGACAAAGCTAACTCATGATTTTGTATATAAAATATAATGTATAATATAATACTTGATGCTCATTGCTAACTGAGATATGGTCATATTCTACATGAGTGAGCATATACGGGCCAGAGAGTTGACATTGTGAATTGTTCTTATTTTTGATTAGATGTAATTGTATTGTATAATTCATTCCTATAAATCAGGAACTCTTTCTCTATAATCTGGTGCAGCAATTCAGTTTTTTTCAATTTATTAGCTTGTGTCTCTGTACACTGACCTTTCAAATAAAGACTAAACAAAAAAACAAAACAAAAACAAAACAATAAGACATTATGCTTACCCCATTTGTCCCCTACAAGCACTGGACAGCCTGCATGAAGCGTGTCGACATCTCCTTCACCATTTCTGTGCAGATTCCACCAAAAGATGGCCGCTTTCTGTGACACATCAGTCTATTGTTACAAACTGAGAAACTTTATCTCTGGAGATGGCTAGTCAAAACATTACACAGGATCAAATTTTGAGTCTCAAACTCAATCACTTTGGCACAGTCGCACAAAAGCAATATTGTGAAGAGAAACACCCAGCCTATGTGGGCGACAATGTGAGCATTTTGACAGCAGCGCCACATGTAATATCCATGAGCTCAAAATTATGAGAAAATTGGTAAGTCAGAGTAAGTGAAACCACTTATAAGAAACTGGGGTATATTAGTGCAAAGTTTAAAAGAAAAAAAAAGTAGTAAAACTAATCGGTATCTCGAACATTATTGAAGTAGACAGATTGTTTACCTCTTCTACCGGTAGACTGAAGTTGGCATAGATGAATGCAGTGGACCCACCTGCCTCGACAGAGCTGAGCTGTGGAAAAATACATTCCTTAAACTGTGTCTTCTGCTGCTGTGGTGTATGCTCAAGTTGCTGCATGCACTGTTTGCTTTTGGATACCAAGAAATAGCACTTTTCTTCATAAAATGTGACCAAATATATAACATTATCTTTGGTTGTAAAACTGTCTAAGAACAACATTAAAATGCAGTGTAGCTGTTCTAGTTTGGGTTCACGTACAAAAGGAAAGGAATTTACTTACATATATCATGAATGTAGCCACTCGATTGCCAGTGTTCAACTTGTACACAGGACTGTTTGGAGCCTATAAGTAGTACAAATGAGAAACTGCCACTTTTAAAAAAAATAATGAACAGTAAAAACAACAAAAATAACTACTCAAATAATTACAGTAGCATGGTCGAAATGAGGTTCATAGTGTCCTCCAATTCCATAGTTTACAACTTGAAGGTATTCGCCAAAAGGATGGTTCACATTTAAACCAGTTACCATGGAGATCCGGTGGTCCAGTTTCCCAATCACAGCATGGGAAGTGTCTTTAAGCCAGGCACTGGAGACAAGACTGAATTTATGAGCATGTGCTATTGAAACAAACACATCTAAAAATGTGTGTATAATCATACTTCTACCTTTTACTGATGCGATAATCTGCTGTAGCTTGTTTTACTCCACTTGCTACAACAGATCTTCTTAACTAGAAAAGCCAAATGTGTGTAAAATATTAATCAAAAGTAATTGTATATGAAAAACATGCATGATTTTTATCAGCGGTCCACATCAGCACACTAAAGCCTCAAGATGTCTTTGGCTAAATCTGTTTCCGTGATTTACTGTGAGTGAGTCACGCAGCCTATAGCAAATCTCAAACACATTTTCTGAGATGTTGCATAGTACAGTTCAATAGAATGGCATTTTGAATTCAATAGAAGGGATTTCAGAAAGATTTCAACTTTAAAGGCATAATAAGCATTATCATGACATGAGAATACTAAATGACATATCTTTGATCTTGACCACTAATTTCGTGGTTAGCTATTGTGGCTAACTCACATTCAATACTGAGCTCTGCATCTGTTTTGCATCTGCCCACACACTGACACAATGATGAAATAAGTACAGGATTTTCCATCTGAGCGTGGGACGGAAAACTTGCAAACAAAGCCAAAACCTGACAGAAACTATACTGTCCAATGCACCAAATATTTTACAAATAAATTGTGGCAGTTAGGCACATGCAACTCAGAGCTTAGCTGACATACAGACAAGCATGACAGGTTTCACGAAGGTGATTTAAGAGGTCTGATTTCAAACTAGCAATACTAATCAAAGAATATGGAATTTAAAATAACAAGCCTTAAACTTTCTGAGAGCAGAAGTGTTTCCTGATCATTTTGTAAACTATACTTGATTAAAAATATAGCCTAAAAAGTCTGTGTTTGGCACATACTCCTGGCTGGGCAAGGCTCTTGACATCCTCTGCCTCAGTGTGGGTGATGAAGTCATGATACAGGACCACAAAGGGCTGCAGACTCAGTATTTCCCGTTTGGCTGGACGCACAGTTAGGCCTGGACTTCCACTGGTGAAGTAGTCGCAGAACAGTTTTGGGTTTTGAAAATGTGTAGGCTGTAAAAAAGACAGCATCTTAAGTTTATTATACAACCTTATTATATTATGCTTCATAAGTATAATTAAGTTTTTACTGTGTGCTTGCTGAGAGCTGGAAGCACAAAATATTTTAAAACACTGTATGGCTTTCTAGAAGTGGCACGTCACCTGCATGATTCTATGGAAATATAAAGTTAAAACCATACTTCAAAATGTTCTCCATGGAGATGGAATACAGTGGAATAATGTAGCCAAAAGAACAACACATCCATACACAAGCAGGTTAAGGCTCTCCTACAGGTTAAGAAATAGTCAGGTTTGTGGAGATGCAAGCCCACTCACAGTAAGGAGCAGGATTTCTATGCTCCTTAATACAATACATTACACCTTGGCTTGTCTGTTTTAAAGGGAACCCCACATACATGCAAAGAACTTGAAGAAGGTGATTACTTGCGAGCCATGATTTTGGCAGAGTCGCTCATACACATCTCTTGTTCTCAAATATTTTGAAGCCGGTCTCCTCAGCCCATTTCCTTTAATATGAGGTTTCACCACCAACAACTTCTCATATTTCTCAACATTTTGCAGAACACGTTCATTCACTGGATCTGAAATGGTAAAACGTACAAAGACAAAAATTAATACACATGGTACTACAGTGAAAAGTAGAGAGATATCATTCTGGACTTGCTAGGGGAACTGGCAATAACATTTACCATGATGTAGTAACTCCTGGGATAGGGTCAAAGCATACGTAACATTTCCAGTCTGAAATAAGGACATTTTGAATGATCAGTCACATGCTATTTGTATTAATAATGCTGTTTTTAGTCTCACTTTGAAATGAGAGAAGGCTAGGTGGTCCAGTGCATCTTCTAAACTGCCCTGGTTCTCTGGGCTCCAGTGGTGTCCTCTGAAGAGATGCACTGACTGCTCCAGCCATGGCACTGAATGGTAGTAATCCTCCTGGTCATATGCCACCTGTCATAAAGTTTACGAACACCTTGTTTAGACCAGATTAGGTAGATACACTAGTAGATATATCAAATAATTGTTGTCAAATAACTGATCATAGTAAATAAAATACAAATTATTTAAGATAATAATAACAACAATAATAACATAAGGGTGATAGAAACTAACCACTGGCAGCAATCTAAATGTTGGTGTAGTTTCAACATATTCATCTGTGCCTTACGTATGAGGGTATATCTTAACACCAAATATGTTGTAGGTGGTTTAAAGCTCATGTTTCATGAATTTATTAAATTTTAAGAATACAGTTTCTGACCTAAAATCTTCATTGTTCAGATTCAGAATGGTTAAGTCAAGAAAATCTCCTCTGAGTCAGAAGGATTTAAGTTTAGAATTCAATAAAACAAATATTAAAGCAATCACTAGCATTTGTATTTACTCCCTGGTTGTAAAACATATTGATAAAAAGAGTCTAATTTTAACTGGCTTCCCAATGCATCTTAGGGCAATCGAATGCATAGTGCAAATCAATGTAACCTCTGTCACAAAATCTTTTGCAGTAATAATGTCTTTTCCATTCAACATCCACATCCCTAATATGCCCTTAGAAATTCCCACTGTGTAAGTGTGGAATTGCAGAGGAACTATGTTTCATACGAGTAGGAAAGTTGATTCTCCCTCTAGTTTATTTTCCAGAGGGGATTCCTACCACACAAATCCAAAGAGTGTTGAATACGCTGCAAAATATTTTCACCTTTTTGTTGTTTTTGAGTGGCAGTACTGTAAATGGATTGCATTTTAGGGAGAATAATTGACTGAAATTGTGTTAGTTTTGGTCCACTACTGAATACTACCACTTTATAAAAATATTAGTTCATGAATTAGTCTGGGTTCATGCTTTATTAAGGCTATTTAAAGTGTTATTAATCAATACCAAATAAAGAAAGCTAACTTTCAGTCTAACTTACCTTACCAACCAGAAAACAGTCATCACCAGACAGAGGGACAGACATCAGCGGCCTATAAATCTCACTGGTCCCTCCACTAGTTATTGTGAGGAAATGCCCCCTGACCAGGCCTGACACCTGCAGAGAGTACACATCCTGGAGCCTCAGGAGTCCCCAAACGGCCCCCTGGAGGTCCTCGAGTTTGGGCAGAGCCGACCCTTCCTGCTCGTAACTGGATCTGAGGGCTGAAAACAAAGGACCAAAAGGTGAACCACAGGGGGTTAGAGCAGAGAGGGGTGGGTGTTGATAGCAGACTGCCTAAAGAAGCACTTATCACCTCCATATGTTTAAGGTTGAGAGAAGAGTCAGCTAACCTTGTAAGTTTTCCAGAGCTTCATCACTGTACACCACATTGGGCCATTCTGAATACAGTCTTTTGATAAAGGTGAAAGCCAACAGAGGGTTTGCTAGAGCAGTTGCTTGGCCTTTATACACATCAGAGTGGAGATGGGAAACTTTGGCATAAAAACTGTGAGAAGAAAATGCTTTATTATCTAAGATATGTATCGAACGTATTGAAAAACAACAAATTTGCATACTTAGTAACTGCATGAATAGCCATTTTTTGGTCACAGTTTGTGACTATGTAAATATTTTGGTGGCAGGTCCACTACTTTCTTGTCTCCATTGAGATGTCCTTAATTTGTCTGAAATGTTCCATAGTATGGCACTAAAGTTGCCTATCTCCATTGAGGCAAGCTGGTGATTATTATTAGACCTGTACTTCATCAAGTTTGGCCTATAAAGTGACTAAATTTCCAGTCTGGTTTCTTACTGTGTAAATCAGGGTTAGGTGAACACATTGGAAACTGTGACATACGGCACTGTCTGTGCCCCAACACATGAGTGTATGATGATATCATCACACATAAATGCTTTAACCCTATGGCTGACCTATTTTATAGATTTACTGTGTCTGTATGTGTCTTTACATATGTATAGGCTAGTCTATAGTCTTATTGTTGTAATTTTTATGGAAAAATTACAATACAGACTGAAAATCTACTCACCGCCTGATGTCCTGTAGCCTATCTGACTCCTGTTCTATGTAACTTTTGAGAGAATCGATCAGTTTCCGTTCTGCACTGATGGCGTGCTTCACGTTTACAAGCGACGTATAGATTTCAGCCCTGCAAAGAGGCAGTGAAGTCCAAGTGAAGATGAGGAACAGATTATAGCACAGTCGAAGGTCCATCACAGACAGAGCAACAGCAGACAGCAGAGTGAATGGAGCCTGGTGAGTGTCCGCTCTAGCTCTGGGTCTGGACCTTCTGTGAGCGGCTCATGGTGAGTCAGAGCTCTCCCGTTCAGCCTATCACATCGCACACGTGCGGTGCTGACAGATGAGCAGCCCATTCAGTCTGTTTGCTCAGGCTGCCTCTAGTCTCAGCTCAGTAATCATCCGAACGAACTACACAATAATTATTCTAATGAAAAGTAGATCTTGATTAATTATGTTTTATGAAGACATAGAAAACCACTTCAGAAATAAATGTAGGCAAACGCAAAAGTTTACTTTGGAACACTCTGCCCCCTCGCGGACTGTTGTGTGTTTTTAGTTAGGACTTCGCCTTTGAGATTTGTTAGTTTACTGCTGAGCAGGCAAATAATAATATATAAATTATTTAAACATACATTTGTGAATAATTAGTTTTGTTAGTCTGTCTTCACAGTCCTAATTACAATATGGAACATTTTTAGGGTCACTTAAACCCCATAGCAGTAGCCTAGTAATTCTGATCCAATATAGGCTACTGTTGAGTAGGCTAAGTCACAGAGTGAAGGTCAGCCAAAAATACATATTGAGTCATTTTTATTGCTGTATCTTGGCACACATTTATACAGAGGGTAGCATTTGACAGAATACTCAGTTTTGATGGCTTTGACTTTGCTGATTTATTTCTCTAATGCCCACTGCTATAGGCCTACACTACAGGAAAATGTATGCTTAATGTCACATTATTAGGTCTCAGTTTAGGACCAGAAAATATATATTCTACAATAACTGACAAATAGTTCAGAATTTACAAATGAGAACATCATCTACAACAGAATAGATTATTTTTCGGTTTTATTTTATAATCTACATATGCACCCAAAACAATGTTTGAACACATAATTATATATGCTTTACATATGATCACAATTTAAAATATTAGAAACTTCTATTATTTGACACATATGTTTTACGTTGAAGTTACATTCACTTTTACACAATTTTAAAATGTGTTAATGTATTGCACAAGTATGAAAGCTTACAGTCCATTATAAAAGTCCATTAAAAAACATATGTTCACCAATGTCCCAGCAAATGCTTTCTTATGGTATTGTTCTTATGGACTGACTTTGCGTGAGCAGCACAAGAGTGACTTCCCGATGCAGGCCCGGAGATTCTGGTCCCTGAATCCGTAGATGAGCGGGCTGAGAAAGCGTGGGATAAGGATAAAGGTAAAGTAATTGAAAAAGGCCATATCCTGAGGCTGCCATCCGTGAACCTTAACCAGTGACTCTGTTATGGGGTGAGTGAAGGCCAGGACACACAGGACAAGCTGAAATCCATGTAATACCACTGTGTGCATTGCTTTGTTTACTGACGCCCTGTCCTGCCTTAACTTCCTTGTTTCCAATAGGATGCGCACATAAGTAAACAGGATAATGATTGCTACCACTGCAAAGAAAATTATAAATATCACAGCTTTAAAAAGCATTTGAATAGGACTAGTATTCAGCTCAGCAGATTTGCATAAAACCGGGGTAGAAAAAGGGTCCAGATTTGGGTCTTGCTTGCCAATGGAGAAGTCTATGAGGGGAAATAGGCAACTAATAATCCACAAAGCCAAAATGATAACCCAAATCCGGTCAGAACGCCAAGCTAATGGACGCTGAAGGGGATAGACTATGGCAACATATCGTTCAAGAGACATAGCAGCAAGAATCAAGGGGGTATTTTGGAAAGTAGCAGTAGATACAAACAGTAAAGGGATACAATAGAAAAGAGGGAACTTAATTTGACACACAAAAAGAGCAAACAAGACAACAGAGGATATGACTTGAAAGGCATCATTGATCAGCATGTAGGCAAAAAGGATGTACCGAGATGTCTCCAAGAACTGTCGATGGGATGCAAAGGTGTGCAGCATGACAGCTATACAACCAAGAAACATACAAGTCAGTGGGATTACAATAGACACTTTTATAATGACAGGGAGCTCATAGTGAGCCGTGTTGTTGGGTTGAAAGTCACTTAAGTTAAACATATTTCATAGCAGTTTAGCAACAATAAAGCTTTCAGTGTGAGTGGCATGAAATAAATCAGGCAAGGCTAAGAAATAAAACAACACAAACAAGTCTCTTTTATGTGTTTTCCCTAACATCCTGTTATATCTTGTTACATCATCTTGTTCTCTCTACACTATGAGTGCAATCATGTTTACAAAAACCTGGACTTAATCAGAACTAAACCAGGATTAGATCAGGACCAAACAAAGTGTACACGAGGAGTAATGTGGGATCATACCAAGAACAAACCAGCCCAAGACTCCAGAACCTCCCATGCATGTAGATTGCACCAGTCTGTCTAGAGTAACTGCCGTAGGGGTCCATTTATATGATGATCTCAGAGCCTAAACCACCAGTGAATTATCAGTTTGCAATTACCCCTCAGTGACAGGTTTCACTGGGAATTATTAAGGGCGAGTTTGGCAAGTTTCACCTAAAACTTTTCTGGTGGAGGGTACATCACCTGTTTGTGGTGGTGCTTTGACTAAAATGCTCTGCAGTATTATTAGTAGTATTTATCTCCATGGAGACAAGCAGGAGCCAAATTAGAGGTCAGATCTGTGGAAAGGAGACCCTGCTCATAGAAAGAATGTTTTTCAAGGAATCACTGAGCAATGAAAAATACTAAATAAATAATGTTACAAAGAGAATGAATGCTGTCTGATAGACTTAGGCAGAAAATGTTTTGGACACAGTAGCTCACACATCACAATAAATATAGTAACAAAGAGCAAAACTATAAATGGTTATAATAAATTCTAAATAAGTAGCAAATAATAATTCTACAAATGTATATGTACAAGTAAAAAAAAAAAAAAAAAAAAAAAATATATATATATATATATATATATATATATATATATATATATATATATATATATATATATATACAAGAGGTTGGTAAGGGGAAACAGTGCAAAGATGATTTAATGATTGAAAATGATTGATAAATACAACACAACTGAAATGGGCACAGACCAGATTGGAGTGTGCTTTGGGTTCATGTGTCTCTGGCTTTGTGGTATTGATCTGCTGAGTGGGCAGTCTGCAGCTATAGGGTCACCGGTCCAATTTCCTCCAACTCATTTCATAAAATGACCAACAGATGTCGCTAAAATGAGCATGAAAGACCAGATTGGTTTGTTGACATGTAGTAATTCTCGTGCTGCAGTTCAACTCATTTAATGATGCAGCAACAGTGGTATTAAAGTTGTTATTATGTTAATTAAATAGACTTAAATCACAATGACTGCCAACAATTTTACCACCTAAACTTTATGTGTGCTGTAGGTTTATGGGGTACATATCAAATAGTCGATATTGGCTTTTTTGTGTCTGGAGCAGTTCCTCCTCGTACTATAAAATTCATACTTGTGTGAGAGTAGTAGTAGTAGTAGGAGTTTATTATTTTCCCTCATGTTACTGGTGTGCACTAGATCCGGTAAATGTTAAATCACTTATATAATTTTTATTTACTGTCCAGTAAGTTGTAGGTGCCAAGTATTGCACCAGTAAACTATTAGCCCTCCTGTCCCCTGTTTTGCCCTTTTCAGACTGTAGCAGATTATTAACATGGAGTCATGTTGTGCAAACATTTCACAAACAGGATGACTCTGGGTTTGTGGTCTCTTTGCGCAGGTTCTACGTCAGAGCTATGCTGCAGATTGGACCAAAGCTCATTTGTGGGACAAGCCCCAGTGCTTATATCTGTAACCTTTGATGCACCTGCAGCCAGCTAAGACTGACAAATGATCATTAAATGCCCTATATTACACAGCTTTAAGTCATGTTACAATGCTGTTACCATCTCAAAAACATACCTGAAGCTGTATTTTGTTTCATCCACACAAGTTCAAGCTCAAAATATTCTGTGCCACCTTGTGATGACATGAAGCAGTAGTTTTCAAGTTAACAGTTACAAGTTAACAGTAACAAGTTTTACATTGTGTTCATTAAAGATGGGCAATTCCAGGGCTGAACTCATCCAAACAATGAAGTGAAGTTGTGTGGAGTTTAAAAACACAGTGGAGCACTTCCTATCTTACAACATGACATCAAAAGGTGGAACACGGAGTTTTCTTTTTGAGAGAAGAACTCAGCTGAAATATGCAAGGGTTGTGTGTTAAATATGAACATGGTCTAATAAGTAAAAAACTAATTACAGTTGGAAATGCACATGCATGTGAAATTAACTTTAAGGATAAGGCTTAAAAATTTGCATACTAGCTGAAACTTACCTCTTACTAGTATTAATTTTAACAAATTCATAATAGAAAAACAGACTGGTGTTTCTCCAGCCAGCACGTATGTGTGTATGTGTGTATGTGTGTATGTGTGTATGTGGTTGTGCACACTGATAACGCCTTATGCGCACATTAGGAGTCAGAGTCAACAGATCAATATATTTTACGTAATACTAGGCCTATAAAATACCTAGACATAGCCTGTTGGATATCAGTAGACTAAAAGGTGCTTCAGACTAAAGGAGCCTTCATTTTCTTCAGACACAGGTGTCTAATATTCTGCATAATGCAAGCCGTTCGTTGTTCAACGTGTGCTGGTCGCATTGCAGGTGCTCTGCAAAGACAGACCAGCAGGAGATTTACAAGGTAAGGCTCTCATATTTTACCTTGACATTTAAGTTTTTAAGACTTATATAGTTTTAACATTGTATTTTTTTTTACAGTTCAGACAGTGGTGTCTTCAGCATACTGAACCCCAGCTCCCAGAAGCTGCAGGAAACTCCAAACAACACACACATGAGCAGAGCCTCTTTAAGTGTTGGTCTGGGCCTTCATGCCGTCCCTTTCTCACAGGTGGTTTCCTCACATTCTGTAATATGCACTCATTTTACAGATCCCGGTAAAATAACCACAATTTTCTCTTTGTTTTTCTTTGCAGCAAGTTGAAAATCTCTCTCACAGCTCTCTGATTAGAAAAGCTGCATCAGTGGTGACAGACAGCTCCAGTACATTTCTCTCCCAATCCACACTGGCCCTCATAGACTCTTTTACAGATTATGCCAAGGTATTGCTCTTATATTTCTGCACAGAACATGCACTGTACTTGCATCACATGTGCAGTTGTGCACATATATAAATTTTGATTGGTAATGACTGAGTGTACTTGTCTGGGTTCAGGCTGTCCAAGCTCGCATTGCTCTCCAAAGGCAGTACTTAGCCACTTTGGGAAAGCTGAGCCCAGCAGAGGACGAGTCGCTTTGGCAGCTGATCAACAACCTTCGTGCAGAGGTAAGTCTATAAAGAAAAGCTGAATGTGCTATATCATGGTTTAAGTTATGCATTTACATAGTTTGTTTTGCTTATAGGCTGCTGACAGACTAAGTCAATGCAAACACTACGAGTCAAATTGGATCAATGCCATGAATATGTCAAAAATGGCAGCTGAGGCCGCATATGTTTCAGGTAAGGAAGGGGGGAACTTTTTAATTATATCAAGTTTAAGTTTAAAGGTCGTTATGAGACCTTATATTGATTTGCATTTGTGGTTGTTTGCAGGAGCGGAGCAGGCGTCCATCACAATAAGGACCAACATCCAGCTGGCCCAGTCTCAAGTCGATGAGGCGAAGAATGTGTCCGCTGAAGCAGATAAAAAGCTGGCTGAGACTAAAGCAGATGAGATCCAGAGGATGGCCGAGTATCACGCTTTTCTCCAGAACAGTGAGCACGAGGTGCATGAGGCATATCTTCGAGAAGACTAGAAGACTAAAAGAGCCCAGAGCGTCCAGTTTGAATGTAGCCTGTTATATATGTATGTTTAGTTGTTGGAAAAAAAAAATCTACAAAATAATTTTTCTACCAAAATTTAAATCAGCTGTTTATACTTTATTGTAATAATGTTGGCAATATAAATCATTATTTATTAAATAGATGTCAGTAGCCTGTATGGGCTGATTTATTTTTGTGTATGGAACATTTATTTATAGCTGTGAAAATAATGTTGAAAAACTGTGAAATAAATGACAAAAGAGAAGCATATTTGCCATCTAGTTTTTTTTGTTTGTGTTTACCTTTTTAACCATTTTGGAAAAATACACTGACACTGGCTCACTAAATGACAAGACAATACGCTCTTTGCAATGACACAATATTTTAAAATACTCAAATTTACTTGATTAAAACAAACTTACAATGGAAGGATATAAGAATACATTTATCTAAGCTTGAGACCTTTCAGTTTTGAAAAAGCATGAAAAGGCGAATCGTGTAATAGCAGGCATTTAGTTGTTTTGGTGTAACCTAGTGATATTGGTACATCTACTCTCATGTGTAATATTATAGTCCTTGGAAACTAATTAAAATGTTATTAATTATTAAAGACAGTTTTGTTTATGTTAAACTCCTGGGATTTCTGTCACACAATCCCATTCTTGTTTATTGTTAACAGAAAATTAACAATTTATATCGCCGTTATCATTATCAATCCACTGGTTACAACAGGTTATGTTAAAAAAAAAAAAAAGAAAAGAAAAGGACAATACAAAACCAAAGGCATTCATATTTTCAGTACCAAAATACATACAAATGTGTTGGTGGCCTGGTTCATTTCCAAACCCTTGACCTAAAAACTTAAGGCAACGTATTGAAACTTAAATACGGTTATCACTAGCTTTTGACCACTTGAAAATATGAATTTTAACCTTTTTTATTTTGACCTTTAACTTTTCCCTTTCTCAGCATAGGTACCTTAATAGAGGTATTATTATAACAAAAGGCAGATGAACAAATAAATTAGTGATAATATTCTAATGTAGTGATTAGAGTAAACGTCTCATAAAACTATACACATATTAACAGCCATTTAAACCGAAGAAGTGTATTCAGCTTTTTGTTGTATTGTGCTTTAACTTGAAATGAAAAATGACACTCTGCTGAAGTTCACTTAAGGTAAGATTTACATTCTCTTTGAGAGACAAAAACATTGATCAAGCAGCGCCTCCTCTGCTCCAACCAGTCTGGACATGTCAGAGGTAGTCGTCCTCACTGGACTCTTCCTCCTCATTCTCCTCTTCCTCCCTGGTGCAGCTGCTGCTGTAGTAGTGACTCGGGCCTTCGCCGGGGTCGCTGCTCTCAGCGGAGCTCTCCACGGTGAGTTTTGAACTTTCCGAGCTAGCAGAAGGACTGCGGCTCATCCTCCACAGCTGTTGGGAAAAGGTCCGCCCCCAGCTGCAGTACTGGCCAATAGGACGCAACATTCGGACAAGCTCACGGGCCTCCTGCCAGTAAGAAGTTCACTTGCTATGGCCTCGCGCTGAGCGCGGTTTGTTCATAGTGGTCAACATTTGGCTAATGTAAGAGGTCAGCAGGTCATCCATCTTGTAGCCCTGTAAACATAATACATGTGTTTTTACTAAAAGATACATTCAAAAAGAGTTCAAGATGAGCAAATATCCTCACCAGCGACGTCTCACAGAGCAGCTTGCTTCCTTTAACCAGGTTGCCAATGGTGATATGGAAGTATGTGTTCCCACTGCTCCAGTTGGAAATATTAGTGAAAGGATGAGTCGTCAAGATGTCCTGTTTAAGCACAAAGCAGCCATTTTAATGTGTAAGATTGCAGGTGTGAGAGTAGCTTCAGTAAAATTCCACAGAGAGGCGATGACCAGACCAAATTTCTAAAAAGTGCACACCTTAGTCTTTGGGTCAATGAGACTAACTCCATGCTTGTTGATGGCAATTAGCAGAATCTCTGGATACTTGGTCTCTGTGGTTTGCTAAAGACAAAAAAGAGCACAAAAATATTAACATGTATCTCATAATGAAAAACAATCACCAAGACTGTTTACCTTGACCTCAAAGAAAGCAGATCCGAAAGTGGGCCATTTATAAATGGTCTTCAGGAACATTAGTTTTGCTTCCTCTCTTGATTTACCCGCTTGTTTGTTAAAGTATGCAATTACTGACTGTTGAACACAGTTAATATTAGTTGTAATTAGTATAGCTGAGAAGTTAAGTAAAATAATTCAGAAATTTACCCTTTTCCAGTCATCTGGCGACATTAGGCGAATTAGATCCTGAGGCACCAACTCCCTGAGCATTTTGGGAATTGTAGGAAAATGTGATTTGTCATCTTCAAACTTAACTCGGTAGATCAGAGCTGCAAGCTGGAAAACTTCCTCTCTGGAACATTTGTGGTAACCCCGCAGATACTTGGGCAGCTCCTATAGTCAATAAGAAGATGCTATTAATATGCTATTCAGTAAAAATATCATTGTTTTTCACAAGATAAACCTGATAGTAGTGGAAAATTGAATCAGCAAAGGAGTCTTTCCCAGGAACAGTGGTTGTCCATAACTTCTTCATGAAAAACACCTGATACGTAAGTGATGGAACAATACCTGCAAAAATATATATTCACTGTCAATTGAACCAACTGCAAAGCCACAAAAAAAAAAAAAAAAAAAAAAAATCCCCATCAAGTTTAAAGACAAAACTCACCATCTTTAGCTGGTCGAGATTTCTTGATCCAGTCGGTTAAGTGTCTCACAAAATCAAAAAAAAAGTCTCCCTGTGGTACACTGATCACCTGTGTGTGAGAAAACAGATGTTATGACAAATATAGCCCCAAATACAAAAAACTATGTGATCTAACCTTGTCTGAGATCTTGACAAACAAACTGAAGCCCTCTGGAGTTTTGAGAAGCAGTCTCGTTGCAATGTTCTGACACAAGTCTTTTGCTTTTGTGCTGGACTCAACCTCAAATGCCTAAAATTGGAATAGGAATGTCACAGTATAACACTGTAAGGTTTTATTCTTATGAGAGTACAAATAAAGTCATTTTACAATTATTCACAATTATTACACCATGACAAGTGAAGTGTTACATGCTTGTCACTTTAAGATAGATATGTTTAAAGTCATACGGTGGAATATTTTAGGCTAAGGAATAACATCTCTATACAAACAAGGAGGTGATGGACTCTCTATTTAATTCAAGTTATGGTACTTATGTTTTTGTTTTTTTTATCTCACAATTATTATCTGACCATTATCAATTAACAGAGCCTTCTTAGCATCCCTAGGTGAGTATATATTAGTTACTTTTACAATAATGTCATACAGTAAATCAATAGACGCACCTCATCTGTATCATCAGGGAAGTAGACCTTGTGAAAAATTTGTGTTGTTTTGTGTTGAATAGCTTCAACTTCCACCAAATGAGGAGGGTACTGCCTGGATCCATTACTGTGAAATACAACAACAAAAAGTATTATTATGAGACCATATAAAACCAAAATAGTGTTTTTAAAATTAGTGATATTAATGAAGTACCGTAAAGCTTTATGCACTCTTTGCATGCAGTCTGTGGACAGTGGGTGGTGCTTCTTGGACTGCAGAAAGCGCTGGATATGAGGCAGTAGCACATTACTGGGAGGGAATAAACCAGTGCACAGCCATAACAGCTCCCAGCCCTTCTCCTCGCTATACCTACATAAGTCCAACATTATAAAGTAAGTGAGCTTGGTTAATGACAAATAAAATATTGTTACAGGCTGCATACTTGACATGGTTGTCTGTGAGCTGTTTAATAATCTGGCAGTATATCTCATCTTTCAGTGGTTCAGCCTTTAACGCTCCTTCAAAAATCTGATCTGTTAATTCATTCACTGAGCGCGTCCGTTTTGATGGATAGTCACCCATATACTTCATCATGGGTGAGGACAGTTAAGGATAATACAGCCATTTGTAAAAATAAAATAAAATACATGTCACAGGAAGTTGATATTGTCATATATATAAATATAAATATATAATATATATATAAAATATATATATTTTTATATATATCTTATATCTATATATATATCTATATATATATATATATATATATATATATATATATATATATAGATATATATATATATATAATATATAATATATAGATAGATAGATAGATAGATAGATAGATATAACACAGGATATCAATAAAGGCCATGCAGGCTTCTTGAGACAGCTCTTCATGGTTGACCACTTTCTTGAGTAGAGGCAGTTTGAGTGGTTCCCTTGTACAGCTCCACATCTTGTCCTTCCCACGATTTTTGGTAACCATCACTCTGCTTAGGGTATGTTTCGGAGGAGGCCTAAATAGCAGAAATTATATTCATAAAGAAGATGGAAAATTCAAGAATGTACACTGTATGAAGTTGAATTTAAAAGTCAAACATTGTAACATTTCTGGTCACCACAAAAGATGCATAGTACATCTTAAACATTTTAATGGTTGTTCCTAAATGCCATATTTGTGCACATTTTGTAAGTGTTCCTGATTTAACCTCTGGCTCTACCAAAATGCTGTACCTAAAGTAGTCATATGAGAACTCCTCCAGTGTGTACGGTTTCAGTCTCTCGTCGGTCTCTGGCATCATGAACTGAGACACACGGACCGATTCTTGCCGCTGGTCTGGTGTCATGGTAACCAGTGCCTGATTACAAACAAAAACATATAAACAAGAACAGATGGAAAGAGCAGCTACACTACTGCTTTAAAGTGATGGCATGATCATTATTTAAAGATGGTTTCCTTACCACTATCTCTTGCTGTGGTCGGGTCATAGTCGGAAGGACATAGACACAATCTGCAGGGAAGTCCCCTTTTTTATTAGTTCGCTCATTGACCCCATGAGCCCAACCAGAGTTCAGGACCTGCTCCCCTGTGTCCTGGTCCAACAGAATCAAGTCTCCTTTCTGAAAACTGAGGAATGTTGAGTCCTCTCCAGCTGAAAATTAAAACCACACTTCATCATTTTGGAACGTTTACAGATAATAAACCGTATGATTACTAGATTACCAGGCATTGTTTGGTATTAAAAGATATTTCTTATGTGACAGTTCTTGCTTACTGGGGTTGGGGTTGTCTTGCAGAGCCACTACAAACTTGGACCGGTTCCTTAGTCCTTCCAGGAAAGTGACCACTAAGTCTCGGATGTCCTCAGCATTGTTGGATGTGAATGTGTACTCTTCACCTTTAATGGTGGCCATGGTGAAACTCTGGCCCTGTAGCTTTCCTCCCCTGAAAACATAACATGGTTAGCTATTAGAATATGCAAACTAATATGGCATGTTTGGCGTACTTGCTGCTGGAGACTGCAGTGATCTCAGGAAAAGAGAGCTCCAGAAGGACTTGCTCCTGCTCATCCACAAAGTACACCCCAGTCCAGTTCACAGCCACAATCAGGTCATTTTTAGGCAGACTAGGCCCTGTGTGCACAAAGAGGGATTTTAGCAGTTTTTTTTTTTATTTCATGGGAATGTCATGCCAAAGACTATTATTTGAGATAATTTACTATTAATGGTAATATAATGAAAGAGCTTACCTGAAAACTTAAAAGCTTCATAAAACCGTGAGAAAAGAAGTGGCCATTTGTGTCGAGCAAAGTCCACTACTTCCTCCTTCACTTTGAGAGAATCAAACCTTTTCTGAGTGTAGATACTCTGAATAGAAATAAACACATTTATTTAGAAAACATGTAAAAGACACAGTAATATTATGTGCCACTAGGATGTCTATGTCTATGTTCAGTCAGTCTAAGAACCTTTTTGTGGGCGGCCATGATAAAATGAGCCCACTTCTCAACCCCTCTAGAGGAACTGATCTCACGGTCTGGGATGTAGGAGGGGATGAGGCTCAGAAGACGCTCCAGGAGGATCTCTGAACCATAGTCCACATAGTACTGCTGTGAGGCCAACTCTGCCAAATCATCCTATGATAAGGCAAAGAATATAAACAACAATGTAAGGTAAGGAGCAATTTATGTTCAAGTTGGGAAATTTGTCCTCATTGCATTTTACATATTCTTCAATATTACTGGAGTGAGTGACTGCAAGAGCATCTAGCTGGAGAATTAGCTTAATGGGGGTTTTCAGATTCTACAATGTGATGTGGTCCCAAATGGAAGCAAGAGTCAGTTCTCCCTATTGACTTAATGGTAAATATAATTACACTATGTGTTTTTCTTAAATAAGTAATCTAACTTGTCATATATGCTTTAAGATTGATGAGTGAAATTAGAATAATGTAAAGAACTATTACCCTGTCACAGCGGTATTCTCCAAACTTGACTCCACGAACGATTTGTTGATAGATGAGATTTGTGGCCACCTGGTCGTCAGTGGGAGAGTGCCATGGCGTAAAGATCTCCTTTCTGAAAAACAGCCTCCAGGGGGCGTTCCTCTCCTGTGCGCCCTGCTCTTTGGCATACTGTTCACATTGTGACACAGCGTCCATGACGTGGTCATTACCACTACCCAAAGAAGACACCTGTAGGAGCGCAAATATAACTCAGAATAAGTTGTAACACATTGTAATAATTGCAGTATTTACTTTCTTAAAGCTAAACAAATACTTAATACTTACTTAATACTTACTTATTAAAGGTCCTATATGATGCAAAATTTACTCTTGTGAGCTTTAAACCATGTTATAATGTTGTTACCTCACCAAAAACATACCTGGAGTTGTGTTTTAACTTTAACTTTAACTTTATTAATGGTCTGTCTACATCTCCAAAGCTCAAAATGATAGATATAATATTATAGATAAGAAAATAGTGTAACATGGGGCCCTTTAAGAATGATTCAGGGTTAGCACGTTAGGAGTTAGGAGCTAGAATTTAGGGTTCAGGTATTTATTAAGTACTTATTAACACAGAATCATTCTTAAGAAACTATTTGTTCATCATGAATTAAATCTTTCTTTATACTTTAATAAGACTAATTAAAGTGTAGTTATCAACAAGTGTGATCAAATTATAGTACTAGTGTTTTAGTGGTTTATATGTTACTTTACTTTGTCAAAGAGGGCGATGTAGAGGGAGAAGCCAAAGCGGTCTCTGAGGTTAATTTTGTCGGACAGGGCATTACACAGCTCCCTGGCCGTGGTCGCTGAGTCTGTGAGGAGTGTTTTGGTGGTGCCATCCATAAAGGTCACTGGCAACATAATGGGCTTTTTGGACTTGGTGGCCTGTAGCTCCAGCCATGATGGAGGCTGTGTTCTTGTTCCATTGACGAAAGTTCTTCTCAGCCTCTCCTCACAATATGGGGCATAACCAGGAGGTCCACTGTTAATGAAGTTCCTCAAATACTAATGATCAAAAAAGTCACAAATCACATTATTTACTTAAAAAGTAAAAACTAAATATTTTAATCATGTGAGCAGAAAATAATTAACCTTGACAAATTTTTCAGATGGGGCAAAACATCCAACACACAATGAGATAAGAATCCAACCACGAGCATGGGAGCTTTTAGACGGATTTTGACTCAGCTGTTTACAGATCTGACAGTAGATTTCATCTCTATAAACAAAAGAGAAAAGATATCAAAAATACTACAAAATAGTACAAAAATTGCATAGCAGGACATAAATTACAATAAAGTGAATACCTGAGTCCTGGTCTCAGGATGCCGTTTCCAATGATGAAGTGAAGTTTCTCTAAATTCGACGTGGGGCGGTCTTCAAGCATGCTGTTACCATGGAGACCAGGCTCGCCATCGTTGAGGCGCCTAGTGACCTGAAAAAACATAAAAGATTAAGGATTTTCTTTACTTTGATAACAGGCATTTCAAAGCAAAGTACAGTCATTACGTCAGTATTTATCTGGTTATTAATCTACCTCCTCTGTGATCTTGGATTTCTTCTTAAGAGTCAAAGACACAAGTTTGTGTCGCACACTGTTCTTCTTCGGGGTTTCAGTTGGAGTGTTCTATTAATAACACAAGAGGTAAATACAAATGCAAAAATATAGAAATAAGATTGAAAATGATTCTGTCAACCCCTCACCTCGCCCTCTCCCTGCAGTGCAGCCAACTCTCGTTTATATGTTTTCTTGCCTAGTGTCTCATAGATTTTGGTCATAATTGGGATCTTCTCACTGCCATCACTGATAGCTGTGTGATACTTCGGCTCAGGCAGATCCCCCATAAACCTTAGCACTGTGATCCACACTGCCAAAGCAGCCTGTACAGGAAGTAGATATGTTTTTTTTCTTTAATTATAATTATTATGATAAACATCTATATAGAATCCAAAAGATACCAACCAGCTGATCTCCTTCATCATCATGAAAGAGCAGTGGTTGCTTTAGAGACCGGCGAACATAGGTGTGAGTGGTGTTCCCTTGAAAATAGGTTGCAGCAAATTTAGCAAACTTGTACTCAGACAGATCCTCCTCATCATCGTCGTCAGGCAAAGGAAGGGCCTCATCCAGGTCCTCTTCCTCAAGCTCATGGTATGTTCGCTCCAAATCCTGTAAACAAACACATAGAATGACCAAGGGGTTTTGTTTTTTAAGTAGATCATTTAACTAAATCGTTGTTGAATCTTATCTCACCTCAAACCCTGTAGGGGCTTGTCCTTCCTGCCCTGGGAGGGAGCTTGTTGTTCCCAGAAACCCAAACATCTTGTCCACCATGTCCGAGTCATTGACGGGCTCTTGTCGAGCTTTCTCCATCTGATCTACCAGCTCCTTTTTCTTACGTGCCTCCTCCTTCTCCTTCTTCTCTCGTTCAGCATCCTCTTTGGCCAGCTGAGCCAGACGCTCCTTCAGAGAGACAATCACAGAGTTACAGATACAAGGCCAGTTTCAGAGGCTCAGTGTGCAGTTCAGTTTAGCTCTACCTGGTGCTTGCGCTCAGCCTCCTCCTTGGCTCTTTTGGCAGACATCTGGTTCCTCAATTTGGCCTCTTCAGCAAGACGCATCTTCTCTGCCTCCAGCCTTCTTTGATACTAAAAATTGAGAAGTAAAAATAGAAGAAAAAAATATTGGTGAGTCAAGCTAACTGAAATCAGACAAAGATATTAGTAGTATTAATATTTTTAGTAGTAGTATTATTATTGTGGAGACCCAAACAAAAGTAGGTTGTCCTTTATTTAGCCTTTACCTCTCCCTTCAGTCTCTTGTACAGCCGGCGGGCGATCATGCCTCTGGTGTAGGCCTGGATGGTGATGACAGCCCACAGTCTGTGTCTAAAAGCCCGCCGCACCAGGTAACCTCGGCAACGACCCTGGAAGCATGTGATTCGCTGACGGGCAACATGATATGAGGCACACAACTTCCTGGATCTGACCAGAGCTTGTAGACGAGAGAAGCCGGCACGCATCTGAAATAAATAACAAAAACAAACAAAAAAAAAATTATTGAAAAAAACACACAACAAAAACAAAAACAAAAAACAAATCAAATCAGAGTTTCTATTTATGAGGGTCTTACAGCGCCATAGTTCTTTCTGCATTGGTAGCCCCTCCATGTCTTCTGAATGAGCACTGCTGATTTCCTCATCCTCAGGAAGTTTGACCTGTGGCAAAAAATTAAGCCATAAACTAGGATTTTTTGTTACAAAAATCGTATGCATACATAAAAAGGGATATACTTAATTTTAGTAAAACTGTACCCACCTGTCTTTAAAACCTCTCACCACCTTTTGGATGAGAATAACTTTGTCTGTGATCGCTTTGTCCCTCTCAATCTCCAGAAGCATGTCATGGTGATCCTACGCAATACACAAAAAAACATAAAAAACCCCAAAACAAAACAAAAAAACTAATACACCACCAACATGATAGATTTAAAAAGGAAAAGCATATGTACCAAAATCTCTTCTCTGTACAAATTATGAGACTTTAATCTTTCTCATCATGACATGCAAAGTAAGTATAAAAACTCAACAATTACAAAGCCTCTTCTGCTATCTCTAAACACATCCTGAGTGGGAAATGTGGCCACTGCCCTGTTCTGACCTCTGCAAGCACTCTGTTTCCTGAACCAAACTCGCACATAGGACTTTCAAAACATACATGTGTCTATACGTCTATACGGCTTACATTCAGTAAGCAATCAATGCAATTTCAATAATTTCTAGTTGTTAATGATCAACTTTGCTTTTTTAATCGAGAGGTCCACAGTCAGCCTATCAGTAAAAACATGGGTTTGTTTGGGGCAAAATTCTGATTTAAGAAAAGAAATTTGACTTTTTTTGTTGTTGTTAAAATGACAATGAAAATGTAAATTCATTTTTAATAACATTCAAAATAAAAGACAAATTTAAATAAAAATCTTGATTAATGTATTGCCCAGTCCTAGCATAGTTTGTAGTTTATAATATTTGTTTGCACCTTGAGGAAGATCTTGGTCTTTCCCATCTGCCAATCATCATCTCTGCCCAGCACAGCCTCAGCGATTCTTTGACACGTTCCCCTGAGGTCCTCCTAATCAAACAAATGCAATGACACCAAAATCAACATTTATCAGATCGGACAACAACAGGCAGAGGTGGAAACTAAAACATGTTGACAGTGAAAATGTCCACTGACTACTGATCACCTGTTTGTACGCTGGTTTAACTCCCGGCATTAGGACCCGGTAGCGGTCAACAAACTCAACAAAAGTGTAGCGGATAGGATACCCTGCCCGACGGATACGAATCGTCTCCATCATCCCAGAGTATCTCAACTGGCGCACACACAGCTCCCTGTCAAACAACTGAAGACAGACAGGACTTCTGAATGCAATTTACTCACAGTATCATCAGAGTATGGACTATACTTACACATTTGAACATAACATGAAGGGTTAAAACATTAAAATCACAACAATGAGCAAAACTTTTTGGGGGGTCCCCAACGGTAATGTTATTTCTCTGTCTAGAATATTTCACAGAATGGCTTCAAATCATGCATTCAGTTTCAGGTGTTGGCTTGTATGTGGAACATTGTATTCAAAACAATAACAAAGCAGGTGGAGAACCCCTCACCAGAGAAGTTAAAATGTCTTAAAGGGCCTTTCTATAGTTTGTAATCTAAACTGATACAAATAAGTTACTTACCATAGGCTTCTTGTATTCATTAGGTTTGATGCAGCGTACAAAAAAGGGCTGACACACACTCAGCGTTCTCATGAGCAGCTCCAGAGATCGTTTGAACTGACTGCTCAGGGTGGGTGAGCGCTTCCTGGTCTCTGCCCCCTGTCACATGGAAAAGACCAGAAAGTGTCAAAACAAAGGAAGAAGCAGTTTTTATGATTCCTGGACCTTACACCAACTTTGTCTTTCTCTGTAGTCCTAATTTGTCACGTTTCTGGTTGGGGGTCCGTTACCTGCTTGTCTCAAGGGAAATTGTTATTTGTATTTTGTTCCAACTTTTTATATTTAACCTACAGTCAAAGTGGTGGACCCTCAACCAGAAAAGACATAGCAGTCCTTATTGCTTTTTAAATACATCTACATACACTGTCAGTTCCAGTGTAAAGATAAACATGTTTTCCACCAATGATTTAATTTTCAAAGTTTGTGACATTTCATAAATTGCGATAATTAATTATTTATTTTAAAAAAACACCCACTATCAATCAGTTAATAAAGTTTACCTTAGGAAGACTTTTGGCAGGAGCACACACTGTACTAGCAGGAGCATAACTGCACAGAAACTGGTGAAAGGTACACATGCAAAAACACACAGGATAGAGGACAGAGAACACAGTAATGTTAGCATAAAGCTGGACATTACTCAGAAACATGCAACTGAACATGCAGAAAACACACAAGAAAGTATGTGTTTACTTGAACTTGCATTAAGTCTTATTAAGACTTATATTAAGTACAAGTAAATCTTACCATAGCAACATCGGCCTGGAAGATTTGTTTGATGAATTTGTTTTTAGAAGAATGCACCAGCTGTATTATGTCCCCATAAAGTGTGTCCCGGTTTTTCTCCAAGAAACCTACCAGAAAACATGTATTAATTGAAGAACATAGTAATTCAAATATTTTTACAAATGTATATCCCACCTTTTGTCTCGTAGTAGACCACTCCTGCGAAGTGCTGGATCCCAAACTGGGTCTCGTAGTTGTTCTTAGGTGGAATGTAGTTGGTGTTGAGCTTGTGCTGAAAGTTCAACTTGTTCAGCATTGTGGCATCTGTGCCCTTTCCAGAGAAAATAAATAATAATAGTAAGAGCACAGCTGTAATATTCAGGTTTGATATTATAAGGTAAGGTAAGGTAGACTTTATAGTCCTCTGTAGTTGACCCATCTTTCAGGCCTCAGGAGCAGTGAGCAAAAAATCTCGGCGACCTGGAGATCAAACCTAGAATCTTCTTGCTGTGAAGTGTGAGTGCTAGTAACTCAGACACAGTGCTGCCTATTCATATGTTGGCCACAGTCATGCTATTTTTTATAATATGAAAACTAAGGTCAGGGCAATCCTTTGGCAACTTTAAAATGTTCCTGTGCCTAGCATTATTTTCCATGGTACATCTTTGAGCTTAACTAGACACACAATGTATTTTATTATTTTTTTTTTAATCTTTTAAGTACTTTATCATCTTTGTTGTCAAAGTCTATGTTATTTTTGAATAGTGAGTGTTCATAATGGATACCTTAGGAAATTTACTTTCTTCATCGATCAGTGAGATGATGTTCATTGGTTTGATGGCAATCATATCCAGAGCGTCCTGATTATCTGTAAATTCAATGTGCTGCCAGTTGATATTTTCAAGGTTGTACTCTTCCTGCTCCAACTTAAAGACATGTCGCACAAAGAACTGCTGCAAATTCTCATTGGCAAAGTTGATACAAAGCTGTTCGAAGCTGCAGAAATAAACATAGTGAAGATAAGATCATCTATTATAAAGCATGTATTTATTTCTGCTATTGCTATATACCTGTTGACAGCAAAGTTCTCAAAGCCAAAGATGTCCAACAGCCCGATAGACCGGCGAATAAACTTAGGCTGCATAGATGGGGGCTTGTAGATGGCAGCATTAATCTTCTCCACAATCCAGACAAACAAGCGGCCATAGATACCCTGCAAATACAAAACATACATAAAATAAATTCAAATGTAAATGTATTCATGTAACTACAGCAAAGTTACCTTAACAAAAGCATCTCGGACATCCAGGGCTTGGTCCATGTTCAAAGGTGTGGACACAGTCTCCCCACGTGTGATCAGTGTTCGACTTGTCAGGCAGTTCTGCAGGTCTTTAAAATCCACCTGAACAGAAATTCATTCTTATAAATTCTTGGTTTACTTTTAGTAGTTTTTGTTTTTAGTATATTGTTAGGGCTTTACCTCCAACAGTGTAGCTGCTGTTGTAAGAGAAGGACTTCGGACCACCTCACAAGCATCCAGGTTATCATAATTACGTGCTTTGAAGAAAACACAATTTTACAATCTCATCAACATTGTATTTAACCAGCCCAAAGTTTGTTTTTAATTTTACCTTCATACTGTAGATTCCCCATGTGCAAAATAGCAGCGAGTAGTTTTGAAATTTCCCAGTTTTCTTTGTCTGTAAACATCAATACCTACAGTGTAGGAAAAAGTTATAAAGTTATAATGGTAGAAGATGTAAATATAATATATTAGATAGTAATGTTATGAAAAATGAATTTATAAATCTAAATAAATACCTTCATTGCAGAGCGAATGTTGGAATACTCTTTCAGGTCATCACGTCCATCACACACTGTACAATTTCCCTTAACAAAAGGGTGGGAACATAAAAACAACGTAAATGATTATATTAAGTATTTTCCACAATAATGCACCAAAATAAGTACCATTGTGTTTCTTACAATAGTTAAGTAGTTGTAATCTGTGGCTTTGCTTAGACCAAGTTTCTTCTTTTCATCTGGGGTCATGCCTTTTAACATGCAATAGAAAATGTGGTAGTTTCTCTCATCATAGGCCTACAATAGGTCCACAATGAGTAAATACAGGTTAAGTAAATAAGATAAGACAAAACAGGGATTACTCATTGATTCCCACCTGTCGACAAACTCTGGATTTTTCTAGGAGATATTGCTCAATCTTTGCTCCTTCTATGGCTCCTCTCTTGTTAAAATGGATGTCAATGTACTTTCCAAAACGTGATGAATTGTCATTGCGGATTGTTTTAGCGTTACCAAAAGCTACACAAAGAAGAAGACATCATGTTATACTGGTAAATGATCACATTTTTCTATAGTGCTTTCTGCCTTCAAGGCACTCAAGGCACTTTAAATCAAGGAAGCACCCATTCACACACCAGTGTATGCAGACACTGGGGCTGCATATACTGGGGAACACTCAGTCTGTTTACAAGCCTACCTTTGGATTAGTGGACAAACACTAAGCTATTGTTGCCCTCATGTAAGCAGACTTCATGAAACTATGATTGTATTGTACACCTTTATGTTGTTCCTACCTTCTAAAATAGGGTTGGCCTCTAGCACCTGCTGCTCTATCCATGAATGCTGTCCACTGATGGCTGCAAGGAACTGAAGGATGAGTTTAGTGCTCTCTGTTTTTCCTGCTCCAGATTCACCACTATAACCAAACACAACAGGTCTGTATTATTTAATGTAAACCAGTAGATGTAGCTTTGATGGTACAATTCCTATCACATGTTTTACCTGATAATACAGCACTGATCTTTGTTGTTTCTCTGCATGTTGAAGTAGCAGTTGTCTGCGATGGCAAAGATGTGTGGTGGCATTTCTCCAATCTTCTTGTTGGTATAAAGCCTGATCTGGTCAGCAGTGTAGATCGGCAGCAGCTGATATGGATTAACAGCTACCAGGATAGAGCCTGTATAGGTCTGCAGATCACACAATAGATCAGCAATCAGCAACTGAAGTTAATACATTTAGTAAAATAAATGAATTACTGAGGTACAGCATCTATATTTGTGTGTAATGATAAGTCTAATAAATATACATTATTCTTCAAAAGTCTTAAATGGCAAATATTGCAGATCTTGGTTGCGCATGCCACTGATGGTAAGAGCGGTTAGCTCATAGGGGTGGATAAGGTGACTCTGATCTAGCAGCTCAAATGGTGATGGGTGACAATGAGAACATATCAGTGTTAGTCATAGGAGAAGAGCCATCCATGTTGAAAGCAAATAAAGATGCAGGCAGCATGCAGCACTGAGCCCCTTTACCGTCAACCACTGACACAATGCCCCACATACGCAGACATACAAAATACTGTAAATGCAGCAAACTTAGGCAGCTCAACAACGGGATTGGGACAAACACTTTTGCTTAGATATCTGACTTACCCTGCCACCACAATTAGTCTTCAGAAAAAGAAATAGACAAAAGAATAGAATGCAGAGAAAAAAATCAAAGATACGAAGAAAAAAAAGGGATAGACACCACTGCTGCAGCAGAAGTTTAAAGGAGATTTAATTAAACACCAATTTAATATGTAACTCACATATATGAGTTTTTCTCTGTATCTGATGAGCAGGTTTCGGAGGATGCCAGCCTCATTGAGATCTCCTAATCGGATCATGTCCTCCACTCCATGAATGGAGGTGGGATGCATTGGCTTAATATTTGTGGCATTCTGAGGTGAGATCCAGTGTTCCTGTAGAGAGATTACAAACAGTTAAAGGTTTGTCAGTTAACACATAAATTTCACTGCTGAAGTTGCAGTTAGTACATTTCAAACAGAGAAACAAATCATTAGTCTGTATCGAGAAGAAACAGCAAATGACCTGTGTTTCACATTGAGCAAAACAAAATATACAAGTAAAATACAAAGAGATACAAGATGAATATCATACATTTCCTTCATCGTCCAACACCTGGATTTGTCCTGAGTCACATAGTTTGACCACTGCGCCAATTGGCACCTCGAACTCACGACCGCTCTTTGGATCTAACCAGACATAGTCGCCCTAAAGAACAAAAATAAATAAATTAAACAAAACAAACAAAGAAAAAAAACAATTAGGCTAACTACAATCAGTGCAAATTGCCGTTTGGTTAAGAATTATTTAAGTCAGTTGGGTTAAGTTAAGTAATCAGGTGAAACTACTTATGTGAATATGACAAGTAGATAGTAAAAACAAACTTCTTCACATATCAAAACTGAAGTTGGCAAATAATATAACCTTTTGTTGAAAAGTAGTTATGCAAAAACAGCATGTAATATTTAATGATGCCATAACACACACTTACAAACACTGAATTAATAGCCCCCTATCATGCTAAAGATAGACTAGTATTAATAATTAAATAAATAAAATAAATCTACCGGCAGCAGTGTGCTATGTTTCACCACAGTGTTGACATTTCGCAGAAGAGCCCATTTAGCCAGATCCTTCTCATAGAGTTCAACATAATCCCGACGCCTGTACATCTTCAGGCAGTAACAAAATCCCAATAGCAAATAATCACAGCTTCAGTGTGGTTAAAAAAACAGCACAAAAACTATGGATAACAGTGTCCTTTCCTGAAGCACTCAGATGAACTGTATCCTGACTATATCCAGACATCTATAAACATGATCTATGTCCATCTAAGAGATATAAAAACAAAAATGTTTCAAGTTGTAAAAAAGAAAACTCTTGCTCAAAAAGAAAACAAATATTTAAGCAGTTTTAGTTTTTCATCTGAAGTTTTTACGGGACGGTCTTCCTCTCCCGCATAGGTCTCTCATTTTGTAAACCCAACCCCCTTCAAACTCATCTGTTGGCCATAGCAACAAGCTGTCACTTCCTCCTCAGGAGTGTCCCTTGGTGTGGGATTTCCATGCAATTCCAGTGTTAAGTGTTTTTCAAAATGTTCAATTAAAGGATTAAACACAAGTAATATTGCAATAATATAACCTGTGAATTTTATTATGACTAGATATTTATCGTAAGTTGTATTCTATCGTTGAACACGTCACATATCATTGAGCCCCATCTTTTCTGTTGGTGTTGTTTTGCTTGTTTGCTGTTGTGTAGCAGTTAATATGTTATGTGCAGGCTATGCTATTTTCAGTTAGTGTTACATATATCTCACTTTAATTAAGTAAATTCCTCACCTGGCAAACTGACCCACCTGAACATTACACCACTACGCACCTGTCACGCACACACACACACACGCAAAACCACACATGCACACACACACAGGGCCAGTGATGGAAGAGGCTGGGCCAACCACAAACCGTCAGAAGCCGCTCACTGAATTATTTAAGTCACTGGGATGTTTGGTGTCTGTTTTTATCTGCTGACTTAATTTTCTTATTTGCTCTATGTTTTTTTTTTTTGCTAATCTGTTGTAAACTTGTGTTTCATATGTGACATAACTAGAAGTTACAGAATATATTATTTCTTTAGATCCTTTACAAAAACATGAACATTTAACTTTGAAATGATTAAGTAATTACTTTTTGTTACATTTCAAAATAGGAAAATAGACAAACTAACTAACAAAAGCTCAAACTCAGAGGTGGAAACCAAGGAATATAGGTCACAGTAGCCAGTAAAAACACAACATTTGATGCATTTGTTGATGCATTTCTTTCATTTTTTTTTATTTTTTTCTGATTAGGACTGTTTTACTCTGGCATAAGTGTTACAGACACAGGTGTCTTGCCCAAGAACACAAGAGCAACTAAACTGGAGAGTAGGAACTGAACCATCAAACTTTTAATTAATGGCTGACCCACTCTACCTCATACACTAATAATTATGTAAATTTAAATACATAGATTAACTGCAGTGATGTTTTCATGAACTCTTCTGAGTTTACTAAATAATAAATGTCCGATATGAGCTGGTGTTCCCTTACATTTACTGCTATGTCACTGCTGAGAACTCAGTTTACAACACAAGAGTCTATAAATAGTCTTCAAATATTTTACTTAAAAATAAATAAATAAATAAAAATCCCACCTTTTTAAGATATTCAATGTAAAATATTTTTCTACTAATGTAGAGTTCAGTCACAGTTATGGTTATGGACTGGTTATCGCTGTTACATCTCCAATCACCAATCACAAAGCATCAAGGGTCCATTCTGCAATTCCAGTTAACAACATTATCCACAAGTAAACTGCTATGTGTTGAACGTCACTCTACAATAAAATCAGGTATAAGGCTGCCCTCTACTGGTGTTTAGCACAATTTACAAAGTTACACTGGTGAGGTATTTGAGGTTAAAAAGCACTTTCACGTTTCACAAATATATTTCAGTTTTTTTAGACCTGTGCTCACATAATGATTAAAAGACACAACGAGTCTGGCTGATTTGCATTTAGATTCACGACTGAGTAATGATAAAGGTCACTGGACATATCAAACTTGTATCAGTCATTGCAGGAGCCACTTTTATGCTTCAGTGAACAATGAATGTTAACATTTAGTGGATCCACCTCCTTTAACAAGGAACAAAACGAAACTGCACATCACAGCTTTTGTTATTGAAACTTTTTCTGAAACTAAATAATGTCTAGAATAAAATGTGCAGTAACACTCAGCATTAAAAATCAAGTTGAAGATACATTTTACCGTGACAAGAGTCGCAAATGTGGTGCTGACGCGACGCAAGTTTGGATCCCATCCCTCGAGCAGCCAATCTGAGCCCCTTCTCTTTGTACTTAGAGCCATTTAGGATTATAATAGACTCCAAAATGAAGCTTACTCCAATTTACAATTTTGTTTCAGACATAAATAGCCTACTGCAGCCTATCTCCAGCATGGTAATAAAAGATGATATTAACGAAATAAGAAATTTATTATGTTATTGTCGTTAACTAACTGTCTGGCGTAAACATTTCTGGTGATGAGTTTGGGGTGTGCAGTGAGACCAGCCCTGGGAGAGAGGGAGAGGCATCAGCTGATCTGGGTTTTATTGGCTTGTCCCATTTTTCCCACTAAAGTGAGGGGGGAGGTGTCAGAACCCATTAGTTTATCAAAGGATGACAAGTTGAACAAAACAAAATGATAAAACAGCCGACACTGCAGACTACAAAGGCTTGACTAAATATATATATCTATACAACTTTACAATCAGAATACAAGAAAAAGAATAACAATGAAAATGTAATGCACTATTTTGCATGAAAGCACAATAACAAAGAAGGCAATCACAAATAAAAGACATGCTGTATTTACCTGCTGCAGAATGACCATGGTCCTGGGTTGGGTCACACTTACTACGGGACATCAGCAGTGTTCTGGACTCTGAAAACAAGAAAAAGGGCACATTAGATTTGAAATAAAACAATAATAAGAGGTAATGTATATATATGTTGTACATATGAGTATATGTATATCAAGCAAGAGGCAGACACATACTAGTAACTGTTAGTGCTGTGGTGCATTTGAGCTGTTTCTGTGAGTTTTAATGGAATCCATACTAAGTGCCACAGGGTAAAATGCAGTGGGCTGATAACAAATGACAGTATAAAATCTATGGTGAATATATGAAAAAGTGTAGTTTTGTGTTTGTATTTTTAATTTTTTTTTATTTTAAATAAACCTTTAATTGTCTCACAATGGGGAACTTTTATTGTTATTAAATGACTAGGTCTTTGTTATGAATCAAAATCATTTTATACAGTGTTTTATAAAATTTTAAGCTGTTGTACTGTGTAATTTCACTTGTAGATCAGTCAGACACAAAATTTGTTCCCACAAGTGATATCTAAAATCATAAAAAAATTTACCAATTGAAATTAATATACCATGTAACTTAGTGATTACGTATGATTTTTTGTTCAAGTAATTTGCTGTGAATTAATGTTAATTTTCTCCCCTTTAATGTTAAAAATGTATGTCTACAAAAGACATACCTATGTCTTGCATCATGTGATCTTGTGTGTGGAGGTGCCATAGTCATTTTTCACCAGGATCAGATTTACATGGCTCCGCACAGCTTCAGGTCCTTTGTGCTTGTGTTTAAGTATATTAGTGATGATACATTATTCATACACCTTTCATTAACTGTTATTTTAAGCCTTTGACTTCTTGACACTTGGCAGATGCTTCACTGTTTTATTAGAGGCTTAGAAATGTGACATATTTTATGATGATATGACATATCTTAATGGATCTTGATTCTAAATTAAAATAATGTGTTTTTAAGTGTTTGGCCAGAATGTACTGCTGTTAAAAAGTGTTTGATAATTAATTGATGTTGCTAATTGAAAAATTTCATACTCATATTTGAACTTACTTTTGAACTGATATTGAATCAAATGAAAATATAAATATGTCCTGCGAGAACCTGTTGCTCTTACATGTAGTACAAAAAAAAGCCATGCCCATACCAACTAAGTCACCCACAGTGTACGCATCAATATTTGATCACCTAATTACCCCAGCAGAGGTCTGGGACAAAGGTTGAGCAGCCATACTCAGTTTCTATAACTGTGGGAACACTTTTCGAAATACTGTCATAATAAAACATTGTAAGAAAAGTAGTCTTAAAAGAATGAATATTTTAGAGTTCTAGCTGAGTAGTAAAGTATGACAACAGCGAACATAAGTGGCCATGGGTTAAATGGAATCTTCAATCACTTTATATTATAGAAAGAATGCATATTCTATGATACTATACACTGTTGACAAATTAAATCTTAATGCCAGCTAACACATGTGAACTACATTAAGAATTGATAGATTTGTGTCATACCTAAGGCCCCAGACCTGCAAGTGTTCAAAGTTTCCAACTACTTCAAAATATCCTACTAATTCAATTAAACTACAAATCAATAGTTACTTCACATCGCTGTTTCCCAACATTGATGCTACACATGCACTAAAGCTGATTAAACATCAGAGCCCATGCTGTGATAAGCCAATTACCTGACCTGTTGTCCTTTGTGTCTGATTTGAACTCAGCTCCTCTTCTTGTTTTTATTTCTTTGCCTTTAGTTCAGTTCCTCGGTGTTCCCTCCGTGTCACATTGCCAAACCAAGCAAAGCAGCTTTTACTAACAAGATAGAAGTAAAATGAATAATTTGTCCAGTCTACAACTTCAGTTTATCCTGGTCTTACTTCTGTCTTGACTTCAGTATGTCCTAGTTCAGATTGGCAAAAATATGGCTCTTCACTGTCATGTATCTTTCCTTAAGTCTTTGCAGTGCTCACGTTATTGCATCCTGTCTTCTTGTAGGGCATGTAGTGAATGACTATCTGCGCACGCTCCCTATTGGCATTAAGTGTAGCATGACTGGCCACTCATTCACTGATCCCTGCAGCAGAGGCCGACACACAAGAAGAGAGTCAGTGGGGGGCGATGAGGTACAACTGAGAGTAGCTTGTAATTAGACACAAGATACATACCATAAGGTTGTGTTTCCAATTCTACACTTTTATTTATATAAAACTCACAATGAGAAAAAACTAGTGGGGGGCAAGTTAATGAGAATTTTTTTTTTTTTTCCAAAATTTTCTCTGCAAAAAATGCTCAAAACAAATATGTGTTGTATTGATTCTTATTACACGGCTATGCACAATCAATTTAAACAAGAATAATACTGTCTTGTAATCTAGGTTAGAGCATTGATTTTGTTTTTTGTACACATACAAACAAAATTCTGAAAATGTTGAGACTAATGAAAAACCTTTCTTTTAGTTTTACATTTTTTTACTCAAATATACTGTAACAAATACAGTACAAATAAATAAAAATATTATAATATTATATTATAATAATATACAAATGTAAATATTAATCTAATCAATAACATTTACAGAAGAAGCTTGCACTGAAAAAAACCCAAACAAAAACAAATTACAGTTTAGTGCTACATGTAACATCAACATTGTAATTTTGGTAAGACTGTTCTTCATATGTATGAGTTCTGTTTGAGGCGCTTATCCTCTTCTCTTGGGCATCCTGCTCCTCTCTGTGCGATCTCAGGACAATCTCCTGGTTTGTGAAGTAATTTTGAGTTGCCACTGGGTTTTCATAGAAGCCCTCCTCACAGACAGAGGGCAGGGGGTCTACGGAGTCAGTCTGAGTGGGTACTGCATTAAACATTATGGAACTAATGATGATGATGATCAGTGAGACCAAATAAAGTCCAGAGAACTGAGGATGGAAACAAAGGAAACAAAACTTGTGTTAAGAGTAATTGTAAATTGTTTCCTGAAAAAAATAAAAAAAAAACATGAAAGCTGTAGTAATGTTTATAAATATACATGTGCTGTTGTTTTGAGTCACTAAGAGCGTGACATTAATGACATCTGAATTTTGCACAAAATCAATTGCTCTCGCTGTGAAAGTAGTTTAATGGCTCCAACATCGAGCTGGGGCATGTTGACCTGTAATCTGTCCAAGGACAGTACTTTACAGTGCCATAATAAATAGATTGGGTTGCAATCGTGTACAATGTGTAGTAATAATAATGTACATTTATGTTACAAATTGCATGATATACCGTGTAATGGAAGAGGAAAATCCCAAAGAAGAGGCTGAACAAATCTGCAGTCATTAAAGACAGATTCACTGAAGTGGCACTGCTCAGCTTTATCACGATGGGCATACAGCTGTAGAGTGTGTACAGGCACAGGGCAAAGCCACAAAATAACAACCCTGTGAAATTATACATAATTTCATTTAACTGGAATAAATTACTACAAACCATGACCAAACTACTGTAATGAGGAAAGGTATAGAGATTAAAAAAAAAGCAGTACTAGTGACAGATTTCTAAAAGGCAAAGTCTGACACACAAAAAAATAAAAAATGAAATAAACTGACCAATTTTCCAGTTCCACTGGATGGCACTAATTTCATTGCGTTCCAGAATCACCCTTAACAAAAGAAAAATAACAATAACAACAATAACGTCTTCTATCTAACATGCTTACGGTACATAATTATTCACCAGTGGTCTAAGTATAATGATGTGATAATGATGTTAAGCACTCACATCTGAATGGTGCTGATGATGGTACCGAACAGGCCAACCATGCCAAGAAACTCTTCTCTGGTCAGGTTCCTCACAGTGTACTCCTGACACACATTTGAAACTGCATACAGTGAGGCACTGAGCAAGACCAGCCCATCACCTAACAGGATGTTTGCAGCTAAGGACAAAAAGACAAATGATAAACTGTTACACCAAAAGAACAAATATTTATCAAATCTGAAAGAAATAAACTTACTGGAGCCCTGGTCTCGTCCAGCTAGCAGGTCGGCTCCCACCATAGCTCCAACTCCAAGCACACAGATACACACAGCAGCATAGTGCACTGGCCTAAAACGGGTCTTCAGAATCCACCAGGACAAGACCATGAGGACCGGGACCACAAAGCAGTCCAGCAGCTAGATCAATGAGGAAATGCATATACAGTAAGCCTGTAAGCTAAAGCACTAAACTAAAGAATAGCATACTGCTTCATGGCACTTACTTGAACACTGGTGAGGGTGGTGTACTGGTAAGCTTTAACCACAGTGTAGTTGGCTTCCACATCCACCAGAGCCAGCAGAATATACTTCCACCACTTACTTTTGAGAATCTGTAAAATATTTGCATC